CGTTACTAAGTATTTTAAAAATTCTCAGTATTTGGCAATATGCTCACCCCTATTACATCGGACTCATAACATAAATAGTGAAAAGTGGGTGTTACATTGTACAGTGGCATTAGCGGCCGTAATGTGCGCCTCTGCCCTTGGAGACGAGGATCGAGATATTATTGGACTGATACCTAAACTGTCAAATACCTTCAACAGATTTCCGACGTAATTACAATATGAAAAAGTTTCAATTCGAGATTTACAAAAGTTATGTCGTATCGTGACGTAACGGCTTTTTTTTTTGTAAGGGGGGAAAATCATCGAATGACTGCTCCCGCCTGGGTGAGGTGGAAGGGCGTGTCAGACTCTTACTGACTAAAAACCACTCCGTTCCTTCACCTGCACGTCGAGCCGGAGCCCCGGTTACCCGTTAGGTTCTCCGCGACTCCGAATCGGCATCGGCCCTATTGGGCCCCATCTGTGGTGGTCTGATGGTTCTTTGAGGCGCGCGCGGAACGCGACGCGCCGTAAGCTCGTGTCTGTTTCTGGTCGGACGGGGAGCCACCCATGCTCGCCGTCCGCAGGCCCGCGCTTACGGTAACGGCTTGCGTAGATACTAACACATTAATTTATGATGTCTTGTGACGCCAGCAAAAATATAGGATTATTTGATCAGCTTGCATGGCTTCACGTCACACAGCACTGAACTGCCAAAACCGGTTTCAATATTGCTTACCTAATCTGGTAGAAATTCATGTTGAAATTCATGATTCAGGTCGACTACCTCATTGTATGTTCGGGTTTATTGACTTCTCAGACATTGTTCACAGTCAAGCTATTCAACCGTTAAGTAGATTTTAGATAAGCGTTGGTTTCAAGGTTATGTTTGACAAGTACGCAACGTAACGCTACTGATCATCACTTAAACAAGTATTTTTGTAAAAAAACCTCGTCATCAACTATCAACATCAACATCCCTACAAGTGCCCACTGTTGAGTAAAGGTCTCTTCTTACACTGAGAAGATTTGAATATTAAACACCACGCTTGCTTTAAGGCCGGTTGGCCATTTCAAACTTATAATTAGAAATTATAAGTCCGTTTTCTTTCGATGTTTTGCTTCACCGTACACCTATAAACCTACAGGCCAGACTCTTACTGACTCATAACCACCCCATTCCTATTTCTGCTCCTCGAGCCGGAGCCCAGGCAACCCGGTAATTTCTCCGCGGCTCCGTATCGGCATCAGCTGTACTGGGCCTCATCTGTGGTGGTATGATGGCTCTTTGAGGCGCGCGCGGAACGCGACGCGGCGTACGCTCGGGTCTGGTTTTGATCAGGCGGCGATCTAACCGTGTTCGCCGTCAGCAGGCCCGTGCATACTGGCCGGATCGTCTCGTGAAGTTCTAAAGCACTGAGATTCGATTTTCTGTACTCGATTCGGTTCCTAACCTAGATTTTAGATGGTTTTAATAATATGTTTTGCTATTGTTTGCAAATGCACAACGTGCCATAACCATCAGCTTTACGTTATTAAGGTCATAGCAGCATAAACATTGCCTATGTTGTCAATATCAATTTACTTCTAAGTACAACAAACTAGGTCTCGTCTAATGTCTACGTTGGCTCTCTGTCCAAGTCATTTGAATATTGGCAACGAGTGCGCATCTGATAGTAGGGCCGTGGAAATAATTAATTCCTGTCATACTACACACGGAAGCAGATTTTTATTATTGTTTATTATTTAGTACGTTAAAAGCCTACTTCGACGTTTTTAGATGCGCTTTGAGTAAATAAATTGTTCGAAACGTAGTTTCATAGAAAAATATTTTTTGTGTGGATTTTAAGAAATATTTAAAACCCTTTGAACCAACTACAACGAAATGATAAAACCCAAAATTTATAAAAATAATATCAACTTATTGAACCCGTACATCACAGTCTAACATGACACGCACACATTGACAGTTCAGTCTGTTCTGTTTAAAAATGACATAAGAGTGACTAGTGTCAATATTGACGTGATAGGGATGTGGTGTGTGTCGATGGACTGGTGTTATCGATAGATTAGTGTAAGGAACGTTATACCATTTTAGAATCCTTGTTAAATGCGCCAACTTTGGTGAGATTTGCCACTACTAGTACAGTACAATTTTTTTTCAGTACAGTCACTTAAAGTAATTTGAAAAGTTAATTGTGAACACTTGTTTCGTCAAAAAATTATATTCTTTTCCAAACTTAAGCTGTTGGCCCAGAATTTATGATTCCACATAACACATAACATCACGCCTTTTATCCCCGAAGGGGTAGGCAGAGGTGCACATAGAAGTAACACCCACTTTTCACTATTTATGTTATGAGTCCCATGTAATAGGGGGTGAGCCTATTGCCATATACCGGGCACATTTCCAGACTCCGTGCTACTACTGAAATTTTTAAAAAACCCCAGTAATACTTTGCCCGACCCGGGAATCGAACCCGAGACCCCTTGCCCGGCAGTCGCACTTGCGACCACTCGGCCAATGAGGCAGTCAATTTATGATTCCATAATACTGAAGTACTATTTAGGATAATGTAAGCAAAAATATAGACGAAAAAATAAAGAATTGTAGCAGCTAAAGACAAAAGACTGGCACAGGGTGTACTTTTTCGTGATTGTAATTTCATTGTAATTTAAAAAACTATATGACTTGGAATTTTTCTATATTTTTCTGAAAACTGTTGCAACCTTGCCGATCACCTGGTTGCCATTTGATTTTCGAGTTCAGAGACAACCTGTAAAATGCAGGTATCATAATTTACAATATTATATTTGGAATTGAAAAATCGCTAAGGTCACATTGAATTTCAAAATGACAATCAATATCGTAGTTGAATTGAGTTTAATGTTAATTTTGTATCTTGTAACGACCCTGTCAAACCTGATTGAGGCTTGCAAATTCTGCGCTCACCAGGGGCATTGTTGGGTGTTTAGATACTGTGCATTCAATCATTTTCGATGGCAAATGAAAGACTTGAACAAAAATTACACATACATTCAGTCAAAAAAGTATTGGGCATAGATGATTTGTTTATGGTTCCAAACTCAAATTTTTGTTTTTTTGTAGTTGTTAGATTGGCACACCTGTTTTCCATTTTGGCGCGGAGTTTGAGTTGCACCTGTTATTTATATTATCGTGTTCGAAGTCACTGAAAATGTTACAGAAGGCCTACGGTGAATCGACTTTATTAAACTGTCAAACACCAAGCGGTCACCGGTGACCGCGACCTATTGTTCTTTAATTGTGTCTATAAAACCGGTACTCGACGAGTTAAAAAGTCGTGCTTATGAGTGTTTCAAAGCGTTTAAAAGCGGTCGAGATGTGATGGAAGATTTGCCTCGCTCTGGTAGGCTGTCAACGTCTGCAACTGAAGTTAACATCGCAAAAGTGAAGGAAATAGTGACTGAAAATCCCGTTTCAACTCTGAGAGAGATAGCCGCCGAACTTTCTGTATCTCACGAGTCGATCCGTACCATTTTAACTAATCTAGTATAGCTAGTCCCAAACGATCTGAATTTTCACCAAAATCTCAATCGCATGAAAGTCGCTGAGGACATGCTAGAACGAGTCAATTCGGACCCAACATTCATGAAACGCATTGTTACTGGTGACGAGACGTGGGTTTACGAGTTTGACATGCAAACTAGTCAACAAATTTCGGAGTGGCGCTTTCCAACTGAACCGAAACCGAAAAAACCACGCCAAAGTCGATCAAAAGTCAAAGTCATGTTGACTGTTTTCTTTGACTATCGCGGTGTTGTGCACTCTGAATTCTTACCGGAAGGTCTAACGGTAAGTAAAGAATATTATTTGAGCGTTATGCGGCGTTTAATAGAGCAAATTCGACGAAAAAGGCCAGATATGTGGAAAGAAAATTCTTGGATTTTGCACCACGACAATGCGCCTTCGCACAAGGCTATCATTGTGAACGAATTTTTGACCAAACACTCAACAAATACCATCTAGCAACCACCAGATATGGCTCCTGCTGACTTTTTTCTTGTTCCTTAACTCAAATTACCACTTCGTGGTACCCGGTTTCAATCGATAGAAGACATAAAGGAGAATTCGCGGCGAGAAGTGGACTCAATTCCGAAAGCAGCGTGTAATTTTTTTTGATGAATGGATTATTTGTTGGCGCAAGTGTATCGTTTGTAAAGGAGCATACTTTGAAGGTGATAAAATAAATTTGGATGAATAACAGACATTTTGGGTATTATTGTACTTTTCCCGGTACTTTCTTGACAGAGTAATATATAATAAAATCGTTCTTGAATCTTATTACATTGAAACTATAAGTGACATGATGTGTACCCGTGTCATACTGTTTTTGGAAGGCAGAAAATCATCATATATTTCCTCTCCGTGAATGTGAACGACGAAACCTGTCCTAATAAGTAAATATGTATGTACTACACAACAACCCATTTGATAATCTGCATCAAAAGACCAAACAAAGCAATTCCCTAATTTGTAGCATTCTGGCTTGTTATCTTCTGAATATGATGTTCCTTAGCATCGTTTGTTACCTGTCATGTAGTTCATTTATGAAAAAAAATAAAAGAATCAAATATTTCAAATCTAAAACCACATTCTATGTGTTAATTGCGTAGATCATTATAATTTACTTTATTTTCAAGATAGTATTTTATTTAATTATTAGTCAAATTAAAGTTAATATAATGTTACTCACGCAGGCACGTCACAAGATTGACAAGAGTCGTACTCTATTTGTAGATAATAATCAATGACACTTTATGGCAACAATAAATCTGTACGTCAACTGTGAGATTGTATAAGGGGCCACTGGATTAACCAGAGACCTTATATGGAAACAAGACTTTGGCAAGTTGAACTGCCTTAACATAACTAATTGAGCTTTGTTTCAACCAAAACGGACAGTAGGCATACTTTACATACGTACCTTTAGCTTCCTTGTTTTTGGCACATAAAGTGACTTCTATTGTTTCTTTTTTAGAATCTGGCAGAAGCTGAATTTGTGGTGGCAGTGTTCATGTATATGCGGCTGATTGGTTGGCCATCAGATCGCATCTCAATTCTTACTACATACAATGGGCAGAAACACCTCATCAGAGATGTTATTGACAAAAGATGCGCCGAAAACCCACTCATCGGACGACCACATAAGGTACTTATATACTTCTTGATCATATTTTCCTGCTTTTGATCTTTTGAAAAATGATTCCGCTGTCAAGTTAGAGCGAGACTAACAAGCGTAACAAACTGCATATTCATGAATTGACGCTAGAATCTTATTTCGCTAAAAATACTTGCCCCTGAACAAGTCAACGTTGTGAAAGAGGGCAAATTCGCTTAAATAATTCTTAAACATGCGCAAAATTATTGAAAGGGTCAGAGAGTTAATCAAACCAAACCAACCGAAACCTGACCCTGCCTCATTTCATTTCTCAAAACCTTTCAACTTGGTAAGGTAACCACGTCTTTGAAAGACTGTATGGGCTATTGAAATACTTTAGCATCTTGTTCATCTTCTTAGAACACTTTATGAATAAGGATCAGCTTTAGTGTTACAATCTGATAATGTCCTACCGTTAAGTCAGCCTCAAGAAAATACCGTCATTTGTCAATACGTTTTGTGGCTACAGCTGTTAGTTCTGTATTTCATTATATGAAAATATAATTTGAGATAAAATTAAAAAATAATAAGATGTAACATGATATCGATCCAGGAAACGATATGAGGACCACAACCCCTATGTCAAAGAGTGGATTTCTTTTTACATTAGCTTTACCTCTCTATCTCCACCTGATCTCCTTTTCTCGACATACATATATCTGATGGAAACTATTAATTCAATTATAGAAGACAATAAACAATCTCTGATTCAAATTATAGGTGAACATAGGTTCATAGTTTATCCCAATTATAAAAAAATTAGAATCATCCTCTAAATGCGCACCACAATATTTAAACAATTGGCTATTAATCATGCCTTCGTTCATTAATTTCATAAAATACCCTCACACTGACATGAATGAGTATTCGTACTTTTTTTTTAATGAGTTATTCATTACTAAACGTACTAAAATGAAAGTTCTTGGAAGTTAGCGATTGTTTATTTGGTTACTCATTGGTGCCGAAAATTCACAAGACGGTTTTTTATCGTTTTAACTTTTTGTGTTATCATGCCGGAACTCCTCAATGCTCGATGTGTCACTTAGGTACTTATGTTAAACCTTTAGTTAGTACTAGAGATTGCACAAATGCACCAAAAAAAGGTCTATTTTAAGGTAAAACGTAAAGACTGATAAAAGCATAAGAAAAGAATCATCATCATCAGCCTGTATTCGTCCACTGCTGGACATAGGCCTCTCCAATAGCACGTCACTGAGCTCGTCTCATCCAACCACTGCCAGCCACCTTGCAGATGTCTTCACCCCACCTAGCTGGAGGGCGCCCTACACTGCGTTTGCCTAGACGCGGTCTCCACTCTAGAACACGTTTACCCCAACCGTTATCGGTTTTTCGACAAATGTGACCGGCCCACTGCCACTTCAGCTTACTGATCCTTTGGGCTATGTCGATAACTTTAGTTCTCTGTCGGATCACTTCGTTTCAGATTCGGTCCTTCAAAGAGACTCCGAGCATAGCCCTCCCCATAGCTCGCCGCGCGACCTTAAATTGGTGGACCAGTCGCACTGTCAGTGTCCACGTCTCGGCTCCGTATGTCATTACTGGAAGGACGCACTCGTTGAAGACTTTTGTCTTCAGGCTTTGCTGGGCTGAGACTAGAAGACTTGATTAAGTTTTCTATATGCTGGCCAGCCAAGCCTTGCCAAGCCAAGCCTTCTACGGGCCTCCTTTTCGAAGCTTTTCCTACCAAACTGCAGGGTTAATAAATAAAATAAAAGAAAAGAATATGTTTTAATAATATCTTCTGTGGGTATCTCAACATATTCTTCGTAGTTTAAAAAAAATTATCGATAGGTCAATTATTCATTCTATGTACTAAATCATCATCAAACAGTATTATGATGTAAGACAGCAGAGGATAAGATTTTGTATTTTCCTTTTCTATAATTGAAAATTTGACGACGTTCATATTCGCAATATTCCCCCATAATCCAAAATTAATAATTTTACGAATGAGAATGCGACTGTCAAAGAATATTCGTTACATCACTAGTAAGTACTAAACATTCAATCCAGTTTTTTTAAGTATATAGTGCATTGACCACTATAACCTTGTTGACAACCGGACTTCTCCAAATCGGTATTATCTTTTTAGTGCTGGTAAAATGTAAAATCTGTCTACTCATCTACTGCACTGCACTTTATCTCTAATGCTTTATTCGCACTACGTTTGTATTTTAGTCGAGTGAAGAGTGTTTAGTAGGCCTTTCTCACATAAGTAAAAAATATGGAAAATTATTAGTTTTAAACGTTTCCATAATTTTTATTATTTATCGAAATCTTCTATCTATCTATACTTTAATGATTCTGTAGAGAGGTCAATTCTGTACTTGAAATATATTTCTAAAATAACTATCAGGGGGTGAAAAGGGACCGATAGTTCGACTGATGCCAAAAATGCCGTATGATGAGTAAATTTGTTGTCTGTGTCTGTCTGTCTGTCTGTCGGTATGTTCACGCATCACGCAAAAACTACCGGTCCAATTACGATGAAACTTGGTACGTTGATACTTTAATATCCTGGGCACATTTTTTATTCCGAAAAATTATTTACACGGAAAAACAAATTTAATTGTGCGGCTCGATCCTACACCCTATTACTGTACCAAACACAAATATAAGTTAAAATATAGTCGAATGTTAGGTTGTTCGCACTGTAACTGTAGGGCCGGTGGTCGAAATTAGCCTGGAACGATATTCTAAAGGTGCAAATAATATGTGAGTTTATGTGTATGTTTGTTACTCAGTCACATCAAAACGACTGAAGGGACCGGGATGAAACAGAGGTAGATTATGGTCTGAAGTAATATATAGGCTACTTTTACCCCATTTTTTTTTTTGAGGCGAGGTGGTGTGTCAGACTGTTACTGACTACAAACCACCCCGTTCCTACTCCTGCTCTTCGCGCCAGAACCCCGGCAACCCGTTAGGCCTTTCACGGCTCCGTATCGGGCATCAGCACTATTGGGGTCTATTTGTGGCGTGACGGTTCTTTAAGTCTGGTTCTGGTCGGGCGGCGAGATACCCTTGCTCGCCGTCCGCAGACCTGCACTTACATGATCGGAAGTCGTGGCGCGACTTTTTATCCCTGGAAACGCCGGCGAAGCTGCTCGCAGAAGCTAGTTCATAATAAATGTAATAATACAGAATTCCAATGATGCAGGAAGTAACTACTTCACTAATTTAAAGATAGCAGGTTACTTGCTTGCATTGTTACTTGTTGAGATCATTGCCGATCGAAATAGCGATGATATACCCTACTAAAAGAACGTACCCTCACCTAACTTCATTAAACGAACTGACTGACAGACTATTATTTATTTTGTATTTGTTGACGCTTTAAAAGTACCAAATTATGGTTTAATTGAAATAAATGCTTTATTTTTGACTTTGACTATATTTAAAAAATCTTTTAGGTAGATATTAATAAAGAAGTACAAGAAGATACATCTACATAAATCTTTTATTTCACTTAGTCAAGGATGAAACAAATTAGCAATTTACTCCCATTAACCTCGTATCCTACGGGAATTTTAAAGTAATTTTAAATTAATTAGTCGTGCGCCAAGATCGTGCGGTGATTTAGCGTGTTCAAAATTTTTAATGCAGACATGACGTGAAACGTGGACGTGAATCGCTAGTTTCTTTGTCACCGAGTGTAGAATAAATAAGTCCTTTGTTCTTATTCGGAGAAGTCTAGACGTTTTGTGTCTTATGTCAATCCACGAATTGGGCCTCCGGTAACGTCACTCGGAAACACAACACAGCGCAACGCGTGGCTTCACGGTTTTCAGTGCGGCCGTGGTATCACTCCGGTCGAGCCGGCCCATTCGTGCAAAAGCATGGCTCTCCCACACTTAAAATTTATACATAGATGTGTATGTGTATATTGAATATTAGCTCGATGTGTGTAGTCTCGGCATAGTCTTGGCGTGCAATGAAGCGAGAATGAATGTGTCCTATGCGATTATATCTTAAATTCGTCACGTCCTAATTGGTAATCCAAATGGTCAAGACATAGGAAGTGTCGGACTCTTACTGACTACTGACCGTTCCTACTCATGCACTTAGAGCTGGAGCCCCGGTAACCTGTTAGGTTCTCCGCGGCTCCGTATCGGCATCAGCCTTATTGGACCCCATCCGTGGTGGTCTGTTGGCTCTTTGAGGCGCGCGCGGAACGCGACGCGCCGTACGCTCGGAGATATCAGAGATCTTAGCAAAACTAAAATAACCATGATAGCTTTTCATATGGGTCGTAAAGGTGTACGAACAGGTATTCTGACATCATCCGGGGTCATAAAAAAACACTCAACTTTGCAAATTAACATGGGTGGGTATTCGAGGTCGATTAACCTATGAACCGCCAAGGATGTCGATCTAGATAATATATACATTAAGCAAGCATAGCTTTTGCCCGCGACTTCATCCACGTGGAATAATGAATTCCGGGGGAATTTAGGTTTTTTATGTATTGCCTTTTCCAAGCTCTATTTTACGGCTGTATCAAATATTTTTAAATCTAAACAGTCCGGAACTTGAATTTTCTTAATTGTGAGATCGCATCAGAGCTACTACTGCGTCACTTCAAGGGTATCGAACTGTCGTTGTAACTAATTTCATCCCTAGAGGTACATGAGAATAGGTTCAGTAAATTAAAAGATAAAGAGTCCGTGTTTTAACGGCTCATTATTAGTTAAGGCATGAAAAAGAGACAGACAAAGTTACTTTCGCATTTATAATAATACTAGCTGTTCCCGGGACTTCGTTCGCGTATAATAATGAGTTCTGGCAAATGGAATTATTAATTAGTCTTATCCAAGGTTAATTCCAATGATATGGAATAAATTGTATCAGCATCGATTCAGTAATATTATTCAAAGACGTGCACGTCCTACGTCTTCACCCTATGCCGTTCGAAAAACAAATGACTCGAGAGTCCCCGACATGAACAATGGCAAGATTTTGACGATGTGGGGAAATTGAGTATTATCTTATTATTTGCTAGTTAAAGGTTACGTTACTTGAATAATTTAATTATGTTGAAAGTTTAATTTATCGATTCAGTTATATTTATTGTGAAATGTGGTTCACTTTGATGATTTCAAAAAACAAACAATCCCACAGGTATTTTACCCGTATAATATATATTCCCGTGAGGTTTCAGTGATTAAAACTTCATTTGAATTCCAATCAAATAGGTACAGCAGTTGAAAAGTCTCAGGCGTCATTTTACAAGTCTCAAACTATCGTTGTACTGAATTCCACTCAAATAAGTGCAATAGTTTAAAAAATAGAGAGACCCAGAAGTTTAACGCAGTTCCTGTCTCGTGGGATTTCCGGGATCATACGTCCTTTCCAGTGCCGGTGTCTTAAACTCTCGTTGAACCGAATTTCATTAGAAGAGTTAATCATCTATAGGCATGAAACTTAATTGTGAAAAATAAGTCAGATAATATAGAAATGTGTACATAATATTATAAATTTGTGCGTGTCTATTTGTTCTGTTAGAAATTGACGTGTTTTTTATTGAGTTTTTATAGAGATTGTTGAAATTATTGAAAGTCGCATAGGCTACATTTTGTTTCTTTCTAACCCACCACTACCCTAACACAGGAGGTGGAAGTTTGAATGAAGAATTTCGTAATTTTCAAGAAACCTAAAATTGGTATCACACTTGTGACCAGAAAAACATCGGGCACCAAATTTTTTTAATCTTTTGGGAACCTTGGTCAGAAGCTAGTCCATGAATAAAATGTATTCAATTAATTGAATTCATATTTTTTCTTTTAAATCCCTGATTCTGATGTAGCTAAATACTACTATTAGTCCTTGAAAACAGTTTTCTCTTGTTAGTCAAAGGCTTAAGCAATATAAGGAGTTTTAGGTAGATTTTTCACAAATTGGGTTACATTATCGAAATTTTCACATGGTTCCCTTTTTATCTTACTATATATAGCCTATGTTTATCATCGATACTGTAGGATTACAACGGTAAAATATTTTTTCAAATCTACCCGGTAGTTTCGGAGTGCCTCTTTGTACTATTATTTATTTATTTTATTTATTTACACTTTTTGTATATATACAATGGCGGACTTAATGCCTAGTGGCATTCTCTAACAGTCAACCTTAGGGTTATTAGTGTAGATTAGTAACATAACATCACGCCTTTTATCCACGAAGGGGTAGGCAGGCGTGCACGTGACGGCACTTAGTGCCACTGTACAATAAAACACTCACTTTTCACTATTTTTGTTAATAAGTCGCATGTAATAGGGGGTGAGCCTATTGCCATATACTGAACACAATTCCAGACTCCGTGCTACTACTGAGTTTAAAAAAAACATTAATAATTTGCCCAACACGGGAATTGAACCCGAGACCCGTTGACCGTCAGTCGCACTTGCGACTACTCGGCCAACGAGGCAGTTAATATATTTAATATTAGTATGTATTTTAAAATGCTGACGGCATCACATCGTCATTCCTTTTTTTTGTTTTTTTTTTTAGTAGTCGTGTATACGTGGCGGTCAAAACTTACTAAGAAACAAAACATTCTAATGTTTTTATTAGAAATCGAGATAGAGATTCCATTCAAATTAGGTACTACGAATTCCTCATATAGGTAGGAATCCAAACAAAACAACGTGAACGGTAAAACCTAAATCATGGCATTGTCTAAGTTTCTGAATAATATATTTGTCGGAGAGACAGGATTATGTTCTGTTTGCTCAGACATAATGTGGGCGAATATAGGTATCGTGTAAATAAGAAAAGCGTTTAGAATTAATCACAAGGTACTAGGTACAGTAACTGGGCACTAAGCTAAACGTAGGGCAGTTCTGTGACAACGCCTTTACTCAGTGGCGACTCGAACTAAAGTGAACTCCACCGAGTCCAATTATGTTGCCATTACTCTGTCTAAGCGCACCGGAAATCCGCTAGATGGCGCAATTGCGTAACATTTAGCGTCCATACTCATTACCGGCATCAACGTATTTTTCTTTTTTTCAGGTGACTACAGTGGACAAGTACCAAGGTCAGCAGAATGACATAGCCCTAGTATCGTTAGTCCGCACCCGCGCCGTGGGTCACGTCAGGGATCTCCGCCGTCTCATCGTGGCCGCCTCCAGAGCTCGTCTCGGCCTCTACATCTTCGCGAGAGCCAACCTCTTCAGGAACTGTTTCGAGCTACAACCTACATTCAATCAGGTATTTATTCATCATCATCGGCAACTTCCACTGTTGAGCAAAGACCTCTACCCTCATGAATACATACCATACATGAGCCTGCCTCAACTTGCGTGAAACCATAACAAACAAAATATACTGCTCCATCTCTCGGAGGCTGGTTGCAGTTTTGGGTATTTCTGATTGAAATGTTCTATATCCAATAATTCGTCTACATTTTACAGTCTACAATTTTTTTATAGTCTAAACCAGAACAGATGGCACGATATGAAATAGCCAGTAACCATAATTTTATATATAATATTTACGACTGATATTAAAATTGTTTATACTTTCCTCCTCATCCACCCACTATAACATAATCAATCGGTATAAATAAAATTATATTTCAATTTTTCTAGCTGGTGGAACGTCCCTTAGAGTTAGAACTAGTGCCGGGCGAGCGCTGGCCTGCACAGCGCAGCGCTGCAGCCAACGTGCCGGACGCCCTGACACTACGCATACGAGATATGCCACATATGGCTCAATATGTCTATGACATGTACCTTGAACGAGTCAGACAGTGCAAGGACCAATATGAGGTGAGATACTAATAATAATACAAATGTTAAAATAACTACATATTTATCATCATCATCAATTATTACGTTGAAACCCGTGACACCATATCAGTATTGCAAGATTTACCTTCAACAGTTTTCTATTGACAGTCATCAGCCAAGGACTTGCACGTCTTACGTCTTCACCCTATGCCGTTCGAAAAACGAATGACTCGTCCCCGACATAAACAATGGCAATATTTTGACGTTGTGGGAAAAATGTGTACTATCGTATTATTTGCTAGTTAAAGTTAACGTTAATTGAATAATTTAATTATGTTGAAAGTTTAAGTGACAATATCTAGACGACAGTTAAGCGATAGCGTAGTTTGCTGATGTACACAAAGCACCGCTAATTAGTTAGCGGCGCTACACATCGACACAACTATCATTTACACAATATACATGTGTGGGTAATTTCATATCAATAGATATGTATAGAAACATTCGTCTATCACACACATCTTGGTATTTAAAAATCATTTTTGTGTCGGTATACGCAATAATTTAGTAAATAAGTTTAAATAAAAACGAGGGTAAAGATAAAATTACTCATAACAAACTTTGAATAAATCGAAATCAAAAATAATGAACGATCGAGCTATACAATACCCATATAAATATAGTGCTTTCTCATTGTAATTTTATGTTACTGAATGATATAAAATATTTCGATGATCTCATCTACAGCGCGCTTGGCGCAATGGTTATCGCCTCCAATTGTCAAGTAAAGTGCCGCCGGATCGATTCCAACATTCACATGTTGTTTTAGAATTAATTTATCAAATATTTGAAATTTGAAATTAGAAACAATTAAATCTTTTCTTTTTTTTCCTTTCCTATTGTTCTAAATCTTATGTTAATTTTAATAGTAAATACTTTAGATTTATTTATACCTATAATATCTTTTATTTATATTTTAGTTCTAGTTATTTATTATTTAGAATAATCTCATTTGCTTCATGCATTTCAACCAACTTAAATAAGATAAAAACAGTAAAAAAGTAATTAACTGTGATTTCTTAATGGTTCGATACCTGAGTATATTTGCAATGTTTGTGGCGACCATAGAAATCTCGAGTCATTTTATTTTACACGCTTATGAAGTAACTACCGACTATTTAAAACATGTTTTTCAAATCACCCGACTTACAAAATAATTGCGTTCTTAGTTGTCAATTTATGAGGATTTCATAGTTTATTGCTACGCTACTTATATTCGTGTGCAAAGTTATTTTTATTTTTACAAGATGTTCCAACACCTATCAACATTTAAAAAGGCTGAAACCATTGTTTTGCATGAGCAAAACATAACTAACAATAACTGAAATAGCAAGGCGTTTAATGATATCGGTGAGTAAATAAGATACTACGTTGATATTCTAAATAATATTTATTTCATTTTGTAACTCGACACACCTATCAATTTTTGCACTAGAATAAAATAATTATTGCAACTTATTATGAAGTTCAATATTATAAAGATATATTAATAATTTATTATTAATTGTATTGTAACTTGACTTGTTTTTGTTAGGAGTGTTTCTTTAAAACATATCTGGTTAGGGATTTTTATTCCTTACGCCACTACTTAATTATAAATTATTATTCTAACATTGTGTTTACTTATATTTATTATTATTTTTAAATAACTTTAATTCCTGTAAAGTATTTCCTGGTATTTTAAATACTTATTTGTTTGGTATCAACAGAGGAGATCCATGCAGTTATGGGTGCACAGATATGCGGAGACCGGTGACGTTAAACATCGTCGACGTGGGCCTAAACCAAAGGCAAATTCATCGGCTCGGCACTACGACATCGTAGCCAGGCACATGGCTGATCCGTTCCTGCCAACCCGCACTACAGCGACAGCACTGAATGTTTTAATACAAACTGTACGGAGACACCTGCATTCTGGTTTAAGGTGCAGGAAGCCAGAGAAGAAAATATTGTTATCTGTGGTTCACCAGCAAAAGCGCTAAGAATTTGCTAAGGACTTTATTACTTTGATTGGGCGAACAGTGTAATCATATTGAGCGACGAAAAGACTTTCAATTCGGATAAGGATGGGCGTAAAATATTGTGGAGAAAAGATGGAGAAAGGTATACGAATTGCAACCTTCTGCCTTGTAGGATCAGTGATTGTATTGATTTCGGAATCAATTATTGAGCCTGTCAAACTCTGCCTTTATTAAAATTAACATAAAATAATGTTTAATTTTTTTAAGAATATTAAAATGCTGTCTAGAACATACGGTGAAGTGATGTTATTGTTTTGTGGTTAGAAATTGTCATAATTTCTTTCTATTCAACATGTTTATTCACTTCACTTTAATTTTTCATTAACAAATTTATTTAACTGCTTTCGAACTTGATTGACATATTATATTTACGCCCATCTTCAATTAATTTAAAGTTTCCCTGATTCTAAAGGTCATGAAAGTTAAAATCGTTCCATAGCATTCGTCACATTCTTTTTACTATCATACAACCACATATTGAACCTTATAACAACCGTCGTAAAATAGATAATTAATGGAAGTTCAAACGACAAAAAGTCGCCCATTTCAAGAAATATTATGTTGACAGTGTAAGTTTTTACATGTTTTACTTGTTTATTACTGTAAAACTGTAATTTAATAATACATTATATTATTAAATTACAAAACAAGAATGTTGTATATTTGTTTATTACCTACTTAATAAAAAATGTTGCTGCCATCGTATTACCGCTGTACCGCATGATATTTCCCGATTCGACTATGAGGTTTATTGTCATATCTATTAATTATGATTTAAAGAACTTTAAACTTAACATGTGGTATATAATTAATTATTAGATATAAATATTGAATATAAAACAACATATTTGTATAATAAATAAATTAATTGTAATAAAAAATAGTATTGTTTTATTTACCAACTCATTTGCTTCTTTTATAAAAAAAAACAAAAAAAAAATAAGAAAAATAACAAGGTAAAATAAAATTAACCTTTAGCTGGAATAGAACCCACATCATTGATCCTTGAAAGACGATAAAAGCGTGCTCATTAACCAATCGACCACGAGCACTACGATAATGACAGTGAAAATGTCGGGTCATATCAATGATTGTAAATAGTTTTAACCTTACCTATGCATTAAATTATAAAAATACGTATACCGACACAAGAATGAAAATACCAATGTGAACGTGGTGGACGAATATTTTTATATACAGTTATATGAAATTACGCACACATGTACACTGTGTAAATGACAGTTGTGTCGATGTGTAGCGCTGCAACTAATTAGCGGTGCTTTGTGTACAATACATAACTTAACGTATACCATTTCAGAACAGAACATTGCGTAATTCAAAGAAGCGTAGAATATTCAATAGTTTAATTTAGCACGCAATACACGTACAAGCTAAAGTCAATTCCATTACAAATTTAATCGAGGATTTCTATTAGGAATATCAATTGTCTAGCTTTTTGTACACGAATATTTTGTACCATAAGCATTAAGGCGAGGCCCCATTAGAGCGTTGCGTCGCGTCGTCGTAACGGAACAACCTATCAAACGGAGGCGACGGTGACGCTCGACGTCGTAGTCACGTCTCAGCTCATCTTTTGCAATGGATAGATACAAACGTGATACGTTGACGCAGCGCATCATCCTACCTCCCACTTCATCTCTTGTCCGTCGATTTAATTGAAACACTGCTCTGACGGTGCGTCGACGCAGAGCAACGGACAAATGAGACCTCGCCCTTAGATATTAATTTCGTGACAAGGACTTGAATTATAATGCAACATGATGTGTGGTATAATGCTAAATCATGCCATAGTCCAAAATAAAAACAGCCATCTAATTTTGAAGTCAAATATTTTAAACTGATAGGAGTGGTCACATAGGTGACATCATGAAATCATTTTTAGATTTCATATTATAAATAGTACGCAAAATGCATTGTCATTAGCACAATGACAACACGTTGATGGTGACGGCAAGGGCAGATTACATACATGTTTGTGACCACTTCTACTCTCCACGAGAATTGTAAAAGTAACTAAGAGACTATTATTATAGCCTATAAAGCTGTCCAGCTCTATGATGAACTTGAACCCTCTACCACGAAAAAAAATTAAAAAAGTCCAGCAGTAAACTTGTTACGGGCAGTTAATATACAAGGTGTTGTTTTAAAGCCGCGTCATGATATTATTCCTAATTCCATAAAACTACAATAAGAAACATTGCTGTCGCTTATTCTGAAATACTGTCGAACTTAAATGATTTATTATAGCCGTACTTTTAACTACTGGCCCGAAACTTTCTCTTACATTGAACCCTTATGACTTCTGTGACATGCCCCCTAGATATGTCACGGTTTCAAAACTACACCTTGCATGTTGAAAGAACGAACCACGTTATAAAGTTACATAATTTTACTGTATTATTTAAACAGCGTTCTCAAGGCACATGGTCAGCCCCGGGAACATCACGAGCCTCTCGTCCAGCGCACGCGCCACCCTCACAACACGCCCACCCCGGCGCCAATGACAGTGATGATGACGAACCACCCAATACAGACACCACTACAGCATTCCAACCCACTGAAATTGTGAATGAAGTTGAAGAAACTCCCGCTGATACCTCTTAATTGTAATTTTAATAAGTGAACAGTTTAATAAAGCAACTTTTGTAATTTGGCTTGTTATTTTTGTGTTTAACCCAATGTCCTCGCTGAAAGAAGGTATAGCGGTGTATCTTGTCGGGGTGTACAGGATTGTCCTAAGATTGATTTATATCTGTGCTTAAATGTTAAACCTTAACCGATTCAGCGCCGAGCCCGCCCATCGGCGGGTAATATTTTTTAACTGTCATACCGAGGCCGGCCATGGGTGATTTTAAACTGTAATAACTTTACGAAATAACGTCAGAAAGTAATGAAATGATGTTGTGTAATGATTTGTTTCATTAAAATTTATTAGCAACTCAAATGGTCTGTTGATATTTAAAGTTTAATCTGTCATGCTCAGCCCGCCTTTGGGCGAATAAACAATAAAACTATCACAAATTTGCCACATATATCGCACATACCTACACCTTTTACGTGTGGCACAGTACGCTTAAACTGAGCATATCAGAGGATTCATGTCGGAATCTGCAGCTTCATGCCAAAATTGCCAATGGACGGGCAAAAATACAAACCGAGACGCCGGGACCGCCGATAGGCGGGCTGCATAGTACAGTATGGCGAGGTATCTGGGTAATATCGTTACTTTTCACAAAGGCAGTGAATGGGTTAAGGTCCTAACGGGTAACCGGGGCTCTGGCTCGACGTGCAGGAGAAGGAACGGTGTGGTGTTTAGTCAGTAAGAGTCTGGCACTCCCTCCCGCCTCACCCAGGTGGGAGCAGTCATTCTATGAATTTTCCCCCTTAAAAAAAAAATTTCACTGGTGTCCGCTTGGTTGCGCAACCAGTTTATACATTGTGTAGCTAGCAGCGACTGGTTCCGCCGCCATAATGACCCGGTGAAACACAGGCCTAAATGTCATCCACCACGTTGATTAAGATTCTGTTCCTGGCTCAGGCAGTGTCATTGGGTATTTTCGATGAAAATCTTTGTGTTACAAAGAACGCATTGTGGAATATTTGTGCTAATATTTATCCCTGACACTTATTATAATTTATAATGGTTCTACGTAAGCAAATAGTTTCAGCCTGGATAGTGCCCACACTACGTGTTTGCTCTAAATAGGTACTAATGGCTGATTCACAAGCACGTTCTGCTTTGTATTTTCAAAGAACTGCTTAAATTTTATGTAGGTATATTTAAGCAAACCAGGACAAAAATATGCATGATTCAACGAATTTATGTAATGCAACCTCTTACAGGATATATATAACTGTAGGTGCCTCATATAGCTTAAATAGGATGTCTGCTGAGATCATTTATGTGAATTGGGAGTATTCGTCATGTCCTCAAGTAAAGGTCGGTCAGGTCACTTGACTACTTAGTACGGGTCGCCGCTCTGATTGCTCTGCTCCAATAAACCAACCAATCAGAACGCAGTCTCTTTTCGATTAGTCTAAATGTATAACAAACCCCTATTAAGGCATCTGATACCTAAATGAGGTAAACAATAACAAGATCGAGCCTATATTACCTATGTATGTTATATTCTAAAAATAAATACCATTCCTCAGGCTTTTATTTAGTTCCCGATATTTGTATATTCCATAAAATCTTTGCTAACACAGGAATTTTTGAACAAGTTATGTTGAACCAGTACAAATAAAACACGTTACTTCGGCTTCTTTCATGTTCAAACAACGTACATAATAGGTCAGAAGAACAGGGGGCTTACTCTTGAATCCAATTCCGATCGATCGACATTGATATTGTGAAATTTTGTACTCTCGAGTTGCAACACTAGCGCCCATTGCATCCGTGTTGCGTGGATATTGAATGAACTAAATGGTATTGAGTTTGGCTTTATATTTCGTACTCTGAATGCTATTGTAACAGCTACGATTGTGGTTGTATAGTGTTGACATTGAATAATTATTGAGATTTTATTGGATCAAAATTGCATTGAAATTGAGATTGGTTTCAAGAGTAAGCGCCCTGATCTGCGATCACTGATATCAAGATTTTAAATGCAAAATAGTATCTGTATATTTCACAGTTTGAATTATTTATCGTCTTTTGCCTTTATAAATCATTCGCCATTTGACGTCAGTTACATTCGCGTCGAATAATAAAATTAAACACGCTAACATGTGTTTTTAGTAGACCTTAAAATATCAGTTTTACTGATACGGTATGTAGTGGCAATGCGTGCTAATTAAAAACGTACCTACCTATGTTTTCAATAAAACACTCTGTGTTCATAAATGAAATATTTTATTAACATTGATTATATAAAAATAAATCTTAACATTTTATACATAGGATGTTGTGTTGCGAAGCTGAAATTTAGAAAAGACCTTCGATTTCTCCTGTTTTCGTGTTGAGGTCTATGTCGTAGATGCTTGGTCTAGTGGGAAGACCAGGCATTTTGGAGATTTCTCCCACCATTGGGACAACGAAGCCAGCACCGACAGACGCAAAAATACCATTTATTTTTAGTGTGAATCCAGTAGGCGCTCCCTTTACAGCTGGGTCTCCAGTCAACGAGTTCGATGTCTTGGCCATACAGATCGGGAATTTGTCGTATCCCTGTAAATATGAAATTAGTTTTAAAGTAACTAGAAATATGTTGTATTCAAGATAGATGATGACACACATATACAAAAGATTCGGAAATATCGTGGCTAAACAGAAACTACAATGGTTTTGGAAAAATGTGGATTCATTTTCATTTGAAAGAAAAAATCACCGTGAAAACCCGAGCTTCATGTTTCATTCAACTGAATTTTAAAATTATAAAAGACATCGTAAACACATCGATCGAACTAAATATAGAGTCTCAAGATCAGTTTTTAAGTGGAAACAGCTCATGGGTTCTTCCCACTTGAAAAATCTATAAATTGCGAACAACTACTCTAATTTAGTTCAGGTCATGGAATTTAAACAACATTAAGTTACATTTACATATGGATGATTGGGTTCAGAAACTTTGTTTTCAGTAAAAAACAAGCGTGATTTACATCACGCTTGTTTTTTACTGAAAACAAAGTCTGTATTTATTTATGCTACTAGTATATTACTTGCCTACTCATTATTTTTTCAGGTACACATTTGTTTCACTGAAAGAAACCTAACTATTTACATGCGTAATGTTAATATGAGCAAAAATCATCAGTCTAGATGTGTAATTTTATTCACGGGATCCACAGATTGTCGGTGACGGTGGTGGGATCCAAGAGAGGTAGGGCACAGTGGGTACACCCCTCTCAAATTTGGAGCAGCCCGTCTGGGGAAGGACCTCCACCTTACAGAAAACAGCAGCCAAATAACACTATTTCGGCAGTGTTGTGTTCCTACTGTGAGTAAGGTATCCAGATCTCTAGAAGATTTATTGTGTCGGTAACGGGGGACCGGTGATGCAAATGCTACGGTTGCAGATTGCAGTTGCGGTGTGTACCACAGCGGTCAGTGAGACCCAGAGAAACGGTTCGTCGCTGGCCGCCCGCGAGTCTGTAGAGTTCCCGAACCCAGAAATAACAGAAATAACTATCTCCGCCCTGGGAGGCTGAACTGCCAACCCGGAAAAATCTGCTGTAGTGGTCGTGCCGGAGAAGGAGACCGGAGCGGACTCGGCCATTGCATTGGGGGGGGGGGACTGGGGGCCCTCTCGTACGTCGCGTCGACAAACTGCACCCCTGTGCTGGCCTGTGGCAGATCGGCATTGCAAATTTTTCTCCTAAGCTATCAACACAGTAAATCCTCCATAAACCTATTCAAAATCCTCCACAAAAATAAAAATGACGATAATGCACCTGCAATTGACGACTGATATTGTAGTTATTGAGCAATACCCGTTTGCGGAGTTAGTGATCTTAGGAGACTTTAACGCCCATCACACCGAATGGCTTAGTTCTCGGTCCACTGACTACGCGGGGAGGTATGCTTACGAACGAATTTGCTTTGGCCTATGGTCTCTCACATCTGGTACATTCTCCAAAAAGAATACCTGACATTGAGGACCATACGAGTTCCATATTGGACTTTCTGCTGACTCAACGTCCGGATGGCTATTCCATATCAGTGGATGTACCTCTCGTACCTTCCGAGCACTGTCTTATCCGGACTCTAGCACCATGCGCATGCCTGAATCCACCTCGACCAACTAGCTAACGGCGCATGTGACAGTATAAATCAGCAGACTGGGATGGATTGCGAGAGTACTACGCATCGTACCAGTGGAGGCAGCTTTGCTTCACATCAGAGGATCCCGACACCTGTGCAGCTGCTGTCTCTGAGACAATGCTGTCGGGTATAAATAAAAGAAAGAAAGAAAAACCGTTTATTTTGCTACGACACACAACAAGAATTTAGGAACACACATATGTATGGTATATTTTATTCCAAATTCGTTAATCGCTACAGGCACAAAGAAACGACCATGGTTTAATAGGTCCTGCAAAACTGCTAGACAACTCAAGCAAGCCACATTCAGGGCTTGGACCATGGCTCGTATTTTTCTGCTGTGAAACGCGAACTTAATGCTGCCTCGAGGTCCATCAAAAGAACAATTGCCGAAGCAAAATTCGATTTCATCGAGAGGCTAGCAGGCTATACCCCTGGAACTTGTGCCTTCTGGTAATTTACATTACTTACGTAATTACATACATTTCATGTACGTAGACCGAATCTAAATGAGATAAAAATGTATCAAATTGAAGCTGAACAGCACTCGGGTAAACCCACAAATTTCATACGTATGAAAAGACCTAGTCATCCATTGTAAATTGCAAGTAATGGAGGTACCTATCTACAATGTTCAATTTAATTCGTCGAAGTCTATCAATTTAGATGAAGTAATCGCGTTGGTATTAGATATGACTCATACAGTCCATAATTAGATTAGCAGCTAACAGGATCTCGATATTGGATTAATTAGAGAAAAGATGTATGAATAAGATACCATTTATTCGTACCAGCAGATGAGTGCAAGGCAAATGATTGTGTCAAAGATACCTACATTTTTTGACATTACTAGTACCCTCCTTATAATTCGTTGTAGAGAGATTCGTGGTAGACGATTCTAGATTTGTATCGTATTCGTAACATATGTACTCGCTCAGTATGTGCGGGACTAACAACATAAGGAGCGACAAATGGTCGCGTTTGCCTATCACTAAAAAGGGCAGATCAATCATTACGTCACCCCTGAGTCATCAATATATCAAAATACTACATTTTAGTATGTTGTTGCCAGTAGACAGTAATATAATACAACATGTGGTCTCGTGGTGAGGGGCGGGCATCTGTTTTCATATGTAGTGGTAGCGGGTAGGTGGGAATACCCTATAAAAATGTTATCAGGAAACTAGCTATTCCACATTCCCCAATTTTGCTAGAAATAAACTGGAACCATAGTGATTACAAGTCTGTCATGACGCACGCCGCTATCTAACGTAATGGGATCAATAATAAAATTTTGACATTGACTCTGACACCTACGGCCTCCCAAAAAAACATATGACATACCATATCCGTAAACGTCTTGATCTTCTCGAGAACTTCATCAGTGTATTCAACCTGTCCTGCTCCATACATCTCCTTGGCAATGATTTGAATCTTCTCCTGGATGGACAGCTGCAGTGGGTATAGGAATTCGAACTTGGACTTGGAGTCACAGGCCTCAATGACAGCGTCTGCCAACTCCAGGGCTCCGAGACCACCCTTAGCCCAGTGGTCGCACAGTACCGCTCTGAATGCTCCATTCTTAACTGCGAATTCTTTTACCAGGTTCAGCTCAGCGGGCGTGTCGTTACTGTAAGAATTTATTTGATATATTATTTAGACCTTAAAATTTGGTTGTTACATTACTACATTAATGAAATGTGGATAGTAGAAATGTATAAGTGATGATGTGATAATCTGCTAGCACACCGCTCAGTACCATACCACAAATGCAAGTTCGCTGTATGCGACATGCCTATCAACCACACTTATAACGATATGTAAATCGTATAGACCTACGTCTATCACAAATCTATTCTACGGACGGTGAATAAATTTTTTTTTTTTAACAATTATATAGGTTACTTTGGTACTTGTGTGTACTTACCCATGTTTGTTGATAGCAACCACAACTGGGACACCGAACTTGTTTCCGTTACTTATGTGCTTGCCCAAGTTGCAAAGACCTTTGCTAAGAAGTTCCAGATTTTCCTGAAAGCATTCCAATGTGCCATTAAAGCATTTGAAAATAGTTCCGCAATAAAATTGTTTGTTCATAAACTTCGTAATCACAATATTCGAAGTGTAACCCTGAAAGGGCAGCTGACCGTACATACTTAGGTTTATGGATCGTTAAATTTAAATTTTCTGGCGATTAAAACATAACCAATGCTCTCAGTTGCAAAATAATATTTTGCATATTTCAGTCTCTTTCTCTCCATCTTTTATTTTTATACATTCCTTGTTATTTAGGTCGAATATAAAGGGGCCACACATTGCGCACAAGGTCACAAGACGGAAAGTATCGTATTGAATCCACGGATCAGTGAGCATACCATGAAACGATTGGATTACGAATCACCAGTCTATAAGCCATAACGAAATAGCTTAGTATTCAACTATCTATACTTATAATAAATAAATACTTATAATAAATCTGTAGAGAGGTCAATTCTGTACATAAAATATATTTAAAAAATAACTATTAAGGGGTGGTTAGGGATCGCTACTGATGCCAAAAATGCAATCAGTAAAATTTTTGTCTGTCTGTCTGTCTGTCTGTATGTTCGTTATGGAAACAAAAACTACTCGACGGATTTTAACGAAATTTGGCACAATTATTCTTCATACTCTTGGGCAGGTTATAGTATACTTTTTATTACGCTACGATCAATAGGAGCAGAGCAGTGAAGGGAAATATTGGGAAAACGGGAGAAGTTACTCCATTTTTAAGCTTCCGTCGCGTGTGCAGGCTTACAGGTTAAAGCTGCATAGAAATCATGTATGACGGAAATATTCTCCATAAATTTATATAAAACATATTCCTCGACAGCATATGTCTATCTTTTATGGTTGACTCACAATAACACGTGAAACTCCCGATAGCTGAGCAATTCGGTAATTTCTGATTGTATTTGTCTACTCTAACGTTTACAATACTCATTCATAGACTTTACGTTGTAACTGAAAGGCAAATGGTTGAAATTAGCTTGACTCGATATTATAAATGAAAATATGTGAGTTTATGTGTATGTTTGTTACTCAGTCATATTAAAACGAGTGAAGGGACCGGAATGAAATTCGGAACAGAGGTAGACTATGGTCTGAAGTGATACATAGGCATTTTACCCCTGGGACCGCGGGCGAAGCCGCTGGCAGAAGCTAGTTGATTAATAAATTTACTGTCAATTTTTATTACCTGTACGTAGACATCGTTGAGTGGCATACCAGCGGACACTGGGGGCCCACCACCGTGCATCTTCAGGGCACGTACTGTGGACACGATGACCGCGCAGTGAGGGGTGTCACCACTCGCACGGCATTTGATATCGAAGAACTTCTCCATACCTAAATATTAACGGTTGTTGCTTAATTTTCCTCATCTTTTTAATATGATAAAATTCGTATACATAAGTATGACACTAAATTACTAGGCTTAGATACTGGATGACCCTTGATATTTTAAGGAGATGACGCTGCAATAGATTATGGGTCAGACCATTAAGTCTACTATAGGAAAAAGATCTCTAAATCTAGTCTTATATTCTAAACAATAGATTGAGAGAAAATTTCAATGGAATCTTACCAATATCAGAACCGAAACCAGCTTCAGTAGCAACATATCCGTTCTCTCCAGCCAGCTTCATGGCGATCTTGTCAGCCAGTATGGATGAGCAGCCGTGGGCAATGTTGGCGAATGGACCAGTGTGGACAAGTACTGGGGTACCTTCCAGGGACTGCATCAGGGTCGGCTCGAAAGCATCACGTAGGAGAACCAAGAGTGCTCCTGTCATACCCTGTTCATGTGATACGAAGTGATGTATAAGTAACGGTTTAAGTATTTCACAATATCTAAATTGCATCTTTCCACCAAAAAGCTGTATAGAACTCGAAGCCTAAGGTTTTAAAGTTGAAATTTTCCCAAAACGTACCAAGTCATCAGCAGTGACAGGGTTGCCACTCTTGTCGAGGGCTACCACCATGTTGGCCAGCCTTTCTTTGATGTCCTCCACATCCTTGCCCAGAGCGAGGATAGCCATGATCTCTGAGGCTACAGAGATATCGAAGGCGGTCTCTCTTGTGAATCCCTTCTCAGTAGGAGACTGTCCGACCGTGATCTTACGAAGATATCTGTCGTTTAAGTCCACAACTGCAAAGGAAAATTGGAAAGTTGAAGTTAATTTTTATTTGATCGGTACTGCGATGCTGATTCAGTGCTGCTAATAGTAAAAGTGGTGCTGGAAATACAAATAAATTTTGTCATCCAATAAAATGGCCATAGTTCCTCATATACCCAAAGTCATTCGTGTTAAATTCAGCGAAACGTTTTGATAGTATTATTGAGTCTTGTCTCCATTTTCAATTATTTCGCATGTTTCATGGCGCCGGGCGCTCAATTTATCACTGTTAATTGTATGGTCATGGTTTGTTCCATATTAATAATTAATGACTGATGGGTCTTTCAGACTTTTAATTACCATACACCGCGTGAGCATACAGACTCACCATTCAGTTTACATAAGCTTCATAATTGGTTGAGATCAATCGGGTTTTTCTGACGATTACTAAAGTCTAAAATATAAGTAACATAAACAAATGTGCGAAATCGTCACTTTTGTTTATGTTACTCGTCACTTGCGGATTGAAGATAGACTAAACTATGTCTGGAACCACAATATAAACAAAGTGCTTTGAACACTTAAGATTGACCTTGTTTAACTCGATTTTGAAACTAGTGGCGTAATTCAGTTCAATTTTCCTTTCAAAAAATTGCAGGTCTTCGAAAAATGTATCACACAAGTACCTCTGTTCCACATAATTTTCGAAGTGTCAATGTTCAAACGAGCGAATTTCGACTTCTCTCCTTCTGTCAGGGTATCAGGATCTGTCTTTGTAATGCCCAGCCTCTTCAGTCTCCTAAGTTGGATGGGGGAGAACTTCCTAACACCCTTGATCTTGGGTACAAGTCTGTCGAACAGTGGGCCGTCCTTCTGGGTCAGTTCGTGGAAGATCCTCGCGTCCATTTGGGCAGCGAGCAAGTTGTTGGCAGCAGTTACAGCGTGGATGTCTCCTGTCAAGTGGAGATTGAACTCTTCCATGGGGATGACCTGTCGAGATTGAACATGTTCGTCAGGTAAAAATCTAATGCAACGTCACTACGTCAGAAATGACAGACTTAATGAGATATCCGACCTTTTACTAGAGATAAGTTTCTTAGGTCTCTTCAATAGTATGCTAATCAATTCAGCTCTTAGTAACCCAGTCACTGCAAGCAATTGCCATTAAGTCGTTTATAATATTTAAAACGACTTACTTGTGAGTAACCACCACCGGCAGCACCTCCTTTGACTCCGAAGGTAGGTCCCTGGCTGGGCTGACGCATCACAGCAAACGAGTTGCGACCGCGGTGTGCTGACAACGCTTGCACCAGTCCCAAGAGTGTTGTACTCTTACCCTCACCCAGGGGAGTTGGTGTAATTCTGTGGAAATAAATATATTTCGTAACAAAGAAGAAAGAGAAGGAAAAATTCCAAAAAAATGCTAAAATCGTAGACAATTTAGCAGCGTTCAATTTTTCCTTATTCAAGAGAAAACAACTCTGAAAAATAATGATTCACCTTATATCTGTTTTGATAACTTTTGCGAAATCGAACTAATCGCGGTCAATATGTTTATTCCTAGAATAAATTAATACTTCAAAAATAATCATAGTTATAACCACATCTTGTAAAATTCGAAGAAAAATGCTTCCTCACCCAGCAACCACGATGTATTTTCCACCTTGCTGGTTCCTCATTCTGTCGAGGACTGACAGAGAGATCTTAGCCTTGGTGCGTCCATACTGCGACACTTCGTTGGAGAACAGACCAATCTCATGCGCCAACTCACTTATATCTTTGGGCTTTTGAGAACGGGCAATCACGATGTCACTGTGAAACAAATTAAATATTGAGTACTTCCACTTCTCTTCGTTTTGGGAAAATAGTCTTTGAGCATAAATGATTGTGGATACCAACGTAATTTGTGAACTCAGAATTTTGTATTCTCCGTCATTTGGACTCTCTGCAGCACTAGTTCCTAGGGAGACCTTTTGGTTCGCTAGTCAGTTGGGAACATACCTAGGTGGCGGGGACAGCGGCGTGATACGGAGTGGTCGTAGTGGCCACGCGGGGGCCAGCAAGCGGTCAAGCTGGCGGCGCGCGGCCTGCACGGTGTTGCGCATGAGCATGGCCACAGTCATGGGGCCCACACCCCCGGGCACCGGCGTCACGTGCGACGCCACCTGCACCGCCTCCTCATAAGCCACGTCACCCACCAAGCGCTGGCCACTCTTCTTCGACGGATCTATCCAGAAAATCAGCAATGGTTTACTTCTCTAATCGTTCACTCTTTTTATTTTACTCCTAATTGGTTCTTCACTGTGTCCCACTTCTAAAAGACCATCTCTAATCACGTTTCGGAAAATTCTCTTCAACAAATAAACTCTTATCAAAAATATCCAATTTTCTGGTAATAAATCACAACGAAACTAGTCGTCATCGCAGTAACCAATTGAATTGTTTACACAGTAGCTTATCACCGTGCGACGTTTGGCCGAACCGGGCAGCACTGTGGTCGGCACATCGTCGCCAATGTTTTGTTTCCACCGCCTGTTCCGTCTATTGTCATCCACATTACACATTTCCTACTAACATCAATATTTTACAATAATGTTACTGAACTTAGTCCCGTCTTGCCCATTGTTCTGCATCTAAGGTATTTATACCTAGTAAGGAAGAATGGCTCACCAGATATGGGATTGATACCGCAGTCAATGACTACAGCACCGGGTTTGATCCAGGAGCCGCGGACCATCTCGCCCCTGCCTATAGCTACCACCAGTATATCGGCAGTCTTGGTCTGTGGACACACAAAGAAAAAATTCACTAATGTGGCTCGTTAGTGATACAGAAGACAACCTGATTGGTAATGGAAGAATCTTTGAAAATTTAAAAAGAAGTTCAGATAAGGGTCAAAGATTTTGATACGTATTCATTTCACACAATCTGACTTACAATTTCACTCAAGTTCTTGGTCTTGGAGTGGCAGACGGTGACAGTGGCATGTTCCCACTTCAGCAGCTCGGAGACTGGAGTACCGACGATACGGCTACGGCCCAGCACCACGACGTTCTTGCCAGCAATGGTTACGCCAGTGCGTTTGATCAGCTCTACGCAACCAGCTGGTGTGCAGGGAATGAAGCCAGACAAGTCACCGACGGCTACGCGACCCTCATTAATTGTGTTTAAACTGGGGAAGTAAAAATGAGTTACCTATAGTTGACATACGTTTGGTATTAAGCTTGACGAAAGGTTTGGGTATTTTCAAAAACTTTTTCTGAACAATAATTAGTCTTATATAGATATTCAAATCAAGATTACTTCAAAGCTACACTGCTCTGGTGCCATGGTCTGTGGAAATATACTAAAACACAAACTATTTTCTCTTTCCCTCTTCTGGATTCTTCTCTTTCACACTTACCCATCCACATCCTTGTCGGGTGAAACGGCATCAGTGATGGCATGAGAGTCGATCGGATGCTCAGAGTCTAAGGGCATCTGCACGATGATACCGTGCACGTACGGAGACTCGTTCAGGCTGGTGATCTTGGCCAGAAGCTGAAGGGAGAAGAAACAGGTTGATTAATGGAATTTAAGAAAGAAAATTTTATTCTTTAGCATTAATCATTTATACTGCTTTTTTGTTCGAGTGGTCGGAAGTGCAACAGCCGAGCAATGGGTTTCGGTTTCAATTTCCGAGTCAGGTGAATAAGGAATTCTTCCTTTGAGTGAGAATTGAGTTATTTTCAGTTTTTCGAAATGTAATAATTGAGGAGAGGTCGAGAGTGAATACTTACGGAACCATTTAGTCAAAACAAACAGTAAGACAATGAAATTCTTAGGATTTATGTATGCAGAATTTTACATCATACATTATTAACACGATGACGACCGTTAGACATCAGGCAGCTATATATACCTTAAATTACGCTGCAGAATAAAAATTTGATTAGGTAAACGACAAGAGACCTCAAAGTTACAAAACTGGCGTTCTACTTTAATATGTAACTTATGGCTGAAATTATTAACTAATCCTTCACAGAAACTACAACATCCTACAATTAACCCTTTGGCCTCTGCCTTGAATTTTGCCGCAAATGCCGCGATCCGGCAAAATTCGAGGCAAGGCCTTATAGTGCCACGCCAGTAGAGGTTTTACTTTCATCATTTTTCACCGACTTCAAAACGCAGAATCTCAGTTATGACCTGTACGTATGTATCTATGTACGTACATATGTGTATCTCGCGATTGGCTAAACTGTTTTTGATTCGGTTTTCAGAAAAGTGTTTGTGTTACACTTTGTTTGTATTGTGAGAAAAGTCACAGACAACACGGACAACAGGGTTAGTGCGGTGGCTGGGCAACCGGCTACCATGCGACGTGTCGCGGGTTCGATTTCCGCACGGAGCAACTCTTTGTGTGATCCACAAATTGTTGTTCCGGGTTTGGGAGGCATGTGTACGTGAACTTGTATGTTTGTAAACACACCCACGACACAGAAGAAAATCCAAGCGTGGGGTAACGTTTAAAAAAAATAAAAAAACATAGGAGTAGGTTTCAGTATGTTAATTATTTAATTAACCGACTTCATTAAAACGGGGGTTGAAGTCGGTTTTTTTAAACGTAGTTATGAAAGAATTATGAACTTGGCAGTTATTATACAGTAACTTAATTGTGTGGCAGGGAAATGCGTAATTAATTTCTATCGGGAAACAGTGCATCCTTGTAAGTGCGATTGGTGACCACCCGAGTTGCTATTTCCAAACCTACATCCTAATCTTTTTCGCAACAAGTTATGCAAATACCTACTAAAAGTTCATCACCTTAGCATAACAAAATAGAGACGGACGTATCCTGCACCGATTCTTATTAGTCGCTTTGTAGGAGGCAATCCTTTTATTAAGATTTTAACTGACACATCTGTTCACCCATTCTGAGAACATAACATCTGACTATATTAACCACAGAACATATAATTATATGGTCTGTGGTTGTTTTACATTACACAATATTCAAGTAGATTAGTATTACGCAGTGATCTTGACGTATGGAACCAAAAATAAATTCGCGCAGATGTTATCAAACGAAAGTGTATGTAACTTGTAAACAAGAATAATAATTAAGAACGATAATTGTACAGCATCATGTGATTTATTATATTTGTTACATCATGCGAAGAAAACAGTAAACAGATTGTTATAAACTTGAATGATATGTATTATCGTGTGTCGTAGAGGTCAAGGTGGACTGTGGAGCGATGGACGGACAATTCCATCGCTTACTTGGGGGTTGTAAGTAGGTACCTATATTGTTGTACTAGGTTACCTTATGCCCGTTTTTAAGGAACCCCTAAGTAAATATAGGTGACATTCAACTACATTTTGGTTTATACTAACCTAATCTAACAGTGGGATAATTTAGGTGCAACGTTCAGCTAAATAACTTTTAGTTAGTTAAGCGACAGTTGAAGAATGATTGGTGAAAATGGATATAAAGAACTATAATTATGTAGGTTGTACTCATTTCCTATCCATTATGATTGTTTTGGTGGTGTCCTGTTCCTCAGATACTATGTTAAGCAACCAGGAATGTGGTTAAACCCCTCAGAAGTCAGACTTATGGATTTGTGAAAGACAGATGGCAGACACTTTTCATAAAATATTAAAATTCATCTAAATCTGGATAAGACTTAATGCAGACTCCAAAAACGAGGGCAAAAACCAAGGAAGACTTTTTTTATGGCATAAATGCAAACGAGCAGACAAATGACCCGATGGTAAGCGATCAACGCCGCCCATGGACACCCGCAACACCAGAGGTGACACTTCTTTTGTGACAGATCTACATCATGAGATCTATTTCGTTTTCATTTAGCGGCAAAACAGTAAACTTGCCATAAAGAGTATCCTTGTATAAAGTAAAAACAAAAAGAAGTTATTTTATATTATTGTATAATTTTTTTCGTGGTAATCCGCACATGAAACTAGACGTTTAGTAGTCACTATTCGCATCGCACGTGCCGCCCGACGAGAAATAGGTACACCTCTTCGAGAATTACATGGCGTAATGTTTTGATAATGTACTATGGGTTCGTATGCGCTTTCGAAGTTTGCTTTTTGCAGTGTCTCACCAGTTGTTTTTTGTTTTAAACATTTTATTTTTTTGTAAAACTATTGTATTACCAAGACAGAAAACGAAATAGATTTCAAGATGTATATATACCTAGATAAATACATATGTAGGTATAGTGTGATTGATGAACTTAATTTAACACGTATTTTTTTCCAAAAGGGACAATCATACATTTTTACAATAATTTATTTTTTATGAGTTCCTTATTTAAAAAGAAGGCCTATGGCTAGACGAGTCATACACCCAGAGCATGTGCATTGAAAAATTTAATTTTGATCCGACTTGAGAATGGTGCTGAAAACCTTTGCACTTGCCTTTGCAGAAGAGTTCAGCTTACGGCCATTTGACCTATCAGACTATAAAAAGTATTTTTTTTTAATGGGACAAGCCCGCCACAACCTCCCAAAACCGCTGCAACTCCTGTAAGCCAGGATCTACAGTAGATACAACCATGAAAACACCGGAATACTGAAGTCCGGCGCGTCCCAGGGACTATAAACAATATATTTTATCTGCCTACCCATTTCCTTTTATTGGAAATGGGTAGGCAGAGGTGCACATTATGCCACTGTACAGTGTAACACCCACTTTTCACTATTTATATTATGAGTCCCATGTTATGGGGGTGAGCCTATTGCCATATGCCGGGCACAATTCCAGACTCCGTGCTACTACTGAGATTTTTTTTTAATCCAGTAATACTTTCCCGACCCGGTAATCGAACCCGAGACCCCTTGCACTGGCGACCATTGAGCCAACGAAGCAGTCAGTATATAAAATTCTTGTCAATTTTTCTGTGATAAGACACCAGAGGGCAAAAACCGAGTAACTACACACATGTGCGCCTGCTAAACATAACACTTCAATTATCGTTTCTGCAATCCATTGCTATATATAATTTACAAGGGGCCGTAAACATTTTTACACAAATTGTTCAGTTGCAGGAAAACTGGCTTATTTTCTTTACATTATGATATAACTTCATGACATATATAATGTTGTGTAATTTAGAAACTTCGCCTCCTGTCATGATCAGCCACAAGACGTCGAATACTGAACATTCCTAATGCCGTCTAGACCGGCCGGTTAATCTCCAGACTCCATCAAGTTACAACGACTTTGCAGCATAATTTTCTTATAGTTTATGTCTACCCAGTTTATATTGGGTTACTGAGGCCACGGAATGGAACCTGTTCTATCACATTACTCGATTTTCTATTGGTACCCACCTATAACTACCTGAACCGCTTTTTTATAAAACCTTCCCGAACTTAAAAAAAAAATATTAGCCAATTGTTGCATACCGTTCTCTAGTTCTGCGCTTAGCAACAATTTGACATAAGTACCTGTTTAATTTATAAAATAGTGATTTATCTTATCTTACCTCAGTCTCAGTGATGTCTCTGGGCAGCTGGATGTGCTCAGCAGTGATGCCGATATTTTCTGCAGCCTTCAGCTTCATCCTGATATATACGTTGGAGTCCTCCCGTCCTCCAACCTGCACGATGGCCAGCCGTGGCTCGAACCCAGCCCAACGGGACCGAGCTTCAGCAACTTGCTCCCGAAGCTCATTCTCGATAGATCTGATGATGAAAAGAATACATTAAAAATCAGCGCATTATAGCTCTTAAACACCTTCAAATTAAGACTTCAATTGTTGCGAGCAAAAGATTTTTTGCACATTTCAAAATGACGTCAATTTATTGTTTAATTTTATTTAATGTACGTCATTAAGATATAGGTTTTAATTTGGGAAAGAATTTATTACTCCGATATTTTAGTTTATGCAACTTTATGGGCAAAAGTAACATTCAACTTGATAGGGTTCGAAAATTTGCGTGACGTGGCCAAAAATCACTGTCCGGTGAATAAAATCTAAACACGACAATAGTGAAAGTAAAAGTAATGAATGAAAACAGATACTTTTATCTACACGATAACTTAAAGCCCTAAAAATATCTATAAAGTATCTTTACTTAGCTACTTGTGTTCCCGAAATTGGTTTTGCCATTTTTTGTTCGTAGACCGTATCTTCCTTCGGTCCCTAATCGACTGACTAAAGAACAGATGAGACAAACGTCGTGAGCATGCATTCAACCCCAACCGATAACCCCAGTGACATTATAGAACACACCACAAAACAAAATCTGGTTACATCTAAAATTACTGAACAAAGTTGGTTAGAATCAGTTGAAGAGTTTTAGAAAAAGAATGAACTTCTGACACCTAACTTAACTTGTTTAGATAAAATAGAAATAGATTGCTAATATTATATTCTTATTGTTGTTTAAAAAAATATCAAACTATATTTCATCGTATTAGAGGACATTTTACATAGGTATCTATAAAAGCCGGTATATACTTATTCTACTTACTACTCGCGTAATGAGTATGAAAATAACATGGAGGGTACAATTACCTGCCAATTTATGACATGCAAAACAAATCATAAGTTTCCTACCTTACAGTCGAGTTAGATAACCTTCTAACAACTTGTACGACAGGCAACCGTCTTAACAAAAACATATTTTTTATTCGACTTAATTAAAATAGTAAAAACATGCGCACGTATTTCTATTAAAACTAAACTACGACCTCCTTCTAATAACTCTCTAATAGTTATATTAGAATTAGAATATATTTATCTTTAAAAATATTAACGATAAGTATTGACAATTTGAGCATAAAATTGTTTACCAGTTGTCGAACAAACACATTGTTTTTGTTTTAAATGGGGACTACGTCATAATTGTAAGATAAGAGATACACTGATCATTTAGCAAGAACAAGCAATTATTATGTTATATTGGACACAGAGTATTAAATATGCATTGAAACCAAGCAAGGGTTCATATTAATTTAATTTTCAAAATTAAATTAAAATAAAATTCCAAAATGAATTTTGGAAAACTACGCCTAGGTACAACAGGCGTAGTTCAGGTTCTAACAGTAAGTTCGCCCATATTACATCACATTCAAACATAACTGGCGGAAAGCAGTATCCAATTTGAATAGTCCGGCTCGACCGGGGAAGTACCACCCTATCACAGAACACCGGTCTAAATTAGTGACGTAATGTTATTGCGTAAGTGAGTATTATCCCCTGATACATTGGGCCCTCATTATCAGTACCCTCTTAGACTACGCTGCGGCCCTAACGCACACGATCATTCGCGGCCCTCTTCCAATGTATCTTTTTTTACATTACCGGGTACCTACGTATCGAATTTGCTCCTGTATCTTGGGTGCGTTTACAAACATATACATGACACACGAAACCACAATTTATGAATCACACAAAGATTTGCTCCGTGCGGGAACCGAACCCTCTACCCGTTGCACGGCAGCCGGTTACCGTGCAACGTGGTATGTGTAGGTTCTAAAACTTGTCGGGCCTTCGGGACCCCTGACTCCCTGGGCACGGGCCCGTAGTGCTCGTATGTTAAAGACGGTACTGCTCATTATCGGAAACTCTCCGAAAATCTTAGGACAATCAAACAGACTCCTACATGGTCACAACGCCCTTGTGACACCTATAGCTATGTTGTAGGTGAATTTAATCAAGCTAATTTCATGCTTTTGATGCTATCATACAGTGGTATACCGATACTACTAGTCACAGAGAACCTAACGGGTAACCGGGGGAGAAGAAACGGGGTGGTTTTTAGTCAGTTAGAGTCTGACACTAAGACGGGAGCAGTTACTTATGATTTTCCACACTTAAAAAAAAAATATACCGATACTGTGATACTGTATTAGAACCGTCTAATATCCATCTCTATTTAACTGTAGGTACACTGAGCGAGTTCACAAGGACCACTTATTCTATATAAATGTGTGTAAGGAAATATAGTTTGCAGTTAAAATTTTAATAAGTTTATAGTTTAATATAGTTCATAGTTAATAGTTTAGGAACCATATTTTAAGTTACTATGTCGAATTAGGTTAAGTTATCTGTAATGACAAAGTAATTGTATTAAATAAATAAATATTTACGGACGAAATCAACAACCGACTCTAATCTAAAACCGTTGAATTGGCCCGGGTCTTTAATAAATTCAATTTTGTAACTACACGAAGACTTTGTGAACTATAGTTAAATAATATCGAATATACCTCTACATAACTGCATAGTATGCACTTGCTACAACACTATCGACACTCATTAAAAAATATATTTACCGAGATTACTTAATGCCTTTTAAAATGAAATGTTATCTATTTCATAATTACGCAGAGACGATATTTAAACAGGCTTTTTCATATCAAAATTATAAGCAGAGAATAACATCGCACCTGCGATTCCCTCAAAGACTAAGCATAGGTATGTAATTGGCACCAAATTTTCCCCAGTTATATATCAAGTCCCACTTTAATCAAGTGCAACGTTGTTGGCAAACACTAGGAATAAAGATATCACCCATAAAAAACACTACCTATACAGTAAATTAACTATCAATGATGGACACATTACCCTCGTTTACGTTGCGCAGTCAAGCAAAACCGAGATGACAATCAAGATTATGCATAGAGAAAGTTGAAGATGATATCATGCATATTAATCATCTAGATAATGATTAACTAATAACAAATGAACTTGAAACAAAAATAAAATTACTCAGCCACTGCAAAGCCTGTGATTGGAGACTCCATCCTGTTGACCGCGTCTTCCTTCGGTCCCTTACCGACTGACTTCCGAATTTAAGAATATCGTAAAACGTAACATGCATTCATCCAGTTGATAACCCCATCGACATAGACGGAATACACCAGAAAACAAAATCTGGTTCAAACTAAAATACTTCACAAAAGCGGATGAATTCAGTTTTTTAAATCTTAGAGGTAAATAACTTTTGACATCCGCACTAAAGAAATGTTTAACTCTGTCTGACTGTTTGTTTGCACGCTTACTCGTTCAGTCGAGTCACTCCGTAGAGAGATCGGGAGAGAACTGTCATTACATGGTTAGAAGTGAGAGCAGTTTGTTATTTAATATGGAGAAAGTTCGAACCCTCGGAAAAAGCTTAAGTTACTGAGGCTTCAGGCTTGCCTATTAATTTTTATGAGACTCGTTTCAATCATGTATAACAACATTTCTGTATCCCGATCCTGTCGGGATCGATATTGGATAACCTGCAAGGCCGTGAATAGCTTAGTTATATGTCGTTTGAAAGTACTCAAAATCTATCATCTTCATACGAACAAAGTCGTAAGTAAAAGTCCGATATTGCTATATTTTGACAACAACAACGTAGGCACGTAGCAGATAGTCTTGTGTTACATGCCTACATAATATCGTACATAACAGCTATACGCAAAATCATTATCACAACTACGTATATATATTTAATTGTTAATTTCAGAGTCATTGCAAAGTTAAATTTTAGCATGAAATAAAATAAATACTAAATAGTATTGAATAAACCATTGTGTCACTCGGTGTTGGTGTGTCGGTGTATGGCAATAGATGAAAAGACGCACCCTCTATTATATCTGACTCATATATACCTTAACTATTGTAAATTTGGTGTTAAATTGTGCAATCTATTTAATGTTAGAACTATGTGATATAAATTAGCTTTTTGGTGCAATGGTCGCAAGAGTAAATGTTTAGCACAAACTCAAGATTCCTAGTTCGGACAATCATAAGCCGTTTATAATTCGCAGTATTAGGTACCCACGTAACAGTGTGCAATTGTGTGAAGGGCAGTAGACTTCGTGTTGATCAAATAGTCACAACAATAGTGCAAACTTTAATATTTACAAACACGTTCTTGGATCCTGTATCGACTGTATCAATAGGATATATCTATACCGATAGTTACACCATAGTTGCAAGTACCTAACTATTATAGACCATCAATAATATCGTTAAACAACTAACGTCATAGAAAATTATACAAATGAAGGATTTCATCAACATCGACAGTCGCAGTGACTGGCACTAGTTGGATGCGAAAGCTGAAGATTCAGCTCAGTGGTGTGCTATTGGAGAGACCTATCGAAACAGGCTGATATGACTACCACCATTGATAAGTCACGCGGTAGATACCTGAATAGGTTCCCTAAATACACGACTAGACTCAAGGAAGGTACACAGTGAGAGCTCTGGAGTTAGTCCATTTAGAGGCTCCTTGCAGATGTAGATGGTGCCCACACGGGTGGTTTTAGTGACGTAAGATGTCCCACACTGCCTAGTTTTTCTTCTCAAAACTTATTCTAATAAAGTTATTTAACTCGTTGAGTAGGTACCGTCATTATAGACACAATTTTAAAGAACAATAGGTTGCGGTCACCGGTGACCGCTTGGTGTTTGACAGTTTAAATTCGAAACCAAAAAAATCCTCAGTATCACCGTAACAGGAAAAACAACGGAAATGTTATTATAGGTAATGTTAGACCTACTTAAATTATGCAATAGGTAGGTATGCTATCAAGTCAACAACCCAGAAAATACCTACGACTCATACCGAAATGGAAAAATTCGCGGTCGTATCGTATCGCTGCATTCGAGATAATTTGCGAAGTCTAAAGTTCTAAACTAACATATTACGTCGTTGTCAAATTGTATTTATTATTCAAACAAGCATATTATTTACTTTGCAATTCACATCTTCCATTCCGGTTTAATGTATTCTTCTAAAATTGTAAATTGTAAAAAAATGTAATCTGTTTACAATTTGGCCATCGTTATCAGAAACCAACTTGATGTTATTATTTTCATATTGTAAATTTTTACAAAATGTCCAGAGCTGACTGTACATAAACATCCCCTAATGACTTCCAGAAAGGCCGGTTGGCCTCCTAACTCCTGCGTAGCACATTTCGGTTCCTCTGCCGAAAAATTCCTAGTAGTCCTGATGAACAAACTGTTTTTATTATATACTATACTAGCTACTTGCGCGCGGTTTCACCCGCTCTACTCGGCTCCTATTGGTCGTAGCGAGATGTTTTACAGCCTATAGCCTTCCTCGATAAATGGACTATCCAACACAAAAATAATTATTTAATTCGAATCAGTAGTTTCGGAGATTAGCGCGTTCAAACAAACAAAAAAACAAACTCTTCAGCTTTATAATATCAGTAGGTATAGATTCTGGGCCTAGTAAAATTGTGTTGTGTGGAAGTTCAGTTTTAACATACCTATTTACCTAACTAATTGAAAATTTTAAAAATCGTTTTCATTGTATGTTAAATATCGTCTGCACAGCACATACTGCACGGCATTTTTGCATATTTACATAAGTAATTATATAACGTTAATATCGTACGTAAAAATTTGGCACTAAATCCTGATACGTATTTACCTAGGTATCTTAATGTTATTACCTGCCTCAAAATGGACATGATTTTTACTTTTACTAGGTACACACGGCCACACATCAATCTATACAAAACCAGTTTAACCTGGTGTCGCGTCGCATCATCTTTCCGCACATTTAACGTTCAGTTTATACTGGTTATGTATAGCTCGATGTGTAGCCGTGTTACAATAAGTCCCATAGTACCAATTGTGTGCGATATACCCAACTGCAAAACTTTGGAAGCAAAACAAAACTTTATTTCTACTTAAAAATTCATCTGATATTGACTGCGAGTAGTCGCAAGTGTGACTCGGCAAGGGGTCTCGGCTTCGATTCCCGGATCAGGCAAAGTATTACTGGGTTTTATAAAAATTCTCAGTAGCAGTACGGAGTCTGGAATTGTACCCGGTATATGGTAATAGGCTCACCCCTATTATATGGGACTCATAACATAAATAGTGAAAGGTAGGTGTTATATTGTACAAGTGGGATAATGTGTACCTCTGCACACCCCTTCGGGGATAAAAGGCGTGATGTTATTATATACAAATTTTATATCGACAACATAATATTCATTTTAACATATCGATGTAAAAATATGTACCTACCTATCTAACAATATCTTACTTGCATTCTCCGAGGAAGCTGAGTGCAAGTGCACTCACATAACCGACAATTAGGAGCCACCATTTAGTTCGCATTTAAGTTTAATTTATTTATTTTAATTCTGGTAACCAACAACTATATTACAAAAAATAAAATTTTAGGATATGCTAATACAAAGCCTATTGTAGGTTTCCACGGCTAGCCACAGTATAGGTATCTTTACAGAGGTTTTGCGAATACACGCCCATAAAAGTATATAAAACATGGATATTTATTCAAAAATTTAAGGTTTAGTCGCTTACGCACCCTGGAACTGCTTGTGGTAAATGGATCGAGTCCTAATTTCTTGCATAATCCATTAAAATTATGAATTAAAAGTAGGTACTACCTATTCATATATTTAAGAAGCGACGTCCGTGGAAAGTTGGACATCCGCAACACTGGGGAAGTTACAAATGCTTTACCATCCTTTGAAACTAATATAAGTAAGTATTATGTTTAAAATATTTGTTTATCCGGTATGTTGTAAGCATAGTATCGCCTCAGTTTACTTAGTTATGAAATACGATAACATCAGGAAACAAAAACAATCGCTCAAATATAACACGCGAATAAATCGATTAGAGACAGTTTTGTTCATTTTTATGACTTAAATATTGCTTTCAAAGTCATAGGATATTAAGATATATTTAAATCAAAATAAAATAAAATAGATATACAAATTGTCACGAGCCACTAATAGATATCTAACAACATTTTTAAAGGGGATCGCAACCACACTTATTTAAAACTAAAAAAATAATAATTTCTACTCACTCTAAGACGGGGTCCAAGCTTCCCTGCGGCTCCCACATGATTACACTTCAACTTAAACTACAATAAAAACAAAATAAACAAACAATTAAATAAATAAACAACAATACATTATGTATAAACAAATAAACCGCGTAACCTACTGTCTTTGGCGACAGTTTTAAACCTACTGAGTCGGCATGACATGGAATGAATTAAAAACCAGTTATACAGGTACAAACGAGCAGTTAAAACTTTGAACCACGTTTATCTATAATATTAAAAGCAAACTCACGTACCTGACTAACTGTTTACAAACATGGAATAATAAAAACCGGCAAAATAACTTATTTATCCAATACTTTTAATAAATGAATTACTTAATTATTTTTTCTTAAATGGATTGTTTCAAAGACCTTGAATTCGATTATATAACAAGCTATGACCGGCTGTTTAAAGTATATGCAAATAAATGACACTTGAACACGAGCGAACTCGAAAATATAAGTGGAATGTGTGTACTATACATAATAATTGTGTTTGGGTGAAGTAAGTGCTATGTAATCTGATAAGAAGTTTTGTGTGATAAGGAGATTAACACCTCCCCCGTCGGAAATATCCTGTTGCAACTAGCTATATTTTATGGCACCTGTAATAGATATAGATATATAGATAGCTGGGTGTTTATAATAGTAACGAATACGAAAGTAATTGGTTTTTTATTTACCTCATTCTCATTGCGTCAGGTTAACATTGACAAGCCCTTGACAAGCCTAATGTCCTACCCAAACACTAAAACTTTTACTACTCAACTTGATGCAGGAAGGCTTATATTTTTATATTAATCTCTGTCATGGATCTTTTTATTTACATTTTTGTTATGTGGTAATTGGTAATAGGTCTCCATGAGACGAAAAACTGACGACTAACATGACAAATAATGAATTATAGTTAGGTTGCGGTTGTATTAGTCCTATGAAAAGGAATGGCCACATAAAGCTTTAAGAAGAGACGAGTGGAAGGAGGGAAGGGAGGCCTTTGTCGTGCAGTGGGACGGCTATGGCAAAAAATAAAATAATAACTGCTGCCTCGTTGGCCGAGTGGTCGCAAGTGCGACTGCCGGACAAGGGGTCTCGGGTTCGATTCTCGGGTCGGACAAAGTATTACTGGGTTTTAAAAAAAATCTCAGTAGTTGCACAGAGTCTGGAATTGTGCCCGGTATATGGCAGACTCACCACAGAAGTTAAACAATGTTCTTATACTTCTAAATTTTCGAACGTATAATGTTATAAGCCGTACAAAATAATTAATATGCCGTGTAATTAACGATAACCATGCCAGTACCTAATGACTTCCTCAAACTGCATGGCGAGCACACACTGACAGTCGACGTGTTTTACTTATTATTAGCTAATTAGAATGTTGATCACGACACAAATCCATGATATTATGCAGTAGTTAAAATGCTAGTCAGTGTAGCTTATTTATAAAATTATGTCTTCGGATATAGAATGCTAATGTAGATTTGCAAACAAAAAAAATACATTAATTTTCCAATCTGGAAATTCGTGTTTCGTCTTATTTTGGTTTAGAGATTATTATAATATTATTATGTAACTTTTTGTGCAATCAAACTGACTCCTGTGCGCAAACCATGGGATATAATTGCCAATCATCATAAGTAGAGAAGGAGATTGTCCAACAGTCGTCGTTGATGTTGTTGCTACTATTATAAAAGGTACAGTTATGCCAGTGCCAGACATGTGGAACACACAGGTGCGCACCTGTGTGTTCCACACTTCCACTTACAGCCGAAATTAATAACCTATATCACTACATAGTATAAAACCGTCGCTATCCGCCGTCTGTCTGTCCCTATGTATGCTTAGATCTTTAAAACTACGCAACGGATTTTGAAGCGGTTTTTTTAATAGATAATTAGTGATTCTTAAGGTAGGTTTATATGTATATTACATGCATATTGCACCCGTGCGAAGCCGGGGCGGGTCGTTAGTATAAAATAATCATAACATAAAAAGTAGAAGCCTAATCGCCGTAGTCGAAACCGACATGGAGATATAATCATAGCTGACATGTCATGATAAAAATCATATTGGTTATATGGAGAGGATCAAAAATCGATTTCTTACACAGATTTTCGCGTTCCACGCACGCCTCAAAGAGCCATCAGACCACCACGGATGGGGCCCAATAGGACTGATGCGACGTCGCGGAGAACCTAACGGGTTACCAGGCCTCCGGCTCGAAGTGCAGGAGAAGGAACGGGGTAGTTTTTAGTCAGTAAGAGTCTGACACTCCCTCCCGCCTCACCTAGGCGGGAGAAGTCATTCGATGATTTCCCCCATTAAAAAAAACACAGATTTTGGATTGAGTAGGTCAAAATTTCGGCCGTTAGGTAACATCAAATCTCCGTGCCACACAATGTGAATAAACAAATGCGCACATGTCGTGGTAAATAAAACACATGCAATTTAATTAATATATTTATTTAGTCAAATATCGTAACTTATATACTAATCACGAATCTGTTAACGTATCATAGACAGACAAGATTGACTATAATAACGAGAAAAACAATTGTATTATGCCCAGCTACTGAAAGGCTACTCAAATATCGTGTTATCTCTGTCATTTTACAAAGAACAAACAGTGACAGAACTATAATTGCGTGGCGTTTTAGTATTTGGACATTATTGAACTTATTAGGTAATAAAATATAGTTTAACCTTCAACAATTTGATGTAGTTTTTATTACAATCAGCAGCTAAGGATTAAAGCCCTATTTTATCAGAATATAACCTTTGTCGCACGACTAATCGCGCCACCATATTGTCTGTAGAGAGAAACCAGAACAAATACAGGACGATATCATTGTCGGCTAATAGTTACTCAACCAATTTGACATCAAGTGAAATACCCACATTTTTACATTGTACGACTATAGTCTCAATAAAATAGTTATTATTTGTTACACAAATTCTACGATACTTTAACATTTATTTAAAATATACAAAAATATAAGTTTTATAAGGTAAATCTTAGCAGTATTAATAGTCAGAATATCACATACATATGTAATTACAAAACTAGAATAAAAGGAGTGGCTTAGGAGTTGGTCAAGTCTCGGTGGGATGAAACATTATTATTAATATTTATAATATTTAGGAAGAAAAACTGTAATTGGAGCATTTATATATGTACTTGTATAGATGTGAATGGACGGCAAGAGGATGAATAAACCAAAAATAGATGGATGGCCACTCTCATTATATAATTTCACAGATCGTGTATGTCCTATAGAGAAAACTTTACAACGAATTTGGGATCATTAACAAAAAATTATAACAAAAAAGTACAAGGATTAGTCCTTTATTCACAAAAATAACAAAAATATATTTCTAATGAAAACAATTGATCATTTTCCATAAATGTATACAAAGAAAATAATCAACAACAAAAAATGATATTTTTAATCACAAGTATCGAGAAAGACTTAATAATTACAAACAGAAAAATCGTAAACATGGCCACTGGAATCACACATTTCTTTTCACACAGAACTGAAAACTTTGGTATAAGAAGGTAGGAACTAAAAAAACGTTTTTCAAAACATTTGTTTTCAAGTTCAGCAAGTATTGAAAATACAATTACAAGTTAATACATATTTATAAAGACATTGAGCGTTGGCCGAATGCGTTGGACCAATGTCTAGAGCCGCCTTAATATAATGTGTACTAATCCTTGCACCTCTATTATATTTATTATTGTGTAAATGTTGAACATCTTAATAACAAAGTCAACAAAAAATGAGTACATGCAATATTCGAGATAATCTTATTAAGCTAGATAAGTATATCAAGATTAAAACTACTAACTTAATAGTATGAACACATACAAAGTACTCAAGAAATGTACCTCATTTACAGATCTTTTTAGAAAATTTCGAAAATTGTCGGAGATAATAGAATGATTTTTAATTCCACGTATGTGAATATATTTATTAATTTTTGAAATAAGATTTTATAATTCGATGCACATTAGAAATTAGTTTAGAGACACGAATTTGCATAGTGATTTGTTCGAAATTAGATCAACAAACTTAAAACTAGATAATACAAAAAGTTATGATAAAAAATTAAGAAAACAAAACGTAATATTTACGACTGAAGTGTTTGGAAATCTTCTTCTTTATCCCGATGAGAGTTTGAGTATAAATGTATGCGCATTGAGTGAAGAGACATCGTCTTCGTGTTGCATAGTTTGCAGGTCAACTCCATGCTTGAAGCATTTGGTGTCCTGTTGAACAAGCAACCATTATCATTATACAACAATAGGGTAGATGCGTATTTTAGGGTAGATTTTTTATTTTCTTCCAGAAACGAATACTTTTATGTAGATTTTATACGCAGAAATTACGTTTTTATCCCCACTCCTAAATTTTGAGTAGTTTTATTTAAATATTATTTTATTATACGTCAAAACAAAAAATACGTGTCTAATATTTTTTCATTGCCTAACTTACGGACTAATTAGATTTTTAATTTTCATACCCTGTCATCAACCCAATTGTTTAAAATACTAGCTGTTGCCCGCGATTTCGTCCGCGTAGAATATGATTCCTGTTTTATCCCATGGGAGAATTTAATCGGAATAAAAGGCTATCACCTAAGTTAGCCCCATACCCTGCCTGTATACCAAATTTCATTAAAATCCGTTCGGCATTTTCAGCGTGATTGACGGACAAACATTACGACTTACGCAAATATACTGAAAAAAGCTCTACTAGTTTCGAGTCACGGAGGGACTCTTCTTCCAGACTGTTTTACAAACCAAGAATCGAACTCGCTTTGATCTAAACAAAAGTCGCACTTGAGCCTACTCTACAAACGAAGTAGTTATCAATATTAACAAAATAATTTTGCCGTATCATCACAGTATGTACAGACGTATTATAAATTGCGTGACATAATATAAAGCATAATTTTACAAAGGGAAATAAGTGGTGTCATTACATAATGATAAAACTACAGTAACATTTGCTTATTATGTGTAATACGATACAAATTGGTACAATTAACTTATTATGTTGTCATAGACTGGAACAAAACTCATTTTGCAAGGAAATTAGGTGTGTTATTAGATTTGAATTTGATTAGGGCTTTGAATACAAATTCCACAAGATTTCGGATTCGGAATACAGAAGGTGGAATGTATAGTTGTGTATTTGTATGTGTATTTTTTTTGTATTTGCATATAATAGGGTAGTTGCCAGGGTATGAAAATTAATAATCTAATTAGTCCTTCAGGTAGATAATGAAAAAATATTAGACATGTGTTTCTCGTATATTATTTTATCGTATAAAGTTACAATACTTAGATAAAATGGAGTTAAGTTTAGGAGTGGTTTAAGTTTAGGTCGTATTTGGAATACAATATTTCAAATTAGTATATCGTCGAAAGTATTTAATTAAGTGAGAAAAGAAGAAATACATGTATAATTTAATCTACCAGGCGGACATAAAAATAAAATTTATCTAACCACTCTTTATTTATTTATTTTTTTTAATACTTAACTCCACATTCTAATAACAAGCTTACCATTAAAACGTACATACCTGGACACAAGCAACTTAAGTTCTTCATTTTCCTTCTTAAGTTTTAGTAGATGGTCCCTGGTGAGTGGCAGTAGTTCCTGCGGCGCCAGTAGTGGGTATATAACGGCGCACTGCATCATGTCAGGGACTGAGATCTCCAGGAGCTCTGCCTCGGCCACGGAACGCCACTCCCAAGTACGGGCCACGTATTCTGGCTCGCGGTGGCGACGGCGTTTCATTAGAAGGCTAGAAGGTGATAGAAAAATAGGGAGGTATAGACTTATTTATTTGCTCTTGGATTTGTAGGGTTTTCGTCTACATAGAACATGCATTTAGTAACCTAATTTTTACTTCTAAATATAACATCCATCTTTGCAATATCATACTCAGACTCGAAACAACAATTGATAGGATTACACAAAGAATTTTTACATTTGGATTTTACAACGTAATGCATCATCATATGGTCGAATATCGTTCTAAACTTTTTAATTTAACAGCCAATCTAAATAAAACATATTCCGTTATCTCAAGTCAATATAAAAGGTGTACTCACGCGAGTAGATCCTTGCGTATGAGCTGTGGTACTTGCGGTTTGAACGCGTCCTCGGCAGTGGGCTGTTCCTGTCCGTCGTAGCAGAACATCATGTAGTCCATCAAGTGACGGATGTGGTTGATCTGGTAATATAAACAATAATAATAATCTTTATTGTACACCAATTTGAGACAGTATATCCAGGTACAAATAAAGAAAAAAGGGTACAAAGGCGGCCTTATCGCTAAAAGCGATATTTACCAGGCAACCTTTGGGTGGATAGAACACTATAGTAGGATATTTAACTCGTCGAGTACCGTATTTATAGACACAATTAAAGAACAATAGGTTGCGGTCACCGGTGACCGCTTGGTGTTTGACAGTTTAATGAGCTAGTTATAGCTTGGCGTACTGAGGTGCTTATTTATATAATATAAAAGTGAAAACATTAAAAAAATGTATTTACTTGTAATATAAAATGATATACATACAAATTGAAACATACCTACATAGATAAATACATACACACATACATACATATATATATACATGTATAAGTACTATATCATCACTACATAGTATAAAACAAAGTCGCTTTCCGCCGTCTGACTGTCCTCGGTCTCACAAACCGACGTGAAACAACGTTTGCGTTGTTTCCCCGTGAGAGTGAGGTTAACAGAGGCTCAATCTACCTCCCCGAATCTCCAATCCTGAAATCCTTAACCCCCGAATGTCTTGTAAGACTCTGGTATCATGGCTGTCCATGGGTGACGCTGATTGCTTAAGGTGATCAGTCCGGTCGTTTTGCAATAAATTTCATGATATGACAGTAAGGTAAGCAGGTACGTACAAGACCAATATCCTCTACGTCGAGGTCCGCGTCGATGTCAATGAGTAGATCATGCTCGGGCAAGTAAGGCTTGCCCGCGTCCGTGCTGCCCAGCCCGCACAGCGCGCACACGTAGCGCGTGCCCAGCGAGTTGCGCCGGAGCTCCGCGCTGGGGACAGAATACATTCTATATGTTTTCAACTTTTCAATAAATAAAACTGTATTACTAAGACTCTGTATCACATAGTTAACCAACAAAATAATGGACAGATAATTGGGTACTTTCCTTAATCAAAAATAAATTATTTCAACTGTTCAATACAATAAAATATTAAATAATAATCACACTTTCATTAATTGATTTTATGACTAACTTAATTTTAGTATTTTTCCAGCAGTCGTACAACATCTCGTACAAAATTTATAGAAAACTGTAGTTTTTGACAGTTTGAAAAAATTATTGAATTTTGACTAGTTGGCAAATACCCAATTTATACAAATTACATTCTATATTATTTATCTAGTACATAGCGGCTATTCTGTGTATCCAGATATTGTGAAGCAGATTAGCAGAACATCAAGTCCCCAACTTTATTCATTATACCAAATCCCAGTCTAAAGCTATGGATATACAGTCCGCGCGCGAGCTCCGAGGAATGTTAAGGAATGTTGACGTAATGAGCTAGAGTTGTGAATTAGTCGATATTGTGCTATCGATACTAACACATCTTAAGTCTCCGCGCGAGTGTAAATTAAGAAATAATTCTATGAGGGTAATATGTATTTGAAATAAAATAAAACAATTGTATCACGTATGTATTTAATTTAATGAACTGATACTTAATGAACAAATAGAACGTAAAATCCAATTAATCACTGTCGAAATCAGAATTATCAGTACTTGAAGAATTTGATGTACTATCGTCACTCTCCTCACGTACTTCAATAATAAATGAGTCGACAACATCCTCCATTAAGCCATCCTTTTTCCAGTAATGTTCCTCTAATGCTAAGACATGTTTATCATATCCACACCAATCTGCTGTTGTGACTTGCGTGATGGCATTTTCGGTAACCTCCTTCAGTCTCACCAGAGAAAAATCAGAAGTAATGTTATGTTCCCTCACGAGCCTTTTAACTTTTGCCCATGCGAGCTCTATTGGGTTCAAGTCGCACATATAAGGCGGTAATCGCAGTACATCGTGACCATGGCCTTTTATGAGTTCGTCCATTTTAAATGTTTTTTCTGGAGTCCTGTTTTGCTGAATTAAATCATATAATTCAACTTTCCTCATACTGAAACTGGCCTGTACTTTATTTTTGGTTAGCCAATCTAACATAACTTGTTTTGTACTAGATTTTGTGGGCACCTTATTTTCTTGCACGCTATGATAGGGGGCATTGCCATCACTACAACGCTGTTTGAAGGGAGGTTCGGTAATAACATTTCGTTAGCCCATTTTTCAAAGTTTACATTATTCATCTGCCCATGATAGTCGCCGGTGACTGTGCCAGCTTTAAAAAGCAGTTTGGCTCCGTCTAAAAAGCCGCTTCTCGATCCCGCATGGACTAAAATCAATCTGTTCGAAGAGCTCGTATCAGTCAATATTGCGTTTATTTTATCGTCTCGCCAACATTTTTTATACGTTAAATTGTTATCAATCCATGTTTCGTCTAAGAAAAATATTTGGCGATCATTTTGTCTAAATTGACGTATTTTTCTTAAATAAATAGATCGAGCATATATAATATTTGGCCTCTCTATCAAAATTCTCCTTTTGCTATGACATTTCTGCCACTTATACCCCATTTGTTTCAACAACTTTCTCAGGCTAGTTACACCCCAAGGAAAATCAATTTTCTCCCGTAAAGCCAACAAAAGTTTTTTGCAAGTTGGGACGACCTTTTTGGTCAAATAAAACTCTTCAATGCAACGATGAATTACTTGACGATCAAAATCATCAACATTTAAATCTTTGACTCTCGGATACTTCTTCCCTTTTTTAGATGGCGATTTCAAATGTCCTTGCTGGTCTGTAGGCTCTTTCTTGATTTTACTTAACACACTTTTAGACAGACCTGTGTAATATACTGCTCGATCAAGTGCCTGATTAACAGTAAACGTGAAATGGTTAGATCTTTTTTCTTCTTCACACATCGAAAGAACGTGTTTCGCCATTTCGCGGGCTTGCCTTCGAATAATAAACGATTTTTTTCTCTGCCTGTTGTCACTGCTCGTGCTCGCCATTCCTTTTTTTACCAAATTAAATTGCGCTCACAAAAAAAACTCACTAGTACTACTTATAGTTCAACGAAAGTACAACTGTTATCGCAAAATTAAAAACAACGATTCGACAAGCGTGCTCTCGCGTCAAGGTCGACACTAGACTGGGATAGTGCGGGGTATGAAGCGACGGTCGGGCGCGGCGCACACCCGCCCGCTTCCGCAGCCCCCGATTCCTCGGAGCTCGCGCGCGGACTGTACCTCGTGTGTTCATAAGTTTTGAGACAAACTTTTTGCTTATAAAAATAAAATAAAAATTACTGGCTGCTGTATATTTCTTTTTCTAATTTTGAATTTGGAATGTTAACTTTTAATATCTATGATTTCGGATTATTTTATTTAAATTTTCTCGTAATGGAGGGAACAAAAGAATTACGTGCGACCGTCATTTCATTATTTAAAGTGGGAAGAAAACCTATGGACATTTTCCGAGAACTGAAAAGTTTTGGTGTGAGCCGTAACTTCGTGTATTACACTATTAAACGATACCAGGAGACAAGTTATTTACATGATCGGCAAAGAAGTGGTCGTCCACGCTCTGTGAGGACGCCTGCGAACATTAAAATCATCCGAGAGCGACTTCGCCGAAATCCATGTCGCACTCAGAAGAAACTCGCTCTGCAGACCAATATTTCGCGCGTTTCAGTCAACAGAATACTGAAATATGATCTCAAGGTTAAGGCGTATAGCCGTAGAAAACTACACTTTTTAAACGATCGCCTTCGTCAATTGCGACGCGAACGTTGTCCAATACTGCTTAGGAGACACGATGCGAGGAAGATACTCTTCACCGACGAGAAAATCTTTACCGTCGAAGAAAAGTTCAATCGACAAAACAAAGTATGCCAAAAGTAGCAAGGATGTCCCACCTTCAGCACGGAATGTCTCGCGTACTCATCATCCGGCTAGTGTCATGGTATGGTGGGGAGTTTCGTACGAAGGTGTCACTCAGCTTCATTTCTGCCAACAAGGCGTCAAGGTGAAAGCCAAAAATTATCAAAGTGACATTCTAGAGACTGTTGTGAAACCCCTGTCTAATACCCTATTCCATAACAAGTATTGGGTTTTCCAGCAAGACTCGGCGCCATCCCATAAGGCTAAAACCACCCAAGCTTGGCTGAAGGAAAATGTGCCGGCCTTCATTGCGGCGAACGAAAGGCCCTCCTCCAGCCCCGACCTCAACCCGCTGGATTATTCTCAATGGACCGAATTAGAGCTCAGAGCCTGCCGAAAGTCCCACCCAAACTTGGAGTCACTTAAGCGAGCTCTTGTCCGAGAAGCGAAGCGAATTCCTCTGGAAAAGATTCGTGCCGCCATTGATGACTGGCCAAATCGTCTAAGGGCATGTATTAAAAACAGGGGTGGTAATTTTGAATAATAATTATATTTAATTTTTACTTAATATCTACTTAATGTTTGTTATTGTTTTTATAAATATAAGTTTATTATTTAAAAAGATATGCAACTTTTAATTTGTCTCAAAACTTATGAACACACGAGGTAGATGCGTATGCATAGATACGTACACGTCTACGCATCTACGGTCTGCTCAACCCTAAACTATATAACATGGTGCATATCATAGCTGGGTATTAACTCGTTAATTGTTAATTAACGTTTAGTTAATTAAAATTAACATTTAGATTAACTTTTAATTTAACTTTTAAAAATGTTAACGGACACGTTAACTTCCCTTAAAATGCAGAAGTCCGTTAATCCAATGCCTACTATTTACCGCATAACACAGGTTCAGACAAGTATGAAATGACAAGTGCACTTATACACACGGTGTGTGCATAAAACGCGCGAATTAAATTACACATTTGAATAATTCAAGAGTTTTGTTTTATTCATTACCTGTTTTGTTTTATTCAGAACTTTCAGAACCTAAACTAATAAGTTTTTTTAAGTTCACTAACGCAACGATATATAAATGTAATTTTACACATTAAGGATTAACGTTAACTTGCGTTAATTCTTTCGAAATGTAACGCTTTAACGTTTAACAAAACTACCTTTTTTGTAGCGGATTAACGATTAACGAAGTTAAATATTTGATTAACGGTGCCCAGCTATGGTCCATATCTATTATTGGCTTTTTCTACTAGAACCATTAAAACTGCGTTCTTCAAATCGTCTGCAAAGCGTAGAGCTTGTGACACATGCTCCCCTCTCTTGTCTACGTTCAACCGTAATATGTTATTTACTGTGGAAGGTTGACGATGATGAGTACTTACACGGGACAGAAGAGTAGCGCGATGATGGCAGGCAGGCCGGGTATGTTGGGCATCAGCGTGGTGTGTCGCAGTGTCAGACGGGAGCGTTGCTCGTTGCTACCCACGTCGCCTGCTACTACCAGTCTGAGGGGAGAATGGACAAAGTATTATTACGTTTTTCAGCATAGTGCCTGTGATGGTGCGTGATGTATGGCAACGAATGCGTAATTTATTTTACACGAGAAACAAAATAATGATGTTCCCACACTGTCTAAAATATTTACAAACTATTAGGATATATTTTGGAATTATATCATATGTAATTTAACCCCTTGAAAATTGTTGAAAATCATCCCCTAAATTTGTTCATATAAAAGTAGTCTTTAAACATTGGAAATAAGGTCTATAATGTAGTTAGTAGAGAGCGCTCACCGGTGACCGCTTGGGGATATACGGAAAGAAGAATTTGAATATGATTCTTTCAGATCTTTAAATTTAATTGTTTCAGAAAATATTTACTAATAATATGTAAACAATTTTACACAGCAGTCTTTACAGTAATGAAAATTGAATTAATGTAAAAATACAAGTAAAAATTACGAGTAAAAATTACGAGTAAATTAATAAAAAAAAAACTATTCAAAAATAATGCAAATTGGCGTTTCATTATCTCTATCCACCATTGGGAGACAAATACGACTAAAATTAAGAAATTTTATAAGACGAATGCAAAAATTACACTTTGAATATTACCTTTCATATCTCTCCTGTGGCTCAGTGTCCAATAATACAGAGTTGACGGAGTTCCACTCAATAGACACGGGCAGGTCCCGGCTCGCAAACATCAGAGTGTGCACTGTCGTCTCCAACGGACTGTAGAATGAAAATATTGAATATTAATTTTATTTATTTATTTATTTATACGAATAGCATAACAACATAACATAACATAACATCACGCCTTTTATCCCCGAAGAGGTAGGCAGAGGTGCACATTATGCCACTGTACAATGTAACACCCACTTTTCACTATTTATGTTATGAGTCCCATGTAATAGGGGGTGAGCCTATTGCCATATACCGGGCACAATTCCAGACTCCGTGCTACTACTGAGAATTTTTTAAAAACCCAGTAATAATTTGCCCGACCCGGGAATCGAACCCGAGACCCCTTGCCCGGCAGTCGCACTTGCGACCACTCGGCCAACAAGGCAGTCATACGAATAGAACGGTACAAAAAGCCAATTACACTAATATACTATATAATTACTATAACAGATACTATAGTTCATTCATCTCTTTTGCAAAATTTCAAGCATTCCGACAAAAATAATCTTCTTTCAATCAAAAACACGTCACTCTGGCGCTGAATCCAAGAAATAACATTTTTAATTTTCATACCTTGTCATCATCCCAATTTACTAAAAAGAAGGTGACGTCTTTATTTTTTTATTTTACTTTATACATCGAAAGTAGGTACTCCTTAGAGCAATTTGTTTTATCGCAGGACGAAAACGAAATAGATTTCATGGTGTATAAAAGTCTAGCCCATTAGATAGTACTGAATTACCTGTACGGTCCTTTGAGGCATACATCGGAGTCGCATTCCTTAGTGCTAGGCGGTTCAATCTCGTTCAGTTGGTAGTAAGCCATCTCTAGCTGTTCCCTATTGTGCGCGCGTTTCTGAACCATGTTCATATCTACTGCCATCTCTCGAATGTCGTGGTTTAGCTGTGGAACACAATAATATAATATTTTGTGACTAATATAATTTAACTCTTTGAGTACCGTCATTATTAGCCACAATTAAAGAACAATCGGTTGCGGTCACCGGTGTCCTCGCGGTGTTCGACAGTTTAACTTGAAGTACATTATAAAATAGGATGTTTGCGCAAGACAATCTCGGGTTGCGCAGGTTCACAAAATTTTGCGCAAAATGTAAATGTAATTTAAAATGCATTTTATTGCTATATACAATGGTTTAAAACGTTTATTTCTCAAATACAATTTACATTGAGTTAACTAATAACTACAAAATATACATAAGTAGGTACAGAATATAAAATAATATTACCTTAGATTCGTAACTCTCATCACAGGAAACAGCGAAACCTAGCCTAATAAGCTCGTTGTTAACGTTAAGCCTCCCGCCTTCTGCCAGTAGCTCGATGTTTATTATTCCATGTACCACGGAATACACCTAGAACGAAAACAAATCTTTGTTTCGGCATTGTATGTTGCATGTTTTTATGAATTAATTGTTAAGCAGGGCTGGATATGTTGTCGTCTGTTGCTAAATAATAGATTATTATCATTAAAATTTTGTAATAAAGTTGTGATTCAATTAAAAAAATCATATTTCTGACATAGCAACCATACATACATACATAACATCACGCCTTTTATCTCCGAAGGGGTAGGCATAGGTGTACATTACGGCACTTAATGCCACGGTACAATGTAACACCCACTTTTCACTAATTATGTTATGAGTCCCATGTAATAGGAGGTGAGCCTATTGCCATATACCGGGCACATTTCCAGACTCCGTGCTACTACTGAGATTTTTTTAAAAACCCAGTAATATTTTGCCCGACCCGGGAATCGAACCCGAGACCCCTTGCCCGGCAGTCGCAATTGCGACCACTCGGCCAACGAGGCAGTCATCTCTGTTATAAATAATTATAACGTTGCTCACCAGATGTGGGCAAGAGGTTTTTTGTCCAATCACTGTGGCCATCCAATATTAATTGTCCAATGGTGTAACACTAGTCCAATTCCATATCAATAGACGAATAACGAGAGGTGTACACTAGCACTATCTGACGAGAAAAAATACAGCCCCCATTCAGATTCAAAATTAGTGTTATTACCTTGGCGAGCAATCTGCCTCGTGTAGCGAGTTGTACGAAGCGTTGTGTGGCGGCGGGAGTGTAGTGCCCGTGGGAGTCCAGCAGTGGACTGGGCGCCAGCCCCGCCAGCCGGCAGCGCATGGCCAGCGGGGGGGGGGACCTGGCCGCCGCGGGCAGCCCGCGCAGGTTGCACGAGTGGACGCGACCCTCGCTGCCGTAGTCTATGTATAATACCTGGAGTACAAATGGTTTTATAGTCAGTGTACTAGTTGAGCTATGGGAAAAACTGGCAAGGGTTCAGAAATCCACGACTATCTTGGATTTCTGAAATCGGTTGTTGTAGAAAACACAGAGTTCTAGTCAGGACATAACTACGCCCTTGATCCTTAAAAAGAAGAAATATCATCTTGCATTCAACAAACACACAAGTACCCTGAACGCAATGGTAAAATCTCTATGATGATGACATGTACATGCCACAAATACTTGACGTATCAGAAAAAAATAGAGTGTCAAAATTTACGTCAATTCCATATAATTTGGTTTTCTATTCTACATGTAGACAAGCGCTAAATGGCATTTGGCTACAGCTGCAGGATACAAATTAAACATCTATAATCTAAAGTTTACCTCAACCATTTCTCTGGGTAGCAATGCCATGACTCTGACACGACATATCTGCGTAGTCCCAGCCTCAGTATAGGGCGCAGCCAATATATTCCCCGCGACTACGGGCCCCGTGTGAGCCAGTAACGTAGACTTGTTCAACGCAGACTGTATAGTATGCAACTCACGCTCCGTACTCTCGTCCGCGTATTGCACGTAGAACTTGTTTATGCTTGTCATCTGAATTGACAAAAATTTAATAGTAAAGAGATACTTTTGTTAGTCATAAATAAATAAAGCCGAAAAAATATGTAAAACTAGTTTGTACTTTTTGGGGTAATAAAATTAATACCAATCGATACATAGAGTAATTTTGAAAGCTACATTAAATATTAAGGTTTGTGTCTTAACTTAAGGAGATGCTCGACTAATTTCGACGGAGTTCGAAAATAGTCGGCCATCCCATTAATAGAATATAACAATGTATATTATGGAAAAGTCGCATACACCACTATTCTGTTTGATATATCTTCCGATAGTTATTATAGCCACTGTTGTACGATCATTATGGGCCTCCCCGAATAGTTTGTCATAATCTCCAATAATAAAGTACACGACTTACCTGACTAATCTTCAAAGGGAAATGTGTATCATCGACTTCGGGTAGACGAGGCACCATTAGTTCTAAGTCCAACGCCATCTTGTCCAAGGCATACGCCGCGGCCATCGTTTGCGCCTTGTCCCGACTGAACAACGTATTATAAAAAAAAATGTATTTCATCAACTATTATGTACATACCAACAAAAGATTAGGAAAAAAAACCTTTTAAGCAAGAGTATGCTTGTGGTAGGCGATCCTACTATACCAAGGACATCAACTAAACATAAGTTTATAAAAATAAATAAAAAGAGAGAAGATTCAAATTAAACAATTATAAACTGAAAACTAAAAGGGAATAATATTATTATACTATAATTACAACATTTATGGTCATGGTAGAATATACTACATGTTTATCGCTAACCCTACAATTCCCGCGGATGTCGTATCTTTACATGATCAAATACGTGATCGAGTGACAGTGTATGAAATTTAAAAATGTAATTAGTCCGTCAGTTAGATAATGAAAAAAAATATTATACACATATTTTTTTATTTTGTCGTATAAGAAAACAATCAATACATAGTATAAAACAAAGTCGCTTTCGCTGTATGTCCGTATGTATGCTTAGATCTTTAAAACTACGCAACGGATTTTGACGCGGTTTTTTTTAATAGATAGAGTGATTCTTAAGGAAGGTTTCTATGTATAATAAATGCATAATATAGTAGAGAAACACTGATAAATTTAAAGGTTTCTAATGGGATGTCGTAAATAAGCACGTTTTTTTGCGCTTATATTGCAAACGCTGGCTGAACCCTACGAGATAGACCAAAATAATGTACTACAGTATTGTTCACCTTAAAAAGTTTAACAAAAAAGTCCGCGATGGTATATGTCTATCTCTTAGGGATAACCCAGCATAACCATTTTTATTCTTTACTAAAAAATGGTTATTTACGAAGTGATTTTAAACAATACAGCATTAATCCTTATCCATTTAAGTACCTTAAATAAATTGTGCATTTATTATAGATCAATATGCTTTTTACAGCATGTAATTTAAGTGAATATTACCGAAGATATTACAAATTTAAAATGCAGGGTCGTATTTTTTTGCGCCGGGCGGCGCGTGCCTATAAATAGCGCGTCGATGGCCGCGCTTCGCCTTATAGCACTTTATGATTTGCAGCGATCGCACGCGTTTATCGGAGCTTTCTAGCGAGGAAAATATCAAGAATTAATTAAACTGAATAGAATAAGTATCTTTTGTTGTTGATTATCTTTTAATTTTTATTATTATAAAGTACATTAGGTTAAATAGGATTAGCTTAAAACCATATTTCTTGGTATTTCTTCCATTAAGACTTTGATTTGAATTTAGAGTTAAGGCAATTTAGTATTAGGGCGAGCATTTTCAATTATTGAAAATTATACTTAAGTTCATAGAAGAACTGAATAGAATAGGTATATTTTGTTGTTGATAATCTTTTGTTTTTAGTCAAACGAATAGTAAGTAAATATTTTTTACTATCCTGACATTCATAACATAAGTTGTAAGACTCTATCTTGGTTCAAAGAAAGAGCCATCCTGTCACCAACCAAAGAACAAGTAGATAAGGCAAACAACTTGATTCTTGCAAAAATTGATACGCCGACGCAAATATACTACTCGGTTGATACTGTTCTCGACTCGGAAGAAGCTGTACATTTACCTACAGTATTTCTTAATTCTTTGAACCCTTCTGGACTCCCTCCTCATAAAATGGAATTGAAAGTAGGTTGTCCTGTTATTTTATTAAGAAATCTGAATCCTCCTAAGCTCTGCAATGGCACACCTTTGCTGGTAAAATCACTAAAAAAATTCATAATAGAGTGCACAATACTCACCGGATGTGGTACCGGAGAAGATGTACTAATTCCCCGAATTCCTCTGATACCCTCAGATTTACCGTTCCAATTTAAACGCCTACAATTTCCGGTAAAGATATCTTTTGCAATGACCATTAATAAATCGCAGGGTCAAACTTTTAACGTTGCAGGATTAGACTTGAGTGTTGAGTGTTTTTCACATGGCCAATTATATGTCGCGCTGTTAAGAGTAACGTCTAAGCAAAACATGTTTGTATTGGCTAATGACAAAAAAGCTGTGAACGTTGTGTATAAGGACATTCTGTAGTAGGTATATTTTGCATTGCACCCGTGCGAAGCCGGGGCGGGTCGCTAGTACTTAGATAAAACAGAGTTAAGTTTAGGAGTGGGAGGTCGTTACGTCACGCTACCCTATACAATGTAGTAAACCGTGACGTCATATTTCAAATCAATATAATATCGTCGAATGTACTTAATTTTGTAAGAAAAGAACAAATACGTGTTAATGTTTTAAAATAATGTACCAGACGGGCATTAAAATAAAATTTAGGATACTACCCCATTGCAGGTTTTTTGTTGGCAAATGTACGTTAGAAAATGTGTAAGATAAGGTACAAGCTATGCTAAACTAACTAAGGAATTTATCTAGATTTTGTGGACAAAGTTCTAGAATTACATCATTTTTGCATATCATTATATAAAATTGATCATTTTATTCTTACTACTTTTTAATATGTTTGCACTTTAAATTGACTCTGATTTCGCATAACCGAGAGTTTCAAATTAAAACTTCGTGACAAAAAAATAAGGAATATTTATACTTACGGCAATAATGGTATCCTGACGTCTATCCGAAGCTGTCTGGCCTTCACAGCTTTGTACACTGGCAGGACCACTTGGCCAGGTATTGTGGGGTCCTACGAATACACAACGAACGTAGTAAGTGCACATAGAAATTGAGTACTTGCCAACTAGTCAAATTCCATACTTTTCTCGAACTGTCAAAAACTACAGTTTTCTATGAGTTTTTTTACGAGATTGTATATTGTGACGTCACGTTTTTTAAGCGTGAAACAGCATACTTATTTCTTAAAAATTTTCTTATTTCGTAAAAGCTAGTAATTTATAAGTCTTTAATATTTTTCCGTTTGCTTGTCTTAAAGGCTAAACACGATTGTCTGTCACCTTTAAGGGTGCGTCCACATCTGGCGAATGCACGCGTGCAGCCACGGCAATGGTTTGGTGCTCAACTCGTACTAGGTTAAATAACAATTTTAAATGCATGCGCGCAGTTCGCCAGATATAGACGCACCCTAACATCAAAAATACCTATTGTATGTACTACTCATGTATATACAAATAAAATGGTCTTTATCTTTATATATGTTAGTATTATTATATTATTAATAAGATTGATGGATTGTCATAACAACTTACGCCACTATTTTGATTTCCAGGTTTGACTTCCGATCCATCATTGAATGTCAAGTACACTTTCCTGTATAAAAGAAAATATAAAAATATTGGAATTATTTTTTAACATCACTAATATTGAAATAGACCATAATATGTAGAGATCAGACCATATCCAAAAATCATTACCTGCTACCTCGTTGGCCGAGTGGTCGCAAGTGTGACTGCCGGACAAAGGGTCTCGGGTTCCATTCCCGGGTCGGGCAAAGTATTACTGGGTTTTTAAAAATCTCAGTAGTAGCACGGAGTCTGGAAATGTGCCCGGTATATGGCAATAGGCTCACCCCCTATTACATGGGACTCTTAACATAAATAGTGAGAAGTGGGTGTTACATTGTACAGTGGCATTAAGTGCCGTAATGTGCACCTCTGCCTACCCCTTCGGGGATAAAAGGCGTGATGTTATGTTATGTTATGTCATTACCTGCTAGTACTATCGAAGGTAACTCGCGGCTCTTCAGAGATTTGCTTCAAAACTGCCTTCTTTATCGCACCCGCGTACACTTCACCTGGTTGATCGTCCGGGAAGTTCTTCAAGTAAACCTAAATAAAAACATATTTAAAAACTCTCAAAACGACTGAAAGAAGGTTTTGAAGCTCTATCTTAGAAATCGTCGATTGTAACGTAATGCTACTCATAACTATGGGCCCTGACGTAGCTTAAAGCCCAGTATACAAGGTATTTCAGAATAAACGCAAGATTTGGTAGGAGCAACTATGACTATCACTTATTGGAGAATTAAAAAAAATCAATACTATCTGTAAACGGACACACGAGTCGTGTCAATTTCTAAGGAAAGTGTAAACTATGATTTCTAACCCACCGATCGGCCAGACTGCAGGGGCTTATAGACCCGGCAGTGGTATAGTTATGGCCTGTTGATGTGTTAAGTAAAAGTTTTTTTTTTATATAATAGGAGGTAAACGAGCAGGCGGATCACCTGATGGTAAGCACATTTAATTGTAATGTTTAGCGACTCGACCCCGCAGTCAAACCATTGCAACGGTTTTGTGGGGCTTAGATTATAAGATACTTACCTGTGTGATATAAAGATAAATAAATAAATAATAATAAGCGATCAGCGCCGCCCATAGACACCCGAAATACTAAAGGTTGCCAGCCTCTTAAAAATGAAATACGCTCTTTTCTTGAAGGTTCGAAGGCCGTATCGGTTCGGAAGTACCGTCGACGTCAAATCATTCACAGTTTTGCGGTGTGAGGCAGAAAGCTACGAGAATTATTTGTATATTGAAATATTTTATAGTTATGCATACCGTGTTCCTAGGATCATTTCCGCCGAGTGTACGCACTGCGTCACGTTCCCGGCTCTCGTCCTCCGACACTTGGATAAAGTACTGCGGGTAGAACGCGCCTGCTATTATCACCTGTGAACCAAATACAAATTATTAGTGAAAGGGATATTGGCTGTCTTATTCATTCGTATTCGATTCCCAAGTACTTTTATTAACCGATTTCAAAAAGAAGGAAGTACTCAGTTTGACCTGTATGAATGTATGTATGTGTGTCTATGCGCAATTATCTCGCCATTGACTGAAGCGATTTTGATGCGGTTTTCAGAAAAGCGTTTGTTAACTTAGGGGAAGGTAGGAGCTGCAGCTAGCATGGCTTGGAACTAGTCGAGTTCCTCGTCAAACAGTTACGTGAGTAAGCCGAAAACATAATAATTCAAAAGGTTAAAGGGGTAGAAGTTAATTTGTTTGAACATAGATTATAAAAAAATATGGATATACATACCTTATACAGCAGAGAAAGTTCATGTTTATTCCACGGTGACTTGCCATTGGGTGAATCAATGCCTAGTGTAGTGAGTCGTTTTCTCAGATCCTTCTCCAACTCGTCCAGTTCGCGTAGTGCTCGCGCTTGTACGTAGAAGCGACGCGCCCAGGCGGTCTCTGACTGACCAGCCGATCTGAAGTATTGTTGTTGACGGAGGTGGCTCCATACCTTCACAGAAGATGGTTCATCATCATCATCATCATTAACAGCCTATAAATGCCCACTGCTGCGCAAAGCCTCTTCTCACACGGAGAAGGTTTGAGTATTAATCACCATGCTTGCTCAATGCAGGTTGGCGTTTACAAACTTAAAATTAGAAATTATAAGTCCAGGTTTCCTCATGATTTTTTCGTTCACCGTTTGTCAGTGGTGTCTAGATAATCTTAGAAACTACATATAACTCGGAAAAATTCACATTGGCACTTGCCGTTGATAGGTTTTGGACCCGCACACTATGCATGAGAAGCGGGCGTCTTAAACCTCCGGGCCACCAGAAGATGGTTAGATAGTTTTTATTAGCTTGAAGATGTGCAGTGAGGCACAAAGGCTTCCCCAATAGAATATGACTTTTTATGGCATAGGGCGGCAAGCAAGCAGATGGATAATCTGTTGATAAGTAGTCGGCGCTGCCCATGGTTGCCGAATTATGGGAATTGGACATAGGAGATGAGGGATTTGGGGGGTGGGAATAAGGCCTCCAGTAATCTCACAACGGTAAAATTTTTAAACTGTGAATAAATTACTATTCGTTTCACTAACGAAACCCATCGATCACGAAATATAGCTTATATTTCCTTTAAATATTAGGAATAATGTTCTTTTCGTGTTCTTGATGCATTGTAAGTGCATGTAATTATACACTTACCTTATAAACGTTGAGAAAAGCGATACAATCGCTGGTGGACCCGTCAGCCCAGGTCAGCTTAGAGTTGTAAGCATTCAACCTTTCACGGAACGGACTGCTGAACAAATTCTTCACTGACATCGCGGCAGCTGTGAGGAAACAAAGTTATTATGTTATTAGTAATCAAAACTGTCCGTCACAGTACACTGCTGGACCTAGACCTAGACCTACTCCAACACCCGAGCGTACGGCGTGTCGCGTTCCTCGCGCGCCTCAAAGAGCCATCAGACCTCCACGGATGGGGCCCAATAGGGCTGATGCCGATTCGGAGTCGCGGAGAACCTAACGGGTTACCGGGGCTCCGGCTCAAAGTGCAGGAGTAAGAACGGGGTGGTTTTTAGTCAGTAAGACTGACACTCCCTCCCGCCTCACCCAGGCGGGAGAAGTCATCCAATGATTTTCCCCCCTTAAAAAAGACCTACTACAGTACCCTGCCACACTTATATAGTTGGTGGGTTAATCCACTGAATAAAAAGATTCAATTTATCACAAAGTGTTCACCAAAAAGAGCTGACATTGATATATTTGACTATGGAACTTCCAGACTTCTGCAGAATTTCTATCCAAAATCCGGATTGATCCAGTGATTTCGGATTAATATTAGTTATTAATTTCAGGGTTAGTCGGCTCTTCCGACACCCACGGGGAACAAGGGTGATAGTAACAAATGTGTTTTTTATTAACAAACTAGCTGTGCCCGCGACTTCGTCCGCGTGGAATTGTGATTCTCAGATCCTTCTCCGTAGGTGATAATATGTAACCTATATGTTTGTATGTACCCGACCTGTTAGTAATATTCATACAAAATTTGAAGTAAATCCATTCAGTTCTTTTTGAGTTTAGCCCGGAAATACATACAGACAAACAGAAAAAAATTCTAAAAACCATATTTTTGTCTTTGGTATCGATTGTAGGTCACGCTTCAAGCATTCTTTTAAGGAAATATTAAATTTACATTTTCACTTTCCTAAAATTTTATTATATGTATAGATAGATACATACCCATAATAACAGCCTCTTCAAGACACCCGTAGATGAATCCCAGCATGATGAGCTTAGATAACTTGACGTCTACGGGTAGTCTAGCCGCAACGCGACCCAAGTATGTTAGATCACCGTCCGTGGCGCACCATTCATCGTCCACCGTCTTCTTCATTGCTCCTATCTGGAATTTGTGGGAGTTAGTATTTAAGAAGTAGTTTTTAAGTTCTAGGCAAAAAACTAAACAACAAAATTAACTTAATTTTGTGATGCACACTATTTCTCGTTCTATTATTGATAGTTCTGAAATATGATAATATGAAACCAAAAATATTGAAGCACAGAAAATAGGGTAGATGACTAATTTTTATTTTAATGTCCGTCTGGCTGATTATTTAAAAACATTAGACACGTATTTTTTATTTTTTTACAGAAACGAATAGTTTCGAAAATATATTGATGTGAAATGTCACGTGACGTCACTTCTATGCACATTTTATACGTAGAAATGACGTTTTAGCCCTCACTCCTAAACTTTGATTCGTTATATCTAAGTGTCATTTTATTATACGACAAAATAAAAAAATACGTGTCTAATATTTTTTCATTACCTAACTAACTACATTACATTTTTCATTTCCATACCCTGTCATCATCCCTATTGCTTTTCGATGCAGTTAGAAGTTTTGCCCAGCGTTTAGCATAGAATTACCGCATATTGCATAGGACTCGGACCAATGGCAAGATTGTGACTTTTTCCGATTTATATGTACTTTCAAATAATATCTAGACCCCACTGGCAAACGGTGAAGGAAAACATCGTGCGGAAACCTAAGTTTATAGTTTATAATTATAAGTTTGTAATCGCCAACCCACATTGAGCAAGCGCGGTGATTAATGCTCTAACCGTGCGAGAAGAGGCATTTGGTCAGTAGTGGCCACTTATAGGCTGATGATGATGATAAACGACTGCCTCGTTGGCCGAGTGGTCGCAAGTGCGACTGTCGGGCAAGGGTCTCAGGTTCGATTGCCGGGTCGGGCAAAGTAATACTGGGTTTTTTTTTAATTCTCCTTAGTAGCACGGAGTCTGGAAGTGTGCCCGGTATATGACAATAGGCTCACTCCCTATTACATGGGGCTCATAACATAAATAGTGAAAAGTGGGTTTTAAATTGTACAGTGGCATAATGTACACCTCTGCCTGCCCCTTCGGAGATAAAGGGCGTGATGTTATGATGATGATGATAAAATAGTTACCTCTTTAAGAGCAAGTATGGTGCGCTGTATATTGCTGATGTCTGGCGGGTCCATGGCCAACGCCAGCACATCGCTCGGCGGCCCCATGTCCATCAGTTTGGCTAACAACACCAATCTCTCTAAGGGACACCGGATTATCTCTGGTGTGCACTCCTGTTTCAATCCTTCCTGTAAAATTATTGAAGGAGTTATTTAAAAGAGAGAATTTTTACCTTATTGTTGTGAAATAAACCCTTGTTTTGTTATAACATATTTCGTTGTTATGTTTTTCGGCTTACTCACGTATTTATTACTAGTCAAGTTCCTCGTCAAATAATTACGTGAGTAAGCCAAAAAATATGACATTTAATTTAGTATATCTCGCGAAAGTTATCAATATGAATTACACATTTTGTTTGTATAAGTCAAAGGAAATTGTAATTTAATAACAGTAAAGCAGGTACTAGGATACAATTTCGAAAGGAGAATGGCAGGTTTGTATGGAAGTTTTGTACCGCTGTAAAATTTTGTATTAGTCATTGTTTTAACCAAGTGAATAGTCTGAACGATAGATATTTTTATTATGAAGTTTAGAAAAAAATTACATATTTTTAGAACTTGGGGTTCAAAAGTTATTTCACTTTGAAAATGTGCAAAAGGTATGTTAAGGTGGTACCACACTTGACATTGCGTAGTCGCTTCATTTGTCCAAATATTTGTAGACTTCGTACAAATGGCGTCCAAATAGTATCTCTATATGTAATGGCGTGCAAATATATAGCAAACAAAGAAGAATAAATCCTCCAAACATGTTCTTTTTTGGCCGAACACAACAAATACGCAACGTCAAGTGTAGAGCCACCGTAAGCAAAATATCTATTACAAATGACAGATGACAGTTAACTGAAAAATGTCAATGTGCTCTCATGTGGTTGTTTATTTACAAAAAACAAAAATCTAAAAATACTGCTCGCTACTCAAGTGACTATTACACTTTGTATTATTAGAAAGAAAGAAAGAAAGAAAAACCATTTATTTTGCTACGACACACAACAAGAATTTAGAAACCCAAAAAATAACCTATGGTGCGTCGCAGCGCAAAAGGCAATTAGGAATGATCCTGTTAATTCAGCAAGCATGATGCACCTATAGAGTTTTAAAGAGTATGCCTCACAATCTTTTTCATTTCTTAGGTGCCTACGAAAATGCAAATTCATAATGTAAGCGACTGTCATTGGGTAGAAGGCCTACATTTAGCAGTGGAAGTCTTGTGGCGGATATGATAAAACTAATGTCTCACTTCACCTTGAATCTTGCAGGTAGATAGTCTCAAGGGTCTCAAGTTAATTCGATTTAAACTTAGCTTAGCTCTTTGAGAAAGTATTTCTTCTGAAAACTGGTTGCTTAGCACGCATGTAAGGATTAATTTCTAATAAGTAAGTCAAATTAGTAGAATCATCAACATTTTCATCATTAAGTCTATAAGTGGCCACTGCTGACCGAAGCCTCTTCTCGCATGGAGGTTTGAGCATTAATCACCATACTAGCTCAATGTGGGTTGGTAATTCAAACTTATAATAAGAAATTATAAGCCCATGTTTCCTCACAATGTTTTCCTTCACCATTCATCAGCGGTGTCTTTGTACTTTCTTAGATTATTGAATATACCAATAACTCGGAAAAAAGACACATTGGACAAAAGGTACTTTGCCGTTGGTAGGTTTCGAACCCGCACTCTCATGCATGAGAAGCGGGCTTCTTAAACCTCTGGGCCACCACATTACAACTAAAGAAAATGTAAAATGAAAATGAACATTTTTGGTATAAAACTAAAGCTATCTAAATTAAATATGGCATTTATTTTATAGATTGATTCTTAAAATCACTTTTATCAAGATGGAATATATAGTTACTTACTAGGTTAAAATAAAACAAATGTATTATTTTGAAATACTTTTATTTCATTGTATTCAGGTTGTTTCTAGGAGTACTTCATCTAAAAAGAGAACAGGCCGTGTCATAGGTACAGCAGACATCAATTGCTGATATCTGTAAACAAGTAAGATAACTAAATAAAGTAAACAAAAGTACATTTTTTTCCTTTAGTTTTATATGTTATAATAATAAGTCTGATTCCCTATCTTAAAATGGAAAAGATAAAAATAAATATTTGATTACGTTACTTCATTTTATAACATTTATTATAGTTATTCGTATAACACAGATCATAGGAGCTCAAACAGCATGCTAATTAATAAATTATAATTATAACATGAGTATAAACCTATTAGAAACCGCTTATATACTCCACATAGATACATAATTATGTAGGTACATTATATTGAGAATGCATACCGGTTGAAGCTTTGAGAGCCGAACAACATCATCCGGCCTCATCTGTTCTACAAATGGCAATGTTAAAGTGAGGCTTAGTCCATGTTTACATAATACATTACTTCCTGATAGTGAACACTGTGAGGTGGTATGTCAGGTTGTGGTTTTATAGTTTCGACTCTTGTACGGTCTCTCAGTCAGTATGGAACATGATCTTCATCATGGGAAGTAAGCTAAAATAAGTAATATTATTAGAATATGATATTGACTTTAGATTACACTGTATATAGATAATAGTATGGTTAAATTATGCTTTATTACCTCTTGTGGCTGAATCCAATCAAATACTATATGAGCCAGTCTTTACTCCTGTTTGTTTGCGCCTTCAATTAAAACCCTGCGTCACCTTATCATTGCAATGAATCACCCATATACGACACAAACATGCCAGTGACCAATTTGTTTGCTGGACATACTTTCAGCAACATCCTGATACATTGCTAATTGCCAGCAAGCATTGCAAATATGGTCGGTAGGAGAGATCTAGAATAAAAAGAATAAAATGATACATTATGGGTAGATAACACTATGCGCCTTCTTTTATTCAGGCAACATGGTGACTTTCGATATGTTATGGGTAAACTAGGTACTTACATCTCTAGGATAAGTCCACATTGGGATATTGTTGACCACGTCTAATCTTCACTCTCATTTTCTAGAGCATGCCGTCTCATGTGCGACAAACTCTGAATGCAATTAATACACTGTAAATTCATCATCGCGACAAATAACAACACACTGCACAAAACAATGCAAATAAGTGTCTTTTCGCAATTGTCACAACAATGATGCCATAATACCAATTTGGGCTACGGAGGAACGGTTGCCAAACTCAACGTATCACCAGATGAATAAAATAACTTCAAATTCAACAAACACATCATAACATCGCATTTGAAACAAACAGCAATGCGCCAGTATTGACAAATTAATTGTCAATGTCATCAAGACAAATGCCAGTTCAACATTGCCATAATATTCAAGTTTGTTAAAATGTTAATTATCATTAATAATCCATGTAAACGTAGATTTAGATTGGATGTAGATTTTTATATTTACTTATAAAAATGTTTGAAATGGAAAGGAAAATATTTCATTGATAGATATTAAAATAAATGAGTTTATGAAATAGCGAAATTCAATATGCTCTGATTTCATCTTTACGCATGGCAACTTTGTAAACGTCAATCGCGGTTCGTTTTACGTATAGTGGATTGCTTTTTATCATTATTGAATATCAGTTTTTCTAGGGTTTCCCAAGTTTTAAAAATCTATTAAATATGCTAACATAACGTACTTAGGAGGTTCTATAATGACCCAATTTTTTAATGACAAATCTTTTTTTAGCGAAGCGGTACAAAATCTGCCGTTCTCCTTTCAGAATTTGAAGTCTACGAGAAATTTGTTTGTCAGCAAATAGGCTCGGCCCTCTAATACGTGGACATCTTTCAAGATTTTGGGCACTAAAGCCGTGACCTTAATAGAATAAACATAAATATTAATATTTAAAAACCAGTACTTACATAGAACTTATCAGTAACAAGTCTATAAACACGTCCATCGCGCACTCGACCGGCACGGCCCGATCGTTGCTCGCAGTTGGTCTTCGATGCCCAGGCGAGGCGTAATGACGTAAAACTAGTCTCCGGGTCAGCGACCATCACTTTCATTAGGCAGTAATCGATCACTGTTGGACAAATTAATAAAGAAATCAGGTTATGACCTTATTTGTATGCAGGATTCAATTATTTTTTTTCTAAACGTTGCCCCAAACTATGATATTCTACTGTGTCGTGGGTGCGTTTACAAACATACAAGTTCACATACACATGTCACCCAGACCCGGAACAATGGGGGAATCGGACCCGTAACACGTTGCGCGGCAGCCAGTTGTGCAGCCACCGTGCCAACCATGCCGTCAATTATGACACTGCTACCCAATTGCTACACTATTATCCAATCCCATAACAGGTTAAGAATATTATAACATATAAATATACGGTATTTTAATCTCCGAAGGGCCCAATCACATATGGCTTTTAGGCCCGTTTTCATCAAAGAAAGAAAAAGTTTTTAAGTTTAGGAGAGGCAGATAACAAAATGTGACACCTACGAGTACAAGTAAGGGGTTAGTTTAGGTCCTACGTCACGCTAAGTTACTTTTAGTTAAGTCACAGTTTAGGGGTACATTGTTGAAAACAGACAATTGTGTTGTAATATAGCTTCTTGGTATACAAGTATTTCAAGCATTTTTTTTAAGAAATAAGTATGCAGTTTGACGCTGAAAAAACGTGCCTTCACAATACATAATCCCGTACAAAATTCATAGAAAACTGTCGTTTTTGACAGTTCGAAAAAAGTATTGAATTTGACTAGTTAGTAAGTACCCAATTATAAATAAGCCCAGGTTTCCTCGCGATGTTTTCCTTCGCCGTTTGTCAGTGGTGTCTAAATAATCTATGATTATTCGGAGATAATAATCTAAGATTAGGTACTTAGAACAATTAATATTGACTATTCGCTGTGTGCGCGATGACAGTGCCCCTAGTGGCCACAACTATTCAGGACTTGTCATCTGTCAAATCATGTCAACTAGATGTTATGATATCTTTGTGATATTGATTTTCGACTAGATTTTCAACGAAATTGAAAAAAATAGTGTAAAAAGTGAGTGTGTATATTATACCTAGCGATTTTCTTCCTCGTGAAAAATATGGATATTATAAAACGTACGGGATTTGAATCGATTAAGCATAAAATACATTTCCAACCTCAAACTGAGCAAAAAGGGGAAAAAATAGTATTAGCACAGCATGTGAGAGAAGTGGAAGAGTTTAGAACGAACGGGAAAAGCTTCTTAATAAGAGCTCTGATCATAAGACAAACCTCTGTGACACAAACTCCCTACAAAACATCATTAAATGTGAGTACATACCCACCTACATAACAAGTTATAGAAATAGTATATTTGAGTTAGCTTCATGTCAGCTTACTTATATTATTTTATTGTTTATTTTAATTCCAGATAAATGATGAACGTGTTGTTACAAATGTTAAGTGCGACTGTGTTTACAACCAAAGTGGCAAGTGTAACCATGTTGCTGCTTTGATACATTACATCAACACAGAAGAGAGCTTATCAAAAACAAGCAGCGAACAGCAGTGGGGAAAACCCAGCAGTCGACAATTTGTCAAAAATACGTTTTTACTTAGTAATTTTTACGTTTTTACTTGTAAAAGAAGTTATGAAAATAAAGCAATTTGACACTTGACAGTCCAGAATTAATTCACATTTCTGCCACATCGTGCGCTTCGATCGATTTGCCGTCCCCCACCACCCACTTTGCACATAGCGAATAAAACAAAGAAAATGTAATCGAATGACAATAGCACGGACACGATTCTGTGGAGAATGAAAAACTATGTAAAACAGAATAAATATGCTTACCATATTTTATATCAGGTACAGTGATAGAGCTCTCAGCAATGTTGGTGGCGAGAATGACCTTCCTGTGTCCTTTCTGCACTCGTTGGAACACGCGAGCTTGCTCTTCCGACGTGATAGTGGAGTGCAGGGGAAGCACATACCATCTGTACGTACGGCACTCTCTATCGCAAATTTTTTCTCTGCAATTTAGAAAAACTAAATAAATAAACGAGGTACCTATTATTAGTTGACAAGATAAACGTAGTAGACTATTTATTTGATCTTTTTAAATACAATCAATCTATGTGACGTAACCAATATTATTATATTAATATAAATTTGACGTGACAACGTCTTATAAATTAGTTTGCCGGGTGACACTTCAAGAAACTGCGTTACGTTACCTCCGCTCACGTTATGCGCTCACAATGAGAGCGAGTGAGAGGCACGCGTCCCTTCCACTCGAGCACAGTTAGCCCGCCTAAGAGCGAGAGAGACAGAGCGATAAAGACAGACATAAAAAGTGAAAGGCACGCGTCCCTTCCACTCGAGCACAGTTAGCCCGCCTAAGAGCGAGAGAGACAGAGCGAGAGAGAGAGAGAGAGTGAGAGAGATAGGCATACACACCGGTTCATGTCTTGCGCTTCATTATTTCATCCTTCTTCCTACTATACGAATGAATATTCACATTAAAATTATTTTACCACTCACAAGTCGTTGTCACCTAAAACTTTCGCCAGTATACCGACTTTACAACCAACCAATTTTTTAAAAGTACACAAGTGCGACTGCCATTCAAGGGGTTCTGGCAAAGTATTACAGAGTTTTTAAAAAAAATCCCAGTAGTAGCACGGAGTCTGGAATAGTGCCCGGTATGTAGCAAAAAGCTGCCCCCTATTACATGGGACTCATAACATAAATAGTGAAAAGTGGATGTTACATTGGACAGTGGCATTAAGTGCCGAAATGTGCACCTCTGCCTACCGCTTCGGGGATAAAAGGCGTAATGTTATGTATTTTTAAAAGTATAATAGCCATAACCCACAACAGCTAGGCTATTCAGTAATTTTTAATTCCAAACATCGAAGTAAACTCGATCCCGGTCCGTGATATTATTGCTTGTGAGAATAATCTCGACTTATAACGGGCGTGTTCCTGACGTCACATCGGGCTCACCACCATACGTGGGCCACGACTGACGCTGCGATCGGCGGTCATTCATTCATTCACTCGCCCGACACGAATCTGTGCACATATCGGTTGACCCTTACAATCAGTACCTATTTAAATATAGTATTTTCTCATCATACCGAAGTCTTTTATAATTCAAGACCAGCGCAGCAACACATCTGGAGATTGATACTCAAACAGGCGAGAATGCGACCGAGTTGAAACAAGTCGGTCGAATTTCGAATTAAAACTTTTAGAATCGCCTAGCTAAAGTAGATGGCGACACTAACGACAATGGTTACCATCGCAAGCATGCCAGTGCATACCTACAAGGAATGTTTCTAATACTGACCGTAAATCAAGGTCCGTGAGACAAGCATACAGGTCCTCAATCTCATGGATACCAGGCAGGAAGATGAGGACAGATGAAAGCTCTGCATCATCACGATCTGTTATTTGGTCCTCGTGCTTGTCTATGTGTTCGAATGCGTTCAAAAGTTTTAAGACAAGATGGTGCATCTCCGGAACTATAGTTGGCTCATCAGTTTTTGGCGTTGATTGGTGAAGAATCTAGAAGTAGAGAGAGAACGGAACATAATAAACTATTATACTTATAAACACCAGGTACTGTTATATCCAATACTAGCTACCTCCGAGCGATTTCACCCGCTCTCCTCGGCTCCTATTGATTGTAGCGCGATGTTTTATAGACTATATCCTTCCTTGATAAATAGGCTATCCAACAGAAAAAGAATTTTTCAAATCGGTCCAGTAGTTCCCGAGATTAGCGCGTTCAAACAAACAAACGTTTTCTGCTTCGTTGGTCGAGTGGTCGCAAGTGCGATTGCCGGGCAAGGGGTCTCGAGTTTGATTCTCTTAACGAGCAAAGTTTTACTGAGTTTTAAAAAAAATCTCAGTAGTAGCACGGAGTCTGGAACTGTGCCCGGTTTATGGCAATAGGCTCACCCCCTATTACATGGGACACATAACATAAATAATGGAAAGTGGGCGTTACATTGTACCGTGGCATTAGGTGCCGCAATGTTCACCTCTGCCTACCCTTTCAGAGATAAAATGATGATGTTATGTATGTTTTTTTCATCTAGTATCTAGTATCTAGTATTTGTGTTTGTAACGCACTATACTAAACTTACCGATCCAAATTTCGTCAAATGATTTAAGTAGAACTCTTTAACAGTGAACATTTGTTCTTGTTTCTCGATTTTGATGCAGGATGACATCTGTAGGCCTCGAGGGGTGGGGATCTTGAAGTAGTCAGCGAAGGCCTGCTTGTTAAACGTGGCCGACATTAACACCACTTTGACTCCTGGTGACACAGTGTATAGTAGTCTCTTCACAATCAGTAAGAGGAAGTCCATCTCTTGTCCCCTTTCGTGGACTTCATCTAGTATCACATGTGTGTATTCGTTCATTGTTTTTGCAGCAACTGAAAAAATATAGAAGTAATTTACTATTCGACGGTCTAAACAACAATTCGATTTTATTTGATTCCTATTGTTTGGTTACAGGCTATTTCCAATTTTAATTTCTTCTAAATGAATAAATTTTATTAGAATTTAAAATGGAATAAATAACATATGTAGTAAAATGTTTACTGGAAATATATCTTTGCATATTCCAGTGGGGAAATACATTGGAGATTTTTTTTTAATATGACTGAGCAAGCATAATTCACAGGACACTACAAGAATGAATTAAATATTATACCATTATCATAAACAAACACTAACCTAGCTTTTGCAATAATACACCGGTGGTGACGTAAGAAATGCGTGTGTCAGTAGTAGTACGAGAATCCAATCCAACCTGTGAAGAAAACAACGATAAAATTTTGTTCCATACTACATTTCTCGAATAAAATAAACCTTATAAAGCAAAAAATAAGGGTCATTTTAACTAAAATCGCGGGTTACTCACGTGAATATACTGAGAAAAGCTCTACTAGTTTCGAACTACAGAGGGGAGCTATATTCACGTGAGTAACCCGCGATTTTAGTTAATTTAGTATGTTTCACAATAGTTATTATAAAAGGGTCATTTTACCTGATAACCAACAATACCGCCAACATCCCAACCTCTTTCTTGTGCAACTCTTTTTGCAATAGATATGGCTGCAATCCTCCTTGGTTGGGTAACCACTATTTTACATGGACGTCGGGCCTGGTAGCAGTCATCGAGGATCCATTGTGGGACCTGGGTGGTTTTACCACACCCAGTTGGACCTTCCACTATGACTACTGGAAAACCATGGATGCGATCCAAAATCTGGAACGAAAGAATTGTTTTTATAAGGTGGCAACCAAGCTGATAGAGCTAAAGCTGAGTCCATAAATCTAAGTTATCTGGCTTCTATTTGTTCATTGCTGTTGGCTGTTTGTGACATTCAATTGTCATGTTTTATAAAAATAATTAAATCAAGCCCAACAATATTTGTTGTACATTTGATATTCTACTTTCTGCTGTAATGCCCCAGTAGTACATATTTATGCAGTTACAATTACTATTGTCAATATGTCACAAGACATGATAATAAAATTGAAAGCTTGAAAATTAAACTGAGATCTTATTTGACAATATTTATAGGTAAGAAAGTGCATTATAGGTACATCCCTGGGATTCCCCATTTAAAGCATTTAATCTCTAGCCTGTCGGTATATGAGACACAATAATAAATACATTATGTCTCTCATCTTATCTTATTACTTATTTTATAAAGCTGAACAATTAGGTTAGTTTATTTGTTTGAACACGCTAATCTCTGGAACTACTGGTCCGATAATAATAGTTAGAGAAGCTGAGAATTTGAAGAAGTGTGGGATAGCCATGTTTCGGCACGAATGGGCCATGTTTCGGCACGAATGGGCCACCTCGACCGGTGTGATACCACGGCACACGGCATCACAGGAAAACCGACGTGAAACAACGTTTGCGTTGTGTTTCGTCGTCGTGAGGTAACCGGAGGCCAATTGGGCCACCGGTTACCCCCGCTCCCCAGTCTCCCGGATCCCCGAATCCTCCGCAATTCTCAAATTCCCAATTCCCAAAAGGCCAGTAATGCACTTGTAACGCCTTAGTTCCAGGTGTCCATGAGTGACGGCGATTGCTTACCATCATTGACACCGATTGCCATCAAAAAAAATTAAAAATAAGTTAATTTTAGAAGAAGCAAAAATACAACCATAGATGACACCTGGGAAACAACATTTGAATTAGGAAAGACAACTGATGACATTACGTTACAGCCGTAGTATATACCTTTGAAAAGACTAATTAAAAAACCCAGGTGCAGTGGCTGGGCAACCGGCTGCCGTGCAGCGTGCCGCGGCGCGGGTTCGATTCAAGCACGGAACAACACTTTATGTTGTCAAATTATTGTTTCAGATCTGGTTGGCATGTGTATGTGAATTTGTATGATTGTAAACACACCTATGACACAGGAGAAAATCGTAGTGTGGGGTAGCTTCTTTTTAAAAAGAAAAAGTAAAGTATTTATTGTATATTGTGAAAAGGTACTAATTTTTGAAGGGGTTAAGGGGATTTTTCAAGACCTTACCTGCTGCTTGTGTGCATTGATAGCCAAATTATGAGTGTCCTCTTTCATTTGGAAGGAATACTTGTTGTACACTTCTGTCATAGCTTCATCATTGAGCTCGTCTATGTTGGGCACAGAGACTCCAAAAGACAAGTGCTCCATAGATTCTAGACCGCCTGCCACACTTGTGCTGGCAGCTTTTTCACGATTCAATTCATTCTAGAACAATAATGATATTTTACATATGCAAGTACTTTGTCAATAATATTAAGTACCTGGATGACCATGCTTTGTTCATTGTTTCTTTTTAGTTAACAACATTTTCTTAAAATGAAACCTAGCTAAATCTATTTATCACCCCCGAATCCCAATACATACAAAATTTCAAGAAAATCATTGGAGCCGTCTCCAAGAATGTTGATACATAATATATACAAGAATTTCTTGTTTAAACTGTCAAACACCAAACGGTCGCCGGTGACCGCAACCTATTGTTCTTTAATAGTGTCTATAAATACGGTACTCGACGAGTTAAAGGTATGAAATTAAGTATGAACATAAATACAAGTTACATGTATTATGTTGTATTACTTAATAAAGATTAATGTTTGTAAATATCTAATTGTAATAGTTTTTCAATTAGTAACTGGCACTAAATATAGGTAGATAATAATAATACTTAACTCATCGAGTACCGTATTTATAGACACAATTAAAGAACAATAGGTTGTGGTCACCGGTGACCGCTTGGTGTTTGACAGTTTAAAATAGTTATCACCAACTTCAAAACAGACATAGCTTGGATTTGTCTTGTAAAGTGCTAGATGATAACCCCATATCATAAAAATATGTATCTCTAGGTACTCTAAGCGAACACATTACCTATTTTTTAGAAAAATCATACTTACCCGCAAATATAACTCAGTTTCCCTTTCCTTGACTTCGCGGGCATAATCGGTACCGACATCAGTCAATGCTGAATGCCGATGTTCCATCTTTCTGCCAAAAATCTTATCGTCATCCTCTTCAGTAAGGATTCGAGCACCTCCAGTAAGAGGCCCTCTGAGTTTAATCCTTTGCGTTGGATTCATAAAAAATGCTCGAACTTCATCCATTTTAAAAGGTCTAACGTAGAAATCGAATAAGAACCTACTACTATAGACGATTGAATAAAAACTGAAAGTGAAGTCCTTAGTGTATTTAATTGCTGTGTTTATACAATCTGAAACCTTAGCTCAACAAAAATATTGAAGTTCTAGGAAATCAGATACTTCAGCTTGAACACAACTTGAGCATTGTGTGATTAGTGATTGTGTGCAGCAAGTTTTTTTCACAATTTGAGTTTGACAATGACATAATGCTTATTGGATAGAAGTGACAGGAAAAGCGAATAAACAAAACTTTGAATTTAGTTTTATTTGTTGTGCATATTTATTTATTTCTTTTATTATATATCATGTAAATAAGTACTAAAAATAAATTTATTATTAATTTTCACCGAGGAAATCTGATAATTCAGGTCGTTGACAATAAGTTGATGAGTTTTTCGTTCAGAAATTAGCAGTTAGCTTAACAGAGGTCGTAACAAAAATATTTACAACCCCGCCCCGATCAGAGGCGGAATAAAGTTGAATAGAGCGCACTAGGCAAGCACACATACCCTATAGGCGCCCATAGGTGTTTTTGGCACCGGTGCTACTTTACGGCCAGTTGTACTCGCAGCGCCCTCCTGTGAACTTAGTGCCCTAGGTACTTGCCTATCTCAAAGAGCCATCAGACCACCACGGCTGGGGCCCAATAGGGCTAATGCCGATACGGAGCCGCAAAGGACTTAACGGGTTGCCGGTGCTCCGGCTCGAAGGACAGGAGTAAGAACGGGGTGGTTTTTAGTCAATAAGAATCTGACACTCACTTCCACCTCCCCCGGCGAGAGAAGACATTCGATGATTTTACCGCCTTAAAAAATGTACTTGCCTATAGATTTGTCTTAGGGATAATATAGCTCTGACGCAGAGTCGAACCCGTATTGATCTTGTTGACCAAATTATCACTAAAGTAATACCTGTATTAATAACAATTGGTACTGTACTAATTGGTACTGCATGAAACACATTACATAAATATTATTTCATTTTTAGTAAGATAGGAAATAAGAAATATAAGGACAGGAAGAGGCTGAAGTGTTTTTGACAACAAAAACAAATATACTTCATTAAATATTATTTATTTCATACCATATTTGGCATAACAAAAATATTCAGATCATTTATAGAAGATATTTAACAACTGATAACCTCATAATTACACAATTATTAATAATACTCATATTATGCATATTGATTTATATAATGATCGTGAATACAGACAGGCATCCTTATATAATTATAGTAGACACAAAAGATTTGACCAAGTAATACAATAGTTATAAATGAAGTGCACTATTCGACTAGAAGATACAAAATTACTTTTGTAATCACTAACATTCAAAATATAAATATGAACTGGGTGTTAATAGACGCCTTTACCTCTATGATGTGAAAGAGGACTTTGGCACAACCACAGATACATAATGATAGTGGAATTACATGGATTAATAAGGGTTGTAATACAATTCATATCGTAATGAACCCATAAAGGCGAATTTAATATTTTTAACCTTGTTATTTAAACATATTTATTATGTATTATAATCTCTCTTATATTGTCGTGAAGCATACTAATAAGGTTACACAGCTTACTTACGTAACTTTTCGACGAGGTAACTTGACCAGTTTTATGCTGTTTACGATTATAGGCCTTTGACTTGGCTCGAAACTTGTAGAGCAACCTCGAAAGGTACTGTGATTAAGCTCAAATAACCTAATTATTAAGTGATTTAATATAAAAAATACAAGAGATTTTCCAAGTCATATGAGGCCTTTGGTATACTTATCAATCCAATGTAAACCCACCAATAAACATACACAGATATACATATAACAAAGCAACATAGTCAGTTACAATTATTAATGGAAAAATAATTTAAATATTACAATTTCTTATTTACACTACAGGCCATTCACTATTTGAGATGGACTTTTGGATATTTTTGACATTATAGACACATTTTGTTATATGCGATCCAATTGGGTTATCTTTTTTATATACATGGTATTGTCATGTTTCATTCAATCATATGATAAGCATGATACTAGATCAACTACTTTTAACAAGCAATAGATATTTCTTTTATATTTTAATATAACCTTTATACTGATATTTTTATAACAATTACTTATAGGATAATTTTAGAATGATTTTTTTCTAACATGTGTTTGGTAAACTGATTGGATTCCTTTCTATCCCGATACGGAGTCGCGGAGAACCTAACGGGTAACTGGGGCTCCGACTCGAAGTGCAGGAGGAGGAACGGGGTGGTTTTTAGTCAGTAAGAGTCTGACACTCCCTCCCGTCTCACCCAGACGGGAGCAGTCATTCGATGATTTTCACCCCTTAAAAAAAAACTCCTTTCTATCAGAATTTGGTTTTGATATATTTTTAAGCCATCACATTGTATTCATTTGTGATATGTGTGAACAGAGTGTAAAGAACTTTCAAGAATCGATTAGACCATTACCTATTACCTATACGAGAGAGAGAGAATCAATGTTTTATAGACAGACTCAGTTTTAATTTGTTTATATTAAAACTTGCATGGGACACACTAAATTAATTATTATGTTTTCGGCTTACTCACTTCACTGTTTGTCGAGGAACTTGACTAGTTTCAAGCCATGCTAGAGTTTCATTTTCATGAGCAGCATTACGCGACCTGCGACACGGCGACTGTCGCGCTGCTATAACTATATTCTACTTATACACTACTACTGCTAGTGAGTAAAGTAAGCCGAAAATATAATAATTAATTCAGATTTTACTTTTCATTCACGGTAATCATAGATGAATAATATTGTAGGAGGGCATTTCGATTTAAGTGAAATTTACTACAAAAACATGTAACAAAATTATTCGCATATTAGATTGTTGCTAAGATTTTTGTGAAGCATGTTCAACTTTAAGATTAGAATTCCGTTATAGGGCAGCTTTTTCTATCGAAAGATAGATTCGTGTTATTCTTTCGAGTTTCGTTACTTATGACCGAAATTAATAAACTGATCTAATTCTAAATCTAATTCTTCAAGGATTTAACTTTGGTTTGATGTGGACGTTTCATATTAGTTTAATGATTACAATCGGTTATTTGAAATTTCGGCCATTAAACATTCTGACTGAACAACAGAGACAACAAAAGCCAAAATATGCTGGGTAAGACATTTTCTTTGGTTCATTTGTGATTGTGTTATATTGACTATAGTCAGAATTTTAATTAGATTCCAGATTTGACAATAGCTACTGTCATTTTGTGAAATAATGATACCACATATAATAGTGTAGTGATGCACACAAAAATCGATAAACAATCAGTGTGTGTGTTTTGTAATAAATGTTACAGAAAGTGACAGGATAACGATAGCGATGACGGCGACAATTTATAAAATAACTTATTACCATAATACATCTATCTGTTTTATTATCATGTTCCTTCATGATTACATTTTTTTATTTATTTCACACACAATTATAAAAGAAACGTCTCAGATCGTTAATTAATCGTCAAAACTAAATTATCGGATCAGAAATATTTAATTTCCTGATATACTTAGTTCACGAGAGTAAAATTATAATTATTATAAACGAAAAGAATCGATCCAGAAATATTGCATTTCCATATCGAATAATTTCGCAACGTCACTATTTAGTACTTGTCATAACGTTGCCACACTGAAATTGTCAAATCTGGAATCGAATTAAAATTCCGAGTATAGGCGATTCTGTCTTTACAACGATAGGATAGTATACCTAAAGATATGTTGTATTACATGTTAAATTCATTATTAAATGACCTCTTGTCGAATGGCAAGTTTTCGAAAAAGGAGCTCAGAGGCCTTAGTACGAATTTGTTTTACGTTAAAAGTAATCGAAACGAGACTGCCTTAGGAGCTCCGATTGGTTAGTTCATTGGAGCCGGCCAATCACAGCGCCGAACGCGTACTCGTTTCGATTACTTTAAACGTGAAATATACTTGTACTAAGGCCTCCGTATTTACTGCTTTTATAGAGACTGGTTTTAGAGTTACAAATCTAGGTAGTATGTATCACATTAATGTAGAATATTTGGAAGCGATATTGGAATATTACGTAACTTTTAACCCAAGGATACACAAGGGGACAAATGTACTGCGACACGCGTTGCCGATGACGTCGGGTGAAGTAGCGCGACGTTGCCGGACTTTGGACGACATGTCTGGCAACATCAACGTCACTGTAGACGTAAGTTGCGCGTTGTCACCGTATATGTCAGGCGACATCGGCTGACTTCGCTCGACATGTCTCCGATACATGTCTTAGGACATTTGTAACCTAGTGTGTCCTTAGCTTTATTTAAAAAAACACTGCAAATGCCACAGCCTTATACAACGACAGAAATTAAAAAAAAAAAAAACAATAAATTTTGTGCGACACAATAAAATATCTCAAACAATCTGCTTTACAGATCGACAATTAAATTTTAAATTGATACTAATATTAATTAGGTACTAAACCACATCCGTTTGAATTTTGATTAATGTTATTAGAAGACCAAAATTAATATAAAACTAGAATATAAGAAATTCCGTATGTTACTTGTATTTAAAAAAAGTTTAGAGTGAGACCCTATACATGCATGTCTCAGGAATAGTTATCTAATACCTCATCGCCCATTGGTTAGTTAATAAGGTTATATGTCACCGACAACCGTTGCAATTAATTATAACTGGACGAAAATAAAATAAACGTTAACCTTTTGACCGCCTGTATCACGTAACTACGACAGCAAATCAAAATACAGTCACCATGGTAACCAGTAAATAAGAACATTTTGCCCGTTTTCACCAACCCCTAAGCTAAGATAGGTGACATTTTACTAGTTAGTACGTCACGCTATGGTTTATTATTTAGTTTCATTATCGCTTTAATAACCTTGAATTTTGTACCATGATAATATCATTAATATCATATATGGTTGACAAAACCTAATAATTATATAACCTTATCTACATGAATTCGAAGTGTGACATTGGAGGGAATGCTTTGGAATTACACATGGCGGTCAAAAGGTTATGTACAGCCCGCGACAAAATTTTAGTTACTCCGAAGTAGGTTTGTATGTATATTGTAGTAACCGACTCTCCCTCGCTGCTTTCAGAGCGACCATGAAGTTTGGAGGACCTGCAACCACTGCAAAGACGGACAGATTAGAATATGATCATATATGATGAACAATCGAAATGAATAAATAATCTGGATCAAAAAACTGAGAATGATGCAGAAAAAATCGACAGTAATTAACGCACAGACACCAAATACACCAAACTGTGAATAATTTAACGACTCTTTTACAAAACTTTTAATAGGGCAGATGACTAATTTTTATTTTAATGTTCGTCTGGTAGATTACTTTGAATCATTAGACACGTTTTTTTTTTGTTTTCTTACAGAAACGAATACTTTCGACGATATATTGATTTGAAATGTCGCGTGACGTCACTTCTATGTACATTTTATACATAGAAATGACGTTTAAGCCCCCACTCCTAAACTTTGATTCGTTTTATCTAAGTATTGTTTTATTATACGACAAAATAAAAAAATACGTGTCTAATATTTTTTCATTACCTAACTAACGGACTACATTACATTTTAAATTTTCATACCCTGTCATCATCCCAATTGTTTCCCGTCCGGACAAACAATAAAATTCATAATCTGACTCCAAAATCATAACTATATAGTCCCTTTTTCTTTGATTTCACATCAGTATTAATATGGACAAGTACCTGAAGTCTTAGTAGTTAGTTCTCCTTCGAAGGTTGGATGGACCAGCCGAGGATGCGTCGGTCGAAGCCGCAGCTGAAGAAGTTTATGTTGGACGATATGTCATCCGCCCAGGCCACTGACGTCACCATGCGACGGTGACCCTGCAATCATATTGGTTGTTGATTATATTGCCAGTTTTTTTTTGCATGCAGGACTTGGATATGGTTGGATGAGAACAGACTTTAAATGACTTTTGTTACGTGAATTATTAAAGGACAAAATACTTCATCATAATTATCATCATAATCAAGAAACCGTGACACCTTTTCAAAGAGGGTTGGCTACCTGGGATCGCTGATCAGTCTGCTGTCTGTCTCTGTTAAATATGTAGATCCAATACCCATGGGAATAGTGTTAATCGTAATAAGGAACCATAAAAAAAATGTTTAACTCGTTGAGTACCGTCATTATAGACACAATTAAAGAACAATAGGTTGCGGTCACCGGTAACCGCTTGGTGTTTGACAGTATAATAATTATTGTTATTACCTGACGGCTAGATCGAGGTAGTCTAGCGAGTCTCTGCCCCTGCAGATCGAAGAGTCGGACCTGTCGGTTGTCGTGTGGGATCGCGATCAGTCCATTGCCACTCACACCAACACGGTTCACTGAGGAATCAGATCTGATCGTGGCAAGAGCTGAACGCATGTTACGGACGTCCCAAACCTAAAAGGAATAAAAAAAGACATCATACAAATATACAGTACTGTTTGAGAACATTACATGTAGTGCTACAATACAATAAACTAGTAAATTATTCTATTATTACTTCTGTAATATAAACATCTTTCATTACCTTTACGGAACGGTCATCAGATCCAGAAACGACTTTATCTTCTCGTGTAAACACAGCCGATGTGACGCTCCTGTAAAATAATGATAAACCATTATTGTAGTCATTAAAATCTTTGCCTATTACATGAGACTCATAACATAAATAGTGAAAAGTGGGTGTTACATTGTACAGTGGCATTAAGTGCCGTAATGTGCACCTCTGCCTACCCCTTTGGGGACGAAAGGCGTAATGTTATGTTATAAAATCTTTGCCATATACCGTAAGCAGGATAGGGCAGAAATAGGAATGGATTGTTGTAGCCATTTAAAAACTTTCCATCTTTACAAGAAGAAGAGTGCATTGATGATCAGTGTCGTGGAGTTTACATAGTTCTTTTAACTTACTCAGTGTGTCCTTGGAAGACTGAGACGGAGTGTATCGGCTCACGGAAGTCCCAGAGACGGAACGTTGTGTCGCGGGACGCTGTCACCACCAGCCGGGACGCGTGGTGCGCAGACGCATGCGTCAGCTCGTGATCGTGACCTAAATAATAATATTGTGTAGGAATACTTGCTTATATTTACCTAATATAAAAATTATGAATATATGCTTGTTTGTTTGTTTGTTTGTTTTTCACTTTACAACAGCGTTTTCATGTATTTGGAGATAATTAGAAGGCTGCAGAGTTATACAATTTAACCTACTTTTTTCGTTTCACCGCACGGTCACAATACTATTACTTTCGATTTCATACGAGAAACGTCTGTACATTATCCTCACAAAGCCATAAATAGTTTCATCAAACCTGTAAGAACTTGCAGGCAGTCTCCAGTTTCGACATCATATAGATTAGCGGTCCTATCCCAGGAGGCGGTGATAACGTGGTCGCCGCCGGTCAGCCAATCAGCGGCGACAACGACACCTTGGTGGCCGCCCAACTCCGTGAGAGGAGTGCGTAATACTTCTGGCCTATCTCCTCCTTCGCCTAGACTTTCTTCGCCGCCTCCTTCTAACTCTTCCTCAGAGGACTGGCCGCGCTAAAACAAGGTTTTATTCATTGTTATTTTACTTCTTAGTCCATAGGTTGCTAGTGCTGACTACAGTGCAAGAGATTTCGATTTTCGAAAGGTACCGAAATTATGACAATCAACCCTTAAAGAAGTCTTCGTACACCTAACATAAAATCGTATATGCTAGCTTATACGTTGATAATAAGTGAAATGATATTCACTTTTGGAAATACTCTACAAAATAAACGACATAGGCATGGGAATGAGGGGCATAGGATGAAGAATTAGACAGATCTTCTATCAGACTGTTCTGAAATTCTGGACACAAACTTAAGAGGTCAAAGTTGAAAACTGTGTTCCTAATTTATAATATTCTTTTTTTTTGTTTATTTTTTATTTATGTCACTGTATTTTTATGTCACCTGTAATTGTTATCCATATTTGCAAAATAAAAGTATCTTTATCTTTTAAGTTCAGTAAAAGTAATGAGTTTACTAACCGGTAGGTCCCAATTGACGGCGGCCTGCCACACGTGAGCAGTATTGTCTCCGCTGCTTGTGAGAGCAATGTCCCTGCTTGGGTGAAAACGGATCGAGTTGACAGAGCCTGTGTGCCCTGTGTACTGCAGGAGACATTTACCCCATTCCACGCTCCATACGCAAGCTGTGTGATCTGTAATGAAAAATATACATAGATTAAAAAAACATTATTAAAGAATAAAAACAGCGGACATGAGGAAGAAGTGTTAAATGAAAATAAACATTCTTATTCTTACATTTATAAGCAACATGTTTTTATACTAAAATACACAACTAAACAGTCGATAATATTTATTCTCTTGCATAAAAAATTAAGACCTAATATAACTTAGCATAATTTTGTTTGGCATAAATTTGATTCGCATAACGTTAGTAGCATGATAATAAATTAGTCTTTAAAATGATTATGCCAACATAAAATGTATACCTTAAAAAATTATCATCAACGGTCTATAAATGCCCACATTTTTGCATTGTTCTTACATATGCGTACAGCATTAAAATATGTTGATACATATTTCAATACTGTAGAGACATTGTAGAACATACTTTTTTAAAAAGAGTAACGAATGGAGTTTCTTGCTCGTTCTTCTCCATTCGAATCTACTTTTTGGAATGAGCACCTAGCTTCACCTAGTTTCACTGACGGACTGACTGACAGACTATTATTTATTTTGTATTTGTTGACGTTTCAAAAGTACCAAACTATGGTTTAATTGAAATAAATGCTTTGACTTTGACTTTGACCACTGCTGAGCAAAGTCTCACACGGAGAAGGTTTGAGCATTATCACCACGCTTGCTTAATGCGGGTTGGCGATTTCAAACTTATAATTAAAAATTATAACCCCAGGTTTCCTTACGATGTTTTCCTTCACCGTTTGTCAGTGGCGTCTGAATAATCTTAGAAAGTACAAATAACTCGGAAAAGTCACATTGGTACTTGCCGTTGGTAGGTTTCGAAACAGCACCCTCATGTATGAGAAGTGCGTCATAAACCTACGGGCCACCACGACGTTAAAAAAAATTATGCTCAAGTATTATTATGCCAAAACAAATTGTGCCAAAATCGTTATGCCGAAGTATATTAGGACAAAGAACATTATGCGAAAATATTCACCTGCAGAAGCAGTGCCAATAAGAGCTTGTCCAGGACGAGCTGACGTCACATCCCAAATCCCATCTTTGTGTCCCGTGAACTCCCGCACTAACTGACAGTTGTATGATGGAGCCTTGAAGCTGGAGACTATCTTGCTGGTCTGCACCCGGAGTTTATGACTCGCTTTCACTTTCTGCGAGTTGCTTTGTGTTACTGTGGAGATTGCAAAACAGATTAATTATCATCTAAGGTGACGCTTTTAGGTATTGCCCTCGTTGTTTTTAGTCTTATTTCTCAGATCAATATTATGTTATTTATAACTCTCATAAAAAATTATGAGATTAAAATACATAAGATTGAAAAGTTTAAGATCCCTTGGGTGGATACTGTTTTCTCCTTTATTGGCCTTATTTCTCAGTTCTGTATGCAATTATAGGATATTATTATGTACTTGAAATAATTAGGCTGCATAAGATACAAGTAAATGACAGCACAAGTTCTTTTTTTTCATCTGTAATATGCCATTTGAGGCATAGATAGATTGATTGGTAATATTAATAAGTATTTGTGGAAGTATTCCATCAAATACATCTCCTACTTCGAAAACTGTATCAGTTAGTATTCCTCATCCAGTTGCCAATATTTGCCAAACTTTTAGCCGGGTAAAGCTGCCTTCCATTTTCAAAAAAGATCTCTTGCCAGTTCATTAGTATGTGACTCAAGCCTGGTCTTATATGTTTTTACTTAGTGTACTCCCTAACTTGGAAGTCAACTCTAATAGTTGGTATATTTAAGTACTCATGTATCTCAATATTTCTTGAGAACCATGGGGCGCTGCTCGTTATTGAAGTGCTGACAGCACAAGTAGAGGCAAATTAATTATGGTCTCATTTGTATGTCAAGATATTACATGAGTCTTATAACTTAGCTAAATTTTAGTGTTACCCTTTTCCCTTATTAAGAACATGAGATCCGATGTTAAGGATCTGTTAGACATGCTAATTTCAAGCATGAGAGCATGCTTTAATTTGTGTACTTGTCACTTAATAGCATGTGTCTAGGCAAGTTAGTCAAAATTAGCATGCTCTTTTCAGGCATGTTTCCAAATCAACAGGCATTTGATTTTTGAACACCTTTTAGCATGCTATTTTAGAGTCAATACCTTTATTACTAGTTAAGTAGTTACTTACATTTTACTTTAGAGTTCTTCCCAGCAACATCAAACTCAATGTAATCCAAGTTTTGTTTATCTCCCACATAACTCTCCCGTTCCAATTTCTCACTCAAAATGTCTATTTTCTCTTGAACTAGAAACATATGAGAAGGCATTTACTATAAAAAAAATTATGGGTAAAAACTATGTTATTTACAGAGCTAAATAACTTATTGTTAATTAAAGTTATCATACATGTGCAACCGAAAGAGATATGTAAGAATCATAGCAATTGTCGTTCCATAATCTGTGGCTATATATGTATGTATGTATGTACATATTCAATAACCTAGTGTTATTAAAAATATAGGGCTATGGGTGAGGTTTTTGATTAGCAGTGGCCATCTTCTGGCTGATAATTTTATATATTTAACTAGCTGACTCGGCAAACTTCATACTGCCTCAAAAATCTTCTTTTCCTCACCTTTTAAGCCTTCCTTGGATCTCTATGAATATTTCAAGACCAAAACTAGCACAACAGTTCAGCCCGTCTCTAGTTTTAGCGAGAATAAGTAATGGAAATACATTTTTATTTATATAGATAGGATAGCCTTTGGCAAGCATAGAACTTAGAACATGGAACCATGGAAGTGGGGGTGCACACATGCAAGCATGATAAAATGTTTAGGCCGGAACATTTGGATAATGAGAACCATGCTATTGCAAAACTATGACTTATTTAATAGAAATGATAATATAATTATGGATAAAACCTTTCAAAATCTGAATTCCAAAAGAAAACCCCATTTGAATAACAATATACAAAAGCAAAGACATTTAAATGTAAGAACTGCACAAGAATAAATCCCAATGTCAACGTTATACCTACCTTTAATGGACACAACTTATGTTGCTCACAGTCCATAACAATACAAGCAAACGGTAACTTAAAATGTAATATATCATAAATACCAACATACTGTAACTTCAAAATAATAAAATAAATATTATTAGGTATACTTTAGTTACACTTACGATTCAGATTTTCTGTGTAAAGAAGGTCAAACTCTTTTTCGATTTGAGAAAATAATTCGTGTAAACGTGATCTAAATACAGGTGGAATAGATGTTTCGGAATCCTCCATCTTCAGGTAGTTAGGCAGTCCATCAGATCCTTCGGTAAGGGCCTGGAGCCTTCGCTTACTGGATTTCATGGTCCAAAGCGGATTACACACCAATATACTAATCACATCACATTACGCAGCACATAAACAGAGATTTGAAATTCATAAATTTCATGGAAATTTTGTTTTAGGTCACAATATTTCCACACAACTTGAAAATAAGAAAATCCTAAATAAATACAATCAATGTATTCCACAACCCACAATCTTTCAACTTTTGACTTGCCGTTTTGACGTTTTGATTTTCCTTTACAATGCTGTCTCTGGCTATGAATTTTAAACTTATTTTAAAATTAATTTTTATTCATTGATCTTTTTGTTTTTAGTTTCACTGTTTCACTAAATACAAAAATGTTGAATATTTCAGAAACTAGCCACTTTCGGAACATTTTGTGAAAAATTCGTTTTATTATCACCTGGATGAGATAATAGTAATATTTTAATTACACATATAACTGGTCGTAGATGTTTTGCTAATAATAATTAGTAAATATTTGCATAGGCATAATCAGGTAGCCAAGATTATCCATCAGCAACTTGCTTTGCACTATCGACTTGTTGCGTCTGAGACTCTGAGGTACCGTACTACAAGTATGTGCATGAACCAGTTCCGGAAAATGCCCATATCACTATGGGAGGTTTATTGGCTACAATAGTCAATGATGATAGTCCGACAAGTCCAAAGCACGATGATAATTGATGTTACCATTCCCCACGACCCTCTACGGCGCCCCTGTTTGGGCGCCGAACCTGCTGCAGCGGCCCGCTCGGGCGCTGCTTATGGCACAGAGGGTCATGGCGATCCGAATGATCCGCGGATACCGCACGATCTCTGGGGAGTCGGCGAACCTCCTTGCCGGATTACCGCCGTGGGATCTGGAGGCAAAGGTGCTCGCGCGCGTGTATCGCATGCGCGCGGAGGCACGTCGCCGGGGCGAAACTCCGCTGCCGCGCCAGATAAGTGCGTGGCGGGATGAGCTCCGGCGCGATCTCATGGCGGAATGGCAGCAACGACTGTCGCAACCGAGGGCTGGGCTCGCTGCCATTGCAGCGGTAAGTCTTTGAGGAGTGGCTTGAGAGACGCTACGGCGTCCTCACCTACCGCCTGACGCAGGTCCTCACCGGACATGGAAGTTTCGGGAGGTACCTGTGTCTGATGGGGCGGGAGGAAACGCCCGGGTGTCATCACTGCGAGGACCACCCTGAGGACACGGTGGAACACACTGTTGCGGAATGCCCTGCGTGGGCTGAGCACCGCCGTGCCCTCAGGGAAGTGATCGGCGATGGAGACCTCTCGCGTCCGGGCCTAGTGCAGGCCATGATGCGGAGCGAGGGGGACTGGGATGCCGTCTCCTCCTTTTGCGAAGCAGTCATGCTGGCTAAGGAGGAGGCGGGACGCGTGAGGCAGCGAAGCGCTGCCCCCAGCCATCGCGAAGGACACACCGGGCGTCGGGGATCGCGGGACGATCTCCGGCCACCGTAAGCGCGGGCCTGCGGACGGCGAGCATGGGTGGCTCCCCGTCCGACCAGAAACAGACCCGAGCGTACGGCGCGTCGCGTTCCGCGCGCGCCTCAAAGAGCCATCAGACTACCACAGATGGGGCCCAATAGGGCCGATGCCGATTCGGAGTCGCGGAGAACCTAACGGGTAACCGGGGCTCTGGCTCGACGTGCAGGAGAAGGAACGGGGTGGTTTTTAGTCAGTAAGAGTCTGACACTCCCTTCCGCCTCACCCAGGCGGGAGCAGTCATTCGATGATTTTCCCCCCTTAAAAAAAAAAAAAAAAAAAACCATTCCCCACGACGAGAACCTCGTGAAAACTGACAAAGGTAAACAAATAAAATATCTAGACTTAGCTTACGAGGTTGTCGACATATGGAGTGTGGATTCGGCTATCAATGTGCAGATAGTCGTGTCGGCCAATGGCTTAATCCCTAAAAGCCTTGACATCCACCTTAGGAAGCTGGTATTAGGTAGATGGATCAAGGGCCTCTGATACAGACAGATGGCAGGAACGGCACGTATCGTGAGGAGGTTTTTGCCTCTGGAGCCCGAACCACTTGCTTGAACCATGCTCCCGCTACTGGTGAAAAATATAAAAATTGGTGCCAGTAGCACCAATTTTTATATTTGTAATCTAGCTGACCCGGCAAACATACAAATAAATAATTTGTTTGTTTTGCCATATAAATAAATAATTTCGTAGATGGGTGAAAATTGAGGATTGTATTTTTGTATCATAAAAAAAAGAAATTAAAAGTTTTGTATAAAAAAAAAAAAATAGGGTTGGACTACCCCTAACATTAATGGGGATGAAAAATAGATGTTGGCCGATTCTCATTGATACCGGATAAGCACAAAAAATTTCATCAAAATCGGTCAAGCCGTTTCGGAGCAGTAAGGCAACGAAAACTGTGATTATTGTATTTTTTGTTAAGTAGTGATTAAAAATGTAATTTATAGAGAATTTAAATAAATATCTGGAAGTATTTATACCACTTCACCAAAATGAATAAGATGGACAATAAAAACAAATTAAGAAACCAAGTTAAACGCGATTAGAATATAACTGTTAAGTTAGAGAAACGTTAGCTAATTAACTTCACAACTCATTAGATGGACTAGTTGTTTCATAAGCCATCGCCATGGTTGATAGAGTACGGTCCGACTGGACTTTAAATTCTTAATAGTGTAAGGATTCAACATATTGAAATCATACACGAGGGAAGTCGGAGTGAAGGTCATGAGGGAAAGGGAATCTGTACTCTAAGCTTAGTAGTTTGTAATCACGTTCATCTTATGCGAAATCTTTGCTTGCGCGATCTAGATCCTAACCGTCCATCTATCGGATGCATGTAGTAACTACAATCATAATAGTTCTTCTAAGAAATTATAGATGCCGCTCAAGCGTCAATATTGAAAACCGCTTGATGACACTCATAGACATTAGTCTAAGAAGACAATAAAAATTGAAATAAATGCGTCAGAGCCTCAGCAACAAGCGCGTCAGATAAAAGTTATGGATCCAAGGTGTATCTAAATCTAATGCATTGATCTAATCTAATTCTTCATAATTCTATGATTGATGACATTCGATAGTTTGAAGTTGTCAACTCGTCACATTGATGCACTGAATGCGGTTTAATTTACCAGATGAAAAATTATTTTGAAGTGATAAGCGATACAAATTTGGAACATAAATCAATCTTTTGTTTATATTATAAAATATATCAACTATTTAAAAAACAAAACAATCGAATAAAATAAGATTTAGATCGAAACTTGTCTTACATTATTAATAATATTGGCAACTCAGCTCGCGAATAGAGAGAACAAGGAAAGGTTACTGGCAACATTTTATCGCATGGTCATTATTAAAAAAATGGCTGGTGAGTAGCAAACTAGCCCTGCCAACGTTCGTCGTTAGATAGTTGTTTATTTTTCTATTTACAATCATGTCGTTTTCAGATTTATACGCAAAATATAATTGTACCTATTGCCAAGAAGAAATAAACGGTGTACGTGTGAAATGCGCGGAATGCGTCGACTTTGATATTTGTTTGCAGGTAGAGTTGCTTTGCTGCCATTTTTGTTTATAGTTTTGGCGCAAAATTTTAAATTGTCAGTCTCTTACGAAGCAAAATTCTTCTCTTTTTTAGTGTTTTTCTCTTGGCGCTGAAATTGGAACACACAAAAATGATCACTCCTATCAATATATGGTAAGTTATTTTGTTTTTTGTCTATCGAACTCAATATTCGTAGATTAGAAAAATAAGATCAAGTGTACACAGTGGAATAAACTTGTTTTAAACTTTTAAACATTTGAAATAATACTGTTGGTTTTATTTTAGGACTCTGGAGCATTTGGGATATTCCTGGGTCGAAGTAGTTGGTCTGCAAATGAAGAAGTTAGATTACTAGATGCTATAGAACAATTTGGTTTTGGAAACTGGGAAGATATAGCTAAACACATAGAAACACGAACACCTGAAGGTATGATTTTAATTTACCTTATTTGCAGAAGTAAATATAATGGTGTTACAATTTGTTTCCTCGCTGTATAATGGACTTGATGCAAAAGTGAAATGTAAGGGGTTATGTATCTGTTGCCTATAGTAGCATATATATATCTCAACACGGAATCAATGCATTTACCTAATCAGTTTAACATTGAATTCTTATACACTGCTTTATTGGTCACAGAGTGGCCAGTGCAAGTGTCAAAGGACTCTGGTTTGCTTCTAATCAGGGAATAATGATAATTATAAATCATTAATACTATTTGTATATTTAGTTGTAAATGAATAAATCTTAATAGAAGTCTAGTCTGGCATTGTACACAGGACTAACAACTTGCCCAATGAAAATCAAACATAAATTCAAACCTTTATTGACCATGTTAGATCTTTTAATCTTCAATATCTTTTCACTAGTTTTTGTCAACGTTTTTGACCATTTTACCCAGACAACTAGCCAATTTGTTATTAATTTATAAGGCTAATTAAATTTCTTACAAAAGCTGGAGGGCCAGAATTTTTTGTTCAGTTGTATAATGATTAATGATGTTGTATGCTTGTATGCTTGATTAATGATGTTATATGCTTTACTCACAGACAAAACTTGTGTGACACGGACTACATTTGTTTCGACAGCCCTGCTCTAGACTATTATCTAAATCAATAATAGATACTATTTAGATACTCTTCTATTAATACTAATATTTTATTCTTGATCTTTGCCAAGTTTAATCATTCAGTAGTTTTTGAACAACAAACATACATACATACATGCTCCCAAATTTCGCGTTTATAATATTAGTAGAATTATTTGATATGTGTAGTTCTGCTGAACCCTCCAAGAGTTACTATATTGTTTTAAAAGTGGTGTGAATCAAACATGAAAATTATTTATTACAGAGGCCAAAGACGAGTATATTACCAGGTACTTAGAAGGCAGTATTGGTAGAGCCACATGGGGTAATTTAGAAAGCACAAGCCGACCCTCATTAAACACTGGTGATAAAGATGAAGGTCCATTGGGTCCAAGTGCAGTATCCCGTCTCCCTCACCTCGCAGTTACCTCAGATGAAGCCGCACAATTAGGATATATGCCAAACCGAGATGATTTTGAAAGGGTAAGTTTATATTTATACATGTACCATTAAGCCAGGTTAAAGTATTTCATTAAATTAATCCTTATTGAGATATTTTTGAAACATCAAAATTGAATTGTTTGTCAGTGTTTTTTATTTTTTTTTAAAGTTAGTTGTGTAACTGTTCGTCAAGGTAACCTGACTAGTTTCAAGCCATGCAGGGGCTCATCGATATGAGTAGCATTGCGTCACAAATGACTTAGCAAATGTGATACAGGCTGCATCACACATCCGCTCCTTTTTCTATACACTTGTGTATGTGTATGTGATGAAATGACTTAGCAAATGTGATGTCTAATTGTGTATGTGAACTTGTATGTTTGTAAACGCACCCACGACACAGGAGAAAATCCAAGTGTGGGGCAACGTTTTTTTTAAAAAAAAAAAAAACTTGTGTTAATGTTAATCCATTGATTATGTTTTTTGGTTAGTACAATGTAAAGGATGCGATCAACAACTGTATCAGTTCTTATCAGGCTACCATTGAAACTGACTTATTGGTTCATCATTCAGTGTAATGACTCATTTTATGCCTGTTATATTTTGATGGTAATGTGTAAAGCTCTAAATGTGATGTGTTAATAATAGGTTAACCTAACTAATTATGAAATGTGGAAGTATTTTTGTTTGTTTCTTATTAGTAGTTTGAACCAATATTTGTAGTACAGAGGCTTATTTATGCGGATAAAGCTGTGGGGAAACATTATTAAATAAATAAATAACGTACAAAAACTCAAATGTGCACTCAAATTGAGTTTATAATAACAGGGCACAGGTAGTCTACAATTTTATATATTTTGTTTATGTGCTACTATCGACCGCCCCGGTTTCGCACGGGTGCAATATCATGCATATCGCACTCGTGAGAAGCCGGGGCGGTATTAATTATTTTTATTATAAATATTCCTTAAGAATTACTATCTAATAAAAAAATCGCATCAAAATCCGTTGCGTAGTTTTAAATATCTAAGCATACATAGGGACAGACAGACGGTGGATAGCGACTTTGTTTTATACTATGTAGTGATGTTAATGTGAACAATTTGTGCGCTTTTCAGGAGCATGATCATGAAGCGGAACAGTTGATTTCAACTTTATCTCTAAACCCTGAAGATGATGAGTTGGATATTGGTAAGTTAATACCTTTATACAACTCCCGTGGGTTTCACTCGCTGCGTGGTGTTTTCTAACCTGTAATGTGGCAAAAATAACAGCATCAATCAATACACGCTGATTATAATTACATATTTAGATTTTACTTTTATATTTCCTTGTGAGAAAGCGATGAAATCAATCCAAAAACCTCATTATTATGTATTTCGGCTACTCATGTAACTTTTACAACATCAAAGACTTATTATTCGTTAATTAAACAAAAACTTACCAATCTATACAGATAAATAAAATTGTAGTGCCTGTATGTAATATTGAAATAACTACATGCATACGAATATATATAAAAAAAAAAAAAATTTTTTTCTTTCTGTCTGTCTGTTTGTATTGTCTAATCTTCGAATTGGCTGGACTGATTTTAACGGCAGGTAGCTGATGTACTAAGGAATAACATAGGCAATTAAAAAAATATATTGCCTAAAACTCATAATGTACGCGGACGAAGTCGCGGGCAACAGCTAGTTTATGAATAAAACTACCAAGTTCTTATTTTTAATAGTTACTATAAAGATATGTTTTAATTTCCAGCCCTGAAGTTATCACAAGTGGATATTTACACTCGACGGCTGCGAGAAAGGACAAGGAGAAAGCGCTTAGTGAGAGACTATCAACTCGTGTCCGTCTTCTTCAATAACCAGAGGAATAAACAGAAGACGCTTGGAAAACTTGCCAAAGAGAAAAAGTAAGTGCTTTTGTAATGTTTGACTAACTACTTAATTTAGAAGTAGAAAAATTACACACGTGTGAATGAAAAATTGTATACTATCCCTTACTGTTCATTTTGCATTACGTATATATTGTAGTACTTCTTCATTATATTTAATTAGTAAATATTGTGTGATATGTATAATTATATATACTACCATAACAACAATGTTAAACTTTTACACCTACTATTGTGTCTCTCTGCATCACCCTAAGGTTGACTGTTAGAGAATGCCACTAGGCATTAAGTCCGCCATTGTATACAATTGCAAGAAGTGTAAATAAAATAAATAAATAAAAATTGCCTGCCTCGTTGGTCGAGTGGTCGCAAGTGCGACTGCCGGGCAATCCTCAAACTCTTAATCCCCAAAAGGCCGGTAACGCACTTGTAACGCCTCTGGTGTTCCAGATGTCCATGGGCGACGCCGATTGCTTACCATCAGGTGATCTGTCTGCGTGTTTACCGGCTTATGCCATAAAAAAATAAATAGAAATAAAACGTAACTCTATTACATTACTTTCTCTAGTCTCTACTTCTATACAGATAAATAAAAATGGAGTGTCTGATTGTAATATTGAAATAACCACTTTTCACTGTGTACTCAGTATCTGTCTGTACTAAGTAATCTCTGAAATGGCTGCACCGATTTTGACGGGACTTTTACTGGCAGGTAGCTGATGTACTAAGGAGTAACATAGGCTATTTTTATTTCGGAAAATTGAAACTAAAAATATTATGTCGTTAAACTCATATTCTACGCGGACGAAGTCGCTAGCAATAGCTAGTAAACTTTGACAATACATAAATTTTGACAAATTGACAAAAGAATTTGAAATCTCAAAAAAGAGACAAATAAACAAAGTATTTTCTTTTCATTATACATACATGATACAATACACAGGCTACATGTTACTATGGCCATAGAAAGAAAAAACACTTGTTATCATTCTGACCTTTGTTATTGGGTCATATGATTCATTATGTTTTGTGCTGTGCATTTTACAAACGAAGTTGTTTTTATGTCATATTTTTTGCACTTCTAAATTACTTGACAAATGCAGATTGATTTTTGTTGATATTATGCAGTTTTACTGAGTTTTAGCAATAAGTGAATCATTATAATTCAATGTTGTGTTAGGATTATTGCTTATTAGCCACAATTTGTTTAATTCCTGGGCTAATAATTTCTAATTATAAGTTTGTAAGTAATCGCCAACCCGCATTGAGCAAGCGTGGTGATTAATGCTCAAACCTTCTCCGTGTGAGAAGAGGCTTTGCTCAGCAGTGGGCATTTATAGGCTGATGATGATGATGATGATTTAAGGTGTTAATCTAGTATTTGCTTATGTGCAGAGAGTTCACGGAGCGAGTGCGTTGGACGGCGCAGTTCTACGGGCGCGGGGAGCAATTAGGCGTAGTGGCGGGGCTTTGGCGTGAACGCGAGCTTCGCGTGAGGTTGGCGGAGCTCCACCGGTACCGGCTGGCCGGGGTCACGCGCGCCGAGGAGTGCGCCCACTACGACCAACACGCCGCCATCCGCCGCCACGCGCCGCCACACGTGAGACCCCGTCTACTGGTACAGCCGAGCTAAGCATTCCATATACTTACACTACACACATACAGTGACGGATTATACATGTTAAAGTTGGGGCCCGGTCATACGGGTGTCTGGGTCTGAAGGGGACTGCACATATGGGTGACCTGGTCAGAAGGGGCCTGCTCAAAAGGGTGCCCCGGTGAAAAAGGGACATTACGAAAATGATACTCCATCTTAGATGTTTAGTTTTTCAAAATCGAAAATCCCACAATATAATTTGCTGAGTGATCCCTGCGCATGATTTAATCCGTTGCTGCACACACGTCCATACGTCACGTCATGTCATAGTTCCTAACTGTTTCACTCGTCAAAATGTTGTTTTACACTTTAAATTAACGGTATGATATGAAAATAAATCATACTTCATTCATAATTTCATAGTTAATGAAGAGATCAACATATAAGACAATCTTCATTATGGTCTTTTTCATACATATGCATCAAAACCTCCACTATTTTAAATGTGACAAAAATAATAGAAATCCATACATTCCACATCCAGGGCCGCATTTCGGTACAGTTTAAAACACCAATCGGGTCAAAACGGTTTAAACAAAATTAATTTTGAGTACAATACAAAATATAGTTCACCATGTTCCTGTGTTAAGTCTAAATGCGGCTCTGTATTCCATACATTGATGCTTACGCAATGTGCTTCCAATGTGTTGTGGTGTGTTCCCGGTTTTGCATGACTTGTAGCCTAGAAGAGAGTGTATGGTATAAAATAAATATAATTATACCTATATAATTATAGTCTATGTACTATTTATCCAAGCAATATTGCACGTGGCTTCTACGTAATGTAATGACGTGGTGTTTACGGAATTTGGTTGTTGTATGGACATGATATTGTTGCCTATTTTTTGTAGAAGATATACCTATACCTACCTAATGGTTGTATCAATTATAATGTGGTGTTTTGGTAATCTTTGGAATGGTAGTCTAAAGTGAACATCTGTATACCACAATGTAACTCTAATTTTATACCAGTTATGCTGTATTCCAGACTTTTAAAGTCTGATATATCACATAGATTTTATAAAAGGTTCTATAACAAAGATTTCTATTCCTTGATGAGATATCAACCTCCAGAAACAATTCATTATATCTTCAAATAATTCCCTGTTGCCTAAATGGTCTAACGGCCGAAATTAAAAACTGATTTCAATCCTAAGATTTTGGTTCAGATCAAAAAGTAATTTTTCAAAGTTCATAATATTATCATGACAATATGAGGAAAAAATGTCCATAGGCAATTGATTGTACCGTGTAGTTTTGGGTTTGATCCCGTATAACTATTGTATTCGCCAGGGCAGCAGTGGGTGCCTGGAAACCAATCAGACAAAAGAGCAAACGCAGAACAGCACGCAGCCGCAAAGAAAAAGGTCAGTATCCACAGATAATATAGATATCTACTTTATTGTACGGTGGCCAGCTGGTCAACCTATCCTTTTCTCTCATTTTTCTGTTACATCTTCTTGTATTGCCATAAAGCTTAAAATTCAATGAATAAATTTGATAGTTTGGTACCTACTCCAAGTTTGGTACTACTTAGTGAAGAACAACCAGTAGGTTGTTCTTGCCACTGTACAACGAACACAGTTAACCGGATACTAAATAGAATGTTATCATGTCTGTGGCTGTCTAATAGATTTTCGATTTTATACATAACATAACATCATGCCTTTTGTCCCCGAAGGGGTAGGTAATGGTGCATAGTATGCCACTGTACAATGTAACACCCACTTTTCACTATTTATATTACGAGTCCCATGTAATAGGGGGTGAGCCTATTGCCATATACCGGACACAATTCAACTTTATGATATGAAACCTTTTTGGTTTATTAACCTTCTGCTTGTACGGGCCTGCGGACGGCGAGCATGGGTGGCTCCCGGTCCGACCAGAAACAGACCCGAGCGTACGGAGCGTCGCGTTCCTCGCGCACCTCAAAGAGCCATCAGACCACCACAGATGGGGCCCAACAGGGCCGATGCCGATTAGGAGTCGCGGAGAACCTAACGGGCTACCGGCGCTCCGCTCGACGTGCAGGAGAATGAACGGGGTGGTTTTTAGTCAGTAAGAGTCCGACACTCCCTCCCGCCTCACCCAGGCGGGAGCAATCATTCGATGATTTTCCGCCCTTAAAAAAACCTTCTACTTGTAAGCAATGTTGGTCTAGGGTATAAATCCAATGTTGTTTAAGTACTAAATCTTAGGAGAGGAAAATAACAATGCTTTATTAATAGTTTTTCCTTAAACGTGTAGGTAGAAGAGTTTAGCCTATACATTTGATACAAACTGTGAGTTGTGACACTAACATACATACTTCGTAAATAAAATATAAACAGTGCATAAAATTAAAGACAGAAAGAAGAATCGATAAATTCGTGAAGTGGAATTAACTCGCGACTGGACACGCTTTGAGCATTTTGCCGCCCGCGCTAAAAATCCTTAATCGCTTTTAAAAACAACTGCCCGATAGTTTTGCACTTTTTAGTAGCTGCCTCTAGTTTCGTTAGTAATGCGTGTACAAAGATTTGAAGCTGTAAGGGCGCTGGGGATCGGTTGAGAAGAAGTTTGTTACCACCAGGTTTCGCCGGGCGCCACGCGCCTAGTGATGTTTCGCAAAAAGGCGCGCCCACTCTAGGGTTAAATTATATTTACAGCACCTGTAGCCAAATGCCACTTTAGCGCTTGTCTACAGAGAGAGTAGAAAACTAAAAGTATGGGGATGACACTGACAAGTGTCAAAATTTACGTCAATTCCATATAATTTAGTTTTCTACTCTACAAGTAGACAAGCGCTAAATGGCATTTGGCTACAGCTGCAGGGTAGAATAGATATAGCTTATTTTATATCTCTTAGGGCTGATCTGATTTATCCGACGCTAGATACATTTCAACTAAGAAATAACTTTAACTGACTATAGACTGCCTCATTGGCTAAGTGGTCGCAAGTGCGACTGCCGAGCAAGGGGTCTCGGATTCGATTCCCACTCATGGCATGGATAGGCTCACCTATTACATGGGACTCATAACATAAATAGTGAAAAGTGGGTGTTACATTGTACAGTGGCATTAAGTGCCGTAATGTGCACCTCTGCCTTCCCCTTCAGGGATAAAAGGCGTGACGTTATGTTAAATAACTTTAAATATTTGACATTTCTTCAATTTTATTCTACAGTTCAGAATTAACTGATGATTGAAAAATCTGTTCTTAATGTGCTACTAGCTACAACTCTGGTCATCATGATCGAATTGATAAAGTGGATATTTAGTCCTTGAACTTATATTGTGTGTTCTCTTGACACAGAGACGGAGAAAGCGGCTCAAGTTCCACCAGCCCAAGGTGCACACGGGACGGAAGTACCGCATGTGGATGCTCCAAAAAGAGCTCATGCAGCAACAACAACGGCGCATGCTCGAGGCATCTGCTGACCAATAATGAAATACAGGTATGTACTATAGTGTATAGGAGTATTATTATTAGTATAGGACCTAGTGCGAGTTGCTTTTACGTTACAAGACATCGATACTTTTATAACGTTCAACGCACTGATTGGTCTGATTTAATGACCAATCAGAGGGCTAAACGTGGTAAAGGTTTGGTCGCTTTAACATTAAAGAAACTCGCAGTAGGCCGTCTGTAGGGTTTATTTATCAATTAGCTGTTGCCCACGACTTCGTCCGCGTAGAATATGAATTTTAACACATAACTATTTTTGTTTCAATTTTCCAAAATAAAAGTAGCCTATAGCTAGATCAGCTACTATAAAGTCAGCAAGCCAATCAAATCAGCCAGTTCAGTCATTAGCCAGTACAAATAGATAGACAATAATTGTAATAAACTGTTATTTTGGTATGTGTATCGTATGCATATTCATTCATATTATTAATGTAGTAAAAAGCGGGTATTTTAATGTTACAAAAATGCTCTCCAATTTAATTAATCTGTATTGTCAGGTTTCTTATTTATGAAGGTGAAGGGAGATGGGACCATTTTGAATTTAAACATAATGAGCACTTCCTAAGAGAATTTCTTCTTTGTCACCATAAAATCACCCCTATACCACAGTACTCTTAATACAGCTGGTATAAATAAGTATAACATTACAAAGTATATGCTTCTCTGCACCTTAAAAATTATTAAAATAAAAACAATCATTCGCGGAACAAAAACAGTTCTAAATAGTACAATATCTATATGTGGGAAAGTCCTTTTATAACAAGTTATCACGGCTGAACCATTGACCTCAAATTGACTGCAAATAATTTAAAATGTACAATGTATTTAATTTATACATTTACCTACTGAATTTAAATACATATTAAGTATATGCAAATACTTGCACACAATACATTGTTTTTACGTAATAATGTTATTTCTATAGTTCATACAATACTTATGTTGATTGCAGTGTGTTTTTATTTTTTGACCTACAAGCAGTATTATGTAATTTATGAGTCATTGTCATATCAAGATTATTGAAAATGGTTACATGCCATGAAATATTAAACTCGTGTGTTAGGCAGAATTCTTGAGTATGAATAGACAATAGACATACATAGAGACGCAGTCAGAGAATGGAGATGGTGTGTGATGGTTACACGGTGACAAGGGGGGAAGGGGGATGGGGGAAAGGGGGAGAGAGGGAAGAAAGATAGATCAGACAAATATTTGTTCCTTACTCGCACCTAACGGTATAGTAGTATGTTAATTATAATGGTCAATTTACTTTATTAAGAAATTGGTTACGGTTATTTTACTTCTCGAAAAGTTATAAAGTAAAATACTTCCATACGATTGAATCTAATTATAAGTCAGTGCTGATCAATAGGGCTATTTTTTTAAGGAGGGATAATCATCGAATGACTTCTTCCGCCTGGGTGAGGTGGAAGGGAGTGTTGGACCCTTGCTGACTAAATACCACCCCGTTCCTTCTCCTACTCTTCGAGACGGAGCCCTGGTAACCCGTTAGATTCTCCGCGACATTAATAGGGCTATTAAAATAGAAATAAAAGCTATTAATTAAATACAGCGTATCTCTAAACCACATATATGTGTCGCGGAGAACCTAACGGTTAACCGGGGCTCCGGCTCGACGTGCAGGAGAAGGAACGGGGTGGTTTTTAGTCAGTAAGAGTCTGGCACTCCCTCCCGCCTCACCCAGGCGGAAGCAATCATTTGGTGATTTTCCCCCTTAAAAAAAAACCACATATATGTATTACTAGCTACTTCCGCGCGGTTTCACTCGCTCTGCTCGGCGCCTATTAATCGTAGCGTGATATTTTATAGCATATAGCCTTCCTCGATAATTGCGCTATCCAACACAGAAAGAATTTTTCAAATCGGGCCTGTAGTTTCGGAGATTAGCGCGTTCAAACAAACAAACAAAAAAACAAACTCTTCAGCTTTATAATATTAATATAGATTGCAACTCACCCACAGTAAACCTTAACCATTTTCATTACGTAGCAATAAGAACATTTGATATTAACACATACATGGTGTTTGTACAGCTGTGTTCTGCGCTGAGCCTGCCGCCGGCGCAGTATGTGACGATGAAGGGAGTGTTGCTGCGTCGGCCGGCGGCCGCCGACGCTGACGTGGACATCGCAGTACGACACTACCTACACTCCGCCGGATGGATACGTAACTAGACCAACACCCTGTTTCTCAACCATGTACGACTAACACATTTAGCGCGCTGTCTCATCCCTTCGTCTCTTTGAGGTTTATGCCCGAAATTAATGATTCAGTATTTCAATCCGACCTGAGGAGAGACCTTTTTTTTGATGTCGTGGGGAAACCTTCAAAAGGCGCCTAGCTTTTTGAAGACTAGGGAGTGTGGGATTTTTACCTCACTAAAACCACCCCGGTGGCCACCCTCAGCACATGTAAGGGGGCACCGGGTCCTCTGAAGAGACCTGCTCTGGAGCCCCCACCGACTTGAGGACCTAGTGCGAGTTTGCATTTACGTTAACGCAATCGACGTATTGATACCGTTCGCCGCTCTGATAGGCCAGCTCCAATGGAGGGCTACCGTATTTTTGCTCACCAGATGGTGCAAATGTATGAAGCATTTCTTTTGTCCAATCACTGCAGCTCTCGAATATTAACCCGTCGTGTGTCTAAACGTGGATCCACGCGAGACACAATGTATTTTCTATTATGTCTCATATCGGTGCATTCAAGCGGTTAAACATCCAATGGTGCGACATCAGATTCCCTATTGGATGAAGAACAAGAGGTTTATACTAGCGTCATCTGTTGAGTAAAATTAAATTTACTAACCCCATTAACTAACCAATTAGAGAGCTAAATGCGTTAACGTTTCGATTGCGTTAAACTAGAAAAAGTTCGCATTAGGCCCTAAGAATACTAAATAAATAGTCTGAAGTGTCGAAACTAAAAGCTTGAAGTCTGTATTATTAATTTTGGGCATAAATACTAACAATGTATTTATCGAATAGATGTTACAACGTTTGATTTTATACTATGTAATCTCTTGTTATCTCCCTCCAATTCTTAACGACAGGTCATCGAATTAAGTGCAGTTTCTGTTATAGTTTATATACATAACTAGTTGGAATCTAGCAAGGCACTGATAGATCGCTAGATAATATAAATTATTATATATAGGTATCACTGTTATAGTAACTAATCAAGCCTTGAAATTTTATAGCGCATTTTAAATCCCTCAACGTTCCTTTGATGGCGCGCTTAAAGCGACTTCCGCATGTACAAAGTTATTACAGTCTTACATTGGTTGTGAAACAGGAATTTCAGTCGTATTCATAGCTATAACTATTGTTTCATACTTATATCTTTAAGCAATTGTTGATATTTTCATATAGGACACATGTAAGTCGACATGAATAGGCATTTTTTGTAATTGGCTTTCATACCTACATAGGGGAAGCAACGTCATTTTTTGAAGTCCTTTTATGACCATTGTCATCTTATCTGGTCGCAATGTCAAGCGAAAATTGTGTGAAACCCTGTGTGTTAGTCTCTACAGCATATTTCCATCTTTATCTTGCTTTATGAGAATACGATATGAGTAAAAGAGATAGCATTCCTTCAGTCAACATCACAAACAATGTCTATTTATCTCGCCTATAGTAAGATGTTATGCAGTCTAGGTGCTCGTTATGTTTTATAGGCATTAGTATTCATTTTTTATTACTTAAACAGAAAATGCTTTCTTCCTATTCCTCCTGTGTTTTCAATTGTTACCTTGCACATTCAAGAACTTTCATTCGATTTTCCACTGGCGCCACTGTAGTTTTGGGTCTTGTACGAACATAGTGTTCACAAAATATGTATTGAACTTGTTTTTAAAGAAGTATTCTACTTTAATTAGTATCTTTTACGAAAGTTGTAATTAATACAAATAAAGTATTCTACTTCTTATTATTATTACTTGTACCATAATGTGTATAATTTGCTATTACACATTGTGATTTGTAAAATTATTTCTTCTTAGTTAAATTGATAATTGTGTCAATGTATAATTTTGCACGAAGGTAACCTCATGTAAGACTGCTCTTATAGAGCATTGTAAATAATGCCAATGTAAATATGTATTGTTTTTAACGCCCGACTGTACGACGCTTAATTAAATTTTTTTATGTACCCTGTGTCACGGTGTCACGATTTATTACGTCCCAATAGGTTTTTTGTTTAATAGTTTTCTATTTTTATGGGATAAACTGGCAAACGCCGATTGTTTACCATCAGGATCGCCTAATGGTCAGCAATCGGCGCCGACCATGGACACCTGTAACATAAGAAATGTCAGAAGTACGTTACCGACCCTATGGGGGTTAGGAATTTGACGATTGGGGATTCGGGGATTGGGGAGAGGATATCTATAAAAAAATCTATAAATAACGTTGATTATGTTGTGACTGAGGGGAACAGTTACAATTAATTTTATCATAATTCTTGTACTGATCAATTTTACATAAAATTACATACGAAATTAAACCTAGAAACCATACAAATTAGGTCTTAATTGCTCTGTTCAGTCGGGTGTTACTTTATGAATATAACATATTATTGTTCGATGCCTCTTTTCCAATAATAACAGCAATAAAGAGCATTGTGTTTTGATTGCCCAACTATGTGTATATTTAGGCTTATTCAAAAGATTAACGTACAAATTAAACTGAAAGTGTAAAGCAATCTCGAATGTTTTCGTGTTGTGAATATAATTATGTGAAAAAAATATCAATGTGTCTAATAAGCATAGATTGAGTAAAAGAGAGCTCTAGTGCTTATTAAAAATTTTGTTGTAGACGGAGGCATTTGTTGAAAGCCTTCCCTAGGCCCGTGTCATACTATCATACTAACTGTTTCTACATACAAATAGATAGGTTATCAATCCCTAGCCCCAATAATATTGCCAATCTGTTATACTGTAAGTACTCCATTTTAACGCCTTCCAATTTGAATTCTATTTTGTACCCATAAAGGTAGAAAAATGATATTCGCAATATGTATATGGTGCAGTCTTTTTATCCTTTATCTCATACGCAATAGAATTCAAAATAGCTTATCATAAATAGTAATTGTTAAAAATTCATTTAATTCTTCTATTTTAAGGCAGAACGCGCAACCTTCTCGTCACGTATACGCGATTTAGTTAATTATTTGTTGCATTGCAACTTTTGTATGTGTCCGAAGGTACCATACTGTTAGCTAATTCTAGTTATATTAGGTAAATATCTACATTTAATACAGCACAATAGTATTCCGTTACGGTGTGTAACATAGAGTACCTGATGGCTCCTTGTGACACTAACCAAAGTAGTTATAAGGTTTATTTTAGCGAAGCAATTTACATTTCAGTTCTGCCAAAACACACTATATAATGTCACATCACCGTTACTGCTATGTCAAATTATTTTGGACTTTATTAGTTGGTATTAAAATTTTTTGTTACTATTGTAAGCTGGTAATACCTCTTTGTTCATCTTTAGGGAGCTTTGCCTAGTATGTAACGAAAAGTTAGTGACTAGTAAATGTTTAGACACCTTCAATAATTTATTTACTAGTTGCACTAAATTGTGGTAGAAGCTATTTAGTGTGTTTTGACTCTAAACAGATGAGGTGTGCATCAAAATGTGACGTCATTGTCATTTTTTTGATTCGGTATGATTGGATATCTTATATTTGTTGAAATATCAATTTTTGTCATGTTGTTCGTAAAATAAAATGTATAATAAAATTCTACATCGAAGTCCAATGTTACTTAACTTTTGATTAGTTGTAACAATGGCTGTGGTAGATCATAATTTATGTTACTATATAATCTGAATGTATAGTAATGTCATACAATAAATAAGTTTAATGTTTTCCCTCATATGATATGGAAATAAAGACAAAATTGTGAAGGTTTAGTAAACTTCCACGAGATTTTAAAAGTTGAGTGTTTGTGAAGTTATAATATTATTTTGATCTCTCTTAATGTTTATCTGCATTTTATTATGATTATTATTTAAAAGTATAGTTTTATTTATTAACGGAACTAGGTTTCTCCGAATGATTCCAAAAAGTAAAGTAGTTAAGATTAACATTTCCTATCATTGAATTGAATGCGTGTGCTTACTTCTTTCGGGGTCGTGAGCTGCGAACGAAAGTATTTTATTGATTTAGGATGATTGTAAATTCTTGCAATAAATTCTTCCATATTAAGTAAACGTGGATGATTTTACCATTATTTTCGTATTTATGGGTAGTTAACGAGTGGTAATGCATGGTATATTAGGGAACGTATGAGTCACTAGCGATTGGTTCGTGTATCTGACTGTGTCGCCTTCTTTAAGATATTTTCTTAGCGGTTAATTAAGGGTATCTCTGTGCATTCACTGTTTGGCTCAAATGTACATAAGATTTAAAGTACAACTTGATATTGTAATTATTACTGATTTATAATTTAATTAAATGGTAAATATATTATGTTTTGTTTTATTTCATTTTCCTGAACTAGTATTTATTTATTTCAATTTGTTCATAACTGGTTTTGGCATATCTTGTAAAGCAGCCGGCTGGGGTCGGTTGCGGAACCATTGATGTCTTAATGCCTGAAATAAAGATAAATTAGAACTATTAGGTTCGTTGCGTTGTTATATACAGGTCGTTGTCAGCTGTATCAGTCGAAATAAGACATCTATCTCATTACTAACAAATATTACCTGTTTAGCGGGTATCCTCTTGTTCGCATCGTACATTATAAACGATTTGACAAGGTCAACAGCGTCTACCTCGACTCCCGGCAGGAGTTCTGGCCAGGGCGTGGGAGAAGACTCGGGAAATGTGATCTTGTGGAAGTCTGGCAGCTCTGAATGTCCAGGCCAAGTCTCTTCGGTCGGTGTCCCAAGGTGTTGAAGTACTATTGCTAGCTGTTCGATGTCCGATTCACCCTAAAAAGAGATGTCAATACCTAAAAAATTGTTTCGACAGCATTGCGAGCGGCGCTAGTGTAGCTTTTGGTTGTAATCGTCCTGGAAATTTTAACTAAGATTGAAAATTTGAAGCCAACAAATCAAGCTTATGTAGTAATTGACATACAGCAAATAATGGTTGCTTCGTTATCAATTCTGCTAAAATACAACCGACAGCCCACAGGTCCACTTTCTCTGAGTAGAATCTAGCACCATACAGTAGCTCGGGAGCTCGGTACCATCTGAAAGTGGATAATACTAGTGTTAATTAAACTTGAATGTGCCCTACGTGTACGTGTTGTAAGCAAGCCATTATTTATTGCATTTCATCATAGAAAAAATATGATGGTGTACCTTGTAGCGACCTGGTGCGAATAAGGCCTGCCTCCATCAGGCCAGTAAAGACGTGCGAGTCCCAAGTCGGCAATCTTCAGTATACCTTCATGGTTAATCAGCAGGTTAGCTGGTTTCAAATCCTGATGAGATGAGATGATAATATAAGTAACTATTGAAATGTTGGTCGATCGGTTGCAAGCGCAACTGTCGAACAAGGAGGTCTCGAGTTGGAATTTCGAGCCGAGGAACGCACGACGTAGGTGTAGTAAGTACATATTGACATTTTAGTCACAGAATATGAATGGAATTGGTATCTAAAAAATATCAGAATGAGTTTAAACTGTCAAACACCAAGCGGTCACCGGTGATCGCGACCTATTGTTCTTTAATTGTGTCTATAAAACCGGTACTCGACGAGTTAAAATCGTATCAGTTGTAAGACAATAGGCTTACCCTCTGTTATAGTGCTTTTTCTTTCTGGTTACGTAAATCTAAGTTAAAATTCAAAATCAACTTACTCTATGCATCACATAATGCGCGTGCATGTATCTCGTGCCTTTTAACAGCATCTGTGCATACGTCTTGACCCTGGGCAAAGTGAGTTCCTGCTGTGAGTGATGCAGCATATCCCAGAGACCTGAGCACATGTACTCCAGGACTAGGACCAAGCTCATACCTCGGGGGAACATGTCGTAGAGTTTTATAATCTGTGGAATACGGTGATATATCGTTAAAAACGGTAAAAAATCGGTGCCTAATTTTACAAACACAATTAAGTATGTTCCTAATTTTAAATACACCTCACAGAAAACTGACGTAAAACAATACTTGCGTTGTGTTTCGTCGTGTGTAGGTTATCAGAGGCCCAATTACGCCGCTCCAATCTCCCTAAGCCCCGAAACCACAAGTCCACAACAATCTTTACGTTCCTAATCCCCAAAAGGCTGGTGTTTCGGGCGTCCATGGGCGCCACCGATTACTAGATCAAGATACGTATGTAGATTAGGTAATTGCAATTTTGAACATGACGTAGCTAAACTTACGACTGATCTAGAAATCACTGGGTGAGGCCTATGTTCAGCAGTAGAAGTCTTGTATTGAGGCTGAAATGATGGAGGCTAAACTGTCGTAATACAACTTACATATTTGCATCTAAGCAACTGCAGTGCTTTTATTTCTCTCATCACGTTTACTGGAATTCCATCCTCGAGGTTTTTTATCAAGATTTTTTTGAGGGCCACTTCACGGCCAGTCGGTATGTGCTTTGCTTTGAAAACTAACCCGTGAGCCCCCTCACCAATTCGGCCAATCACCGTATAATTCGTTACATCATTATCCATCTTAATTTATTTAAATAGATTTACCTATAAATTGAAATTAAAGAATTTCTACTCTGCAAGAGCAAAACGTTGACATTTACAAAACAAACAGGATTGCTGTGTTGATATGCGTTGCTATAGTAACAGATTGACAGTTGGTGGCTGCTTTTGTTTGAAGGGAGTTTTGTTTGCAGGATTGGACAAACAATAAGGTCGATGGCAGTAAAGAATTTCTAGCCCTGTCACGTTATGAGTCCTATTACTATGTAAATACGATCTCCGGCCACCGTAAGCGCGGGCCTGCGGACGGCGAGCATGGGTGGCTCCCCGTCCGACCAGAAACAGACCCGAGCGTACGGCACGTCGCGTTCCGCGCGCGCCTCAAAGAGCCATCAGACCACCACAGATGGGGCCCAATAGGGCCGATACCGATTCGGAGTCGCGGAGAACCTAACGGGTAACCGGGGCTCCGGCTCGACGTGCAGGAGAAGGAACGGGGTGGTTTTTAGTCAGTAAGAGTCTGACACTCCCTTCCGCCTCACCCAGGCGGGAGCAGTCATTCGATGATTTTCCCCCCTTAAAAAAAAATACTATGTAAATGTACCTAACCTAACCCGTATCCTAAACCGGGGTTTTTTTTTAAGGGGGGAAAATCGTATGACTGCTCCCGCCTGGGTGAGGCGGGAGGGAGTGAGTACTGACTAAAAACCACCCCGTTCCTTCTCCTGCACGTCGAGCCGGAGCCCCGGTTACCCGTTAGGTTCTCCGCGACAACCCGGGGGTTAGAGTCTTAGGGTGACCCTATTCTATTGCCACAGATTTACCTCGATGCACCATTTTTGGAAAACATTAATTAAACATTACTTTAGCACTACATACGCGAGTAACTCACTACGCAGGTGCTTAATATCTTCTAAAATTACGTAATGTTTCAAAGAAGCATGCTACGTTTGCCATTATAAGCTACGATATAAGAATGTCTTTTGTATCCATTTGTACCTACTTTCAGGTGTAACACATTGAATATTTGTTCAGCTGTAGGTGCTTTATTCTATGTATTACATCTATTGTGTTAGGTATTTTCTTTAAGGTTCTCTATCAGTGATTCAAGTTATTAGTTAACAGACCCATATCTAGAGCAGACTTCTGTGATCCAAGTGAACAAATTATGGCGCTTAAAGTATTTTGTGCAGCGTTTTTATTGATATTTTGTAATGTAGTGAAAGGAACTTCGATTCTTGCACTCTTCTCGTCACTATCCTACACTGATCATCTAGTCTTTAGAGGCTACATATCAAGACTAGCCTTGAGTGGACACGATATAATCGTCATGACTCCATACCCTGGACATTTCCAATTCCCAGAGATAGAGAAGATTATTGAACTCGACGTCAGCGAAGAATCAGCGCCGTTCTGGGATGAGTTCAAACTGTTAATGACCAATACTGACGACTACCATCCCAGACAAAAGGCTATAAATGAATTCGCAATAAAACTGGCAATAGCTCAGTTGAAGTCAAAACCAATGATGTCTCTATTCATCAATCCGAACTTGAAATATTTCGACCTGGTTATCACGGAAGCTGATGTACCCCTGCTTTATGCGGTAGCAGAAAAATATAAAGCTCCCCATATTGCGATCACAGCAACTAGCGGCAGGATCCATCAATATGAATCAAAGGGTAACCCCACCCATCCGATTTTGTACCCAGACGTGAACACTTTGAACTACAGGAATCTGGGTCGATGGCAAAAAATTATCGAATTTTATCGTCACTTTCAAACGAGAAATGAATATTACAATAACTACCTTCCACTTTGTGAACTGGCCGCTAAAAAGTTATTTGGATTAAAGAGAAGTCTTCTTGAAGTTGAAAACGATATTGACTTTCTGTTCGTAGCTGGAAACCCAGCTTTGATTGGTAACCGACCAAGTGTTCCAGCTGTTGTGTACGTCGACCGTATGCACATTAAACCGAGGCTTAAGCTACCAAAGGTAATAAATCTGCGTTTCTGTAAAGTTGGTAAGTGCCAAAGTAAGTAGGTAGGTATATTCGGAAGTTAGTTATTTTTAACGATTTTTACTTTCAGGACCTACAAAATCTCTTAGATTCTGCAACTAAGGGTGTCATATACTTTAGTGTGGGTGCAATCCAAGAAGCAGAACAGCTATCACCATCTCTATTACAAACGATGGCAGAAGCTTTCGGCGAAATTCCGTACACAGTGCTCTGGAGGATTGGTGATACGACGATGCTTAAGAAACCTGATAATGTATTTACTAAGTCTTGGTACCCCCAACAAGAAGTACTTGGTAAGTAAAGAAAAAAAAAACACAATTTACCTAGAAAGACTAGGTGTGGAAACTAAATTAATCGGTTTTTATAGCTCATCCCAATGTCAAGGTCTTCATAACGCACGGTGGCGCCCGGTCTTTAGAAGAAGCTGTATTCTACAAAGTACCAATTATTGGCCTACCACTTGTCAAATCTAGAAAAGTCTTCATTAATGAGATTACGAGACATGGGGCTGGAGAAATTCTGGATCCTTATAACTTAGATAAGGAAACTGTAAAAGCTACTATAACTAAGGTAGCCTCGAATGAGAAGTAAGTTCAATATTATTTGTAGCAAGCTCGTTCTTTTCATAACTGTTTATTTGTTTGTTTAATTATAATAATAATCATTGAACGTTTTCCTCTCTTAGATAATATTTATACTTGGTGTTTTTTTTATTATATTTTTTGTTTTCAGATACAAAAAAGCGATATTGGTGTTGAACAGTGCGGTTTTCGATCCCATGGTTTCTGACCCAGACAATGCTGTGTGGTGGACTGAATATCTATTACGACACCGCAATGTACGTCTCCTTCGTTCTCCAGGAGTTGGTGTATCCTTCTTTGAATACTATCTTCTGGATGTCGTCTGTTATCTATTTTTGATTGCTTTTGTAACACTGTTTGGAACGTACGTAATAATACGAACTATTTTAAAAAGATTGCGCACTCGCTTCTCCCTGACGGGTGGAATAGAAACAAAAGGAAAGTTTAAGGCGTTATAATTTATTCGGTCAAACTAGTATAGACTAAATATTTTGTAACTAATGATTAAATTAAAACAATGTAAATATCAAGTCGTGTTTTGTTTCCTTTATTTTATTCATTTCCATAATACAAAAAATGTACTCTGTGCTTTTAACGATAGAGCAAACAGGAAGCCTTTACTTGTCAGTGTCACAGTTAAGTAGGATTAAGAACGAAGTAAAGAATTATTTATCCCTGCCTGAGGAAATTACAATAAAATTGGTATTGGTAAATTACCACATTGTAGTATTGCCAGTAAAAAATAGCTGAAGTTGGCTCTTGGCAACTGTACTGTGCAAAAGTCATTAAATGTCAATGTCATTAATCAAAAACTTGTTTTGGTTTTGTGTTCCACTATTCTGTTTTGTAAATTCTTCCTGGAATATAAATGTATTGTTAGTATTATTGATGAAATTAATGACGTGAAATTGCCTCTAAGCGTGGTACAATGACGGCTGTAAGAACATGTCCTGGCTTGTACTGCGGTCGCACAGAACTTGATGATGGGACGTGGAGTGACTGCGGTGCTTGCCCTCGAGGTTTTCGCACTAATTCCACCAGCTACTGCATGCCATGTACCGATAAACCGACTTTATATGATGGCCTGTATCTTGGGTTCATGGTTTTATTACCTATGGTATTGCATTGGTTTTTTATAGACATGGTTGCTGTGGCCAAGGGGTGAGTGTATTCAGCCTATGTATTAGGCGAGTCTTCATTCTCTAGCCCCTATTATTTGCCACTGATCTCATTCTATTCTATCAGACATTAACCTATCATAAACTCCCTGTTGTGGAGAACCTAACGGGTAACCGGGGCTCTGGCTCGACGTGCAGGAGAAGGAACGGGGTGGTTTTTAGTCAGTAAGAGTCTGACACTCCCTCCCGCCTCACCCAGGCGGGAGCAGTAATTCGATGATTTTCGCCCCTTAAAAAAAATCATAAACTTCCTTCTCTTTTCTCTTCAAAAAATCTGATTAAACTATTTAGAGTACTCAGTATAATATTCATTAAGATTTCATTTAAAATGAAAATTATAGTAAGAACACTAATACTCTCTGCAATGTCTAAAAAGATTGCTTAACTTTGCAGCACTAAAAACATTCTAGTTCAACACATATGTGCATTTGTGGAAGTTGCAACAGGAACACTGGCAGCTTTACTAGTGCTGCCGCCAACAGGCACTATTGCTTTACATGTCTGTTCTCCTAAAGCGTTGTCTGACTGGTACACATTACTGCATAACCCTCAACCTGACTATAAAGAGACCCTGCATTGTACTCAGGAGGCTGTGTATCCTTTGTAAGTATCCTCTTTACTAGAAACTCCTTGTAAAGGTATTTTATTTCTTATACTGTTGAAGTGTATCAACATAAACAGCCTGTAAGTAGCCACTGCTGACCAAAGGCCTCTTCTTACACCGAGAAGATTTGAACATTAATCACCTCACTTGTTCAACACAGGTTGGCAACTTCAAGCCAAAGTTTTCTCACAATGTTTTCCGTTACCATTTGTCAATGGTGTATAATTAATTTTGAAGTGGACAAAGAGTTGATAATATAAAAATATAACTGTAATACCAGCACTTATTTTATTATTACAGTTGATATCTTGTTAGATTCTAATCACTGCTAGTTTTTATGAGGATTTGAGTAAATAGGTGCAACTATATAACTATAAATAAAATTCAGTTGTATTAAGACTATCATTTGCAATGGAATATTCAAATAAATGTCCCAGCCATCACAAATAAACCACTTATTAAACTGTCAAACACCAAGCGGTCACCGGTGACCGCGACCTATTGTTCTTTAATTGTGTCTATAAAACCGGTACTCGACGAGTTAAATTTTGAACAATATACAATATTTTCTTTTTCAATCTCTTTGGCTAGATTTGGTGTTACATTGTTCTCGCACAATCAAACCAATAAAACTGTGTAACTGAAGAATTGGATTGTGAAACTGATTGGAAAAGAGTAACCTATGGAGTTTCTTGCTCGTTCTTCTCCATAGGAATCTACACCTTGGAAGGAGCAAATAGCTTCACTTTTAAATTTCTATTGCTGACGTTCAAAAGTGTCTTCCTGGTCTAATTGAAATAAATGATTTTTGACTTTTTTGACTTATTTTATTGCTTATTTAAAATTCCAGATACACGGTCGTCCTACTAATATATGCATTCAGTTTATTGATGACTATAACATTGAGGCCATGGTTACTGACTTGGGACTCTGTCAATCCAGGCAAGAAGGCAATATACTGTGCGCTGTACTTCTATCCTATATTGGTGCTTATACATACTGTTGCTGCGGGATTGATTTGTAAGTATAACTGAACTGTTTGTACACATCATTAGCAAATCTACAGTTTTCGTACTACCATACTGGTTTTCCCTGAAAATTAATGCAATTAATTTAGGTAATTTGTATTTCATATACACATAGTATTTGAGAGTCGTATTATGTGGCACTCTGTGGTTTTATGTGTGTAAATCTTATTTGAAGTAATAATTAATAAACACTTTTGTTTAAAAGTACTGCAAGTAGGCATGTGAAATGATTTTATTGATAAAAAAAGATATATGTATGAGTGCTGATCTCTAATGAGTTGTGAGGTAATAATAATTAGGTAGTTTTAAATTAATGATAATTACGAAAAAATACAGATTTAAATAAATTATGGGTTTTTTCAAAATGGTACTGAATTTTTCACATCGTTTTCAGTACTAGGTTTGTAAAAGCATGTTACAACTTACATTAGGTATATATGTATATAAAAAAATACTTTAACTCGGTAACAATTCCTAATGACTTAATTTCTCTATTCCAGATTGTTCATTCCCGTACATCATCATAATAATATCAATGATGACATCAGCATCACATTTCTCAATCAAAATCGAGCAGACAGCACCAGCGCTCTTGTTGTCATCTCTGACCAACACAAGAAACCTGATTATACTATTAGGTCATTGGGTCATACATGCTTATGGGATTATATCCCTGACTGGTTTCAAGGAATTATGGTACCTGTCTCTGGTACCTGCGCCAGCTTTGTTCTACATCTTAACTGCGCAGTTCACTGACCCTATGAAGATTCACAGCGATTGACAAGAGCGCCAAGCATTCGTAAAGCTGGTTCTACATTGACTTTTGATAGTGGTTCTGTGATTTCCTTTGCTGTATGTAAATATAATAGTACAGTGATGTCTCGTCTCGGCCAGTACGAATGCTTAATGGCGGTCTCAGGTTGGACAATCTTGTTGTGTTTATAAAGCAAAATTCTCAGGTATATTATAGAGTTTAAACACCTCATTGTATCTCTGCGGTCAGGTGTTTAATGTCCAAAAACGTCATTGTTTATAGTAGTCTTAGTTAAATTATTTAGTGTTTTTGTAAGACGAATCTAGGACCTTATCGGATCTCAGGCTCATCCTCAGTCCTATTCGAAGATTTATACGTGTATTTTGAGTTGTGAACACATTTACACATTGTATGCATGAGATCTACGCAAGATGGGCCTTATAACTAAACTAACTTACGTCATAGGTCTCTTTCCGCTTACTTCAATGTTGGTATTCGACTGTATTAATTTAGTGACGTAGGTATTTGTACATAGTGGTTTAATGTTTATGTGTTATATTGTACATATAAGAGTATGTATGTATATGTATAGTATGGTTTATTCAGTAATTTGTTAAGAAATAATTTATCTTTTAATTGCAAGCTTCGATCTTGATATTCGAACTGTTATAGATCATGATTCACGATGTTATGTAAGTTCTATAGTTATCTGATTATTTTATTTACACACATAAGTATTTGTATAAATAAATCACTGAAGATTGATTATTGGCATTTTTTGACATCAAGGCATTATTGGCCATTTTTGACTAAGAACCACCCTGGGATCCGTTCTTGGGTTTGAGCCTGCAGAAAGCACAGACTTCGAATTCGTAGCGGCCTTTCTTGCTAGGCTCCAGCTCAAGATTTACAGAAGAGCGAGGTGTCGATGTTTCGAGGGTTGACACAACGCGCAACATCTCAGTTCCTTGAAAACGGGGTAATGAAGAGCAATTTCAGCTCTCCTTTGAGAAGGTAGAAAAGTTGTGATTTTCATTTCTCCCTCCACGTCCTTTTTCTGCGACATGATATTTTCACAGAAAAACACCACTGCATCCCACGACTCTGCACTGCCGACCATTTTTTAAATAACAGTTAGCAGTGACAAGTCCTCACCGATCTCTAATATGAGGGCATGACGCGGTTCAACCCAAGCCACTCATTCCACGAGGGTAGGATGCGCCATATCCTCTTCGCAATGATGGTATCGTCAAATCCGTTACTTAAGATGATTGGAATCTAACACATGCGTGCTACTATCAGAACAGGTCCGCTCAAAAGGTTGTGGATCTTTCCTTAAAATACCACTACAGAATCAACTTGCATGGTTCTGGCACATTATAATATGTCTGGACTTCTTTATAAGAGACAATGACCTCTGAGTCTGTTTCAGCGTTTCTTCTCAGAGTAGTCAGTAAGGAAATGGCGGCTCTCGCCTAGTAATTTAAAGATTGACGTGTAAAATGTTACTTTGTAACCTATTTGCAGAAATAAATATCTTTTCATATTATATCATTTCATTTTATTTCAAGTGTCTGCCTTCCTGCTTATGCGACACATTTACTTTCTGAAACATACGTTACCCCGAGGGCGCTTGGAACACAGGAAGCCGTGCTTTCTCCTGATTTCCGAGCTAGTCATTGAGTAGGTACTGGCCGTTTGATGGTGTTTAGCGCAGCAGTAGGGCGATAAAGCCTATCCCGCTCATCCGCCAATAAGACCAGTCGTTGTCATCAGTCGGGCACCTCGTGCCCGTTTGGTTTTATTGGTTTGGGCCGGCTGCATACTTTCGGTGTTTATAAATATTATTTGTCACTAAAATTAGGTAAGTAATCTTATTAGTTTTATAACTTGGATTTATTTTTGATAAGTGGGTTTTACTTAATCCATGTGCGAGGTGCCCTTTCCTTCCTTCTGAACGGGTGGCCCTTTGGAAATTTAAAGGTGAAACGTCGTTTTAATAGGCTTAATATGTTAGCTGTAAGTGTGGGAGAGCCATGCATGAAATTTCCATGTTCAAGTTTGTGTAATAACTTTAATAAATATTTGATAATGGAGCCAAAACCGTCGTCAAACGACCCTTGGCATCTCAACCGTGAACGTTGGTGTTGCCAACTTTTTGTCAGATAAAACACATTCTATTTCCCGCCCTAAATTGCTCCGCTGTTTTAAACAAAGATAGGGACATGACAGGGAGTATGGAGATAAGAGTACCTACTTACCTACCTTCTAATGAAAAAAGTATCTATAGGTACGTCGTGAGTTGCGGTGTCTATGGGCGTGTCGAATTGTATACCTATCTATTTAAACTGCAAAAAAAGTTGCACTGAGACATTGTTAACCCGGACACAGGCACGCGACACCGTGCAATTTTTTTTACAAAAAACCCTATAATGACTTGAATTTGGCAGAGCTAGAAATTCTTTAAAAACGTTATCTTTAAGCCAGAACAACGAAAGAGTAGGTACTACTCCTTTCTGTTTATTCTCCATGGTTATATATAAAACCGTAGGATCACTCCGAAGACCGGGTCATGTTAAATGCAAACCTCAGGACAAAGGGCAGGGAGGCGAAAATAAAAAGAAACTGAGCCGTTTATAGGCAGTCTCATTATTAAACGTTTTTTTCCCTCGGCTCGCGGAAAAGCCGCCATCACGCAGCATTATTTGCTTATTTGTTTACTTATCTGCGCGTGTATTTCGTTATTAGATCTCATCCCCACGGGCCGCTCGACGCATCGTTTGTAAACGTTTTGTTTACGTTTACTTTTATGTTTAGCGTACCTACCTAATTGAAGTCATTTTTTCGTTGTCACCGATATTCGGTTTGTTGGCACTGTAACCTAGAAATGGGAATGAATAATGTTGGCCTTTCCATCTAGGCACCTGCTTCTTAGTTTTTACTATTATGGGCTCTTTGAAAAATAATAATTGTCATCGAAACCGCAAATACATATAATGTGTGTATCAGCGACATCTATGATGTACTTGGAAAACTAAATTGATATAAATATGCCATTGTTGATCAACCACTATCCTTTTAGTTATTGATCCATCCGATAGATGGATGGGTAGGTTCTGTATCACGCAAACAAAGTTTTCATAAGAAATGACCGTGGTCAATAAATAGGCGACATTCTTATCCCACCCCTCCTTATGTCCTTTGATCCATCTGTCATAGTGAATCAAAGGTATGCTTCGGCTACTAATAATATATTACACCGTAATGGTGTTACCATATCACTTACGTCTTCTCGCGGAGATTACTGGATTCTCGACAGCGACACGTTGAATCCTTATTCCATAAAGCGTCCTGTTGCTCGGTTCAGTCGAGCCTACTATAAGTATCAACTGCTAATGCTTATAGTAGACATCGAGGACTGCCAGGACAATTTGTGGGCCATGTGCAGTAAGATACTCCGCTGGCTGTTAGAACAAGTATTCAACAAAGCAATGTCGAGTAATACCAGACTCGCATCACTGGTCGTGAAATTAGAAGGCGTAGTGAATATGTTGTGTCGGAAGACTTGATGACAGATTGGGTAATCCTCACAACGTTTATAACCCGCTGGGTTATAAAGGTTATTCCTTCCCCGTTCTCTTCGCCCCTGACATCTATATGATATAATTTCAATGTTATTACCACGGTAATACCAATGATAATACATCATTTAGATATCTTTTTCCTGTTTGAGTCGCAAGCGCAGCTGTTGACATGACGTAATCGGACTGGAGTGGGAATAACATATTAAGTTCCGCGCCATGTTGGGAGGAATGTTCGTTTATAGCGTTTTGTTTACGTGTGCTTGTTTAGGTACAGGTTTAGCGTAATTACAGTGTTTTTTTTTTTTAATGAAAATATTTTCGCGTTTGTCATTCCATTATTCATGACTTGCCTTCATACACATAATATTATTTTGAGTTAGGTAGCTAGATAGGTTACGGCTATAAGTGCCAAATTATTCAAGCGCGGGTCCCGCAGCCCGTTATAAATTTTACTGAGGAACTCTCGATCTTTAACAAGTTTGCCCATTGGAGTATATTCCTGGATATATGTACCTAAGTGTCACAGTGTCAAGCACGATGCTGTTCACGTCCTGATTGGTTGGTTCACAGGAACCGGCCAATCAGAGCGTCGATTCGGTTGGAGACCCTGTTATTTTCATTTCAAAAACTAAATACTTACCTATCTAGAGGTATATCTGCATGGTCGTGTTGGCTCGGAGGTTCGAAGATGGTTTAGAAACCAGTTCACACCAGTGACATACGGTGAAAGAAAACATCGCACAATTTTCCTTGTTTTATTATTAGGTACGTAGGTTTTTGATAACAAGGTTGGCGTAATGGCTACATAACTGGCTGCTGTGCAACGTGTCACGAGTTCGATTCCTGCACAGAACAATTCACACAAGTTAAATTGAATATGTCTGTACAAGAAAAGCTAAAGTAAAAAAATAGGCTAGCTATATAGCTAATCTATTTTTTTAAATTAATAAGTATTCGTTTTTTATTACGACGCCATTATTTAACTTATGTATTTACATAATAGAAATAACATGACATCACGCCCTTTATCCCGAAGCCCCCGAAGGGTTAGGCAGAGGTGCACATTACAGCACTAATGCCACTATACAATGTAACACCCACTTTTCACTATTTATGTAATGAGTTCCATGTAATAGGCCTATTGCCATATACCGAGTACATTTCCTGATTCCGTGCTACTACTGAGATTTTTAAAAACCCCAGTAATACTTTGCCTGACTCGGGAATCGAACCCGAGACCCCTTGCCCGGCAGTCGCACTTGCGACCACTCTGCCAACGAGGCAGTCCTTATTACTCTTTAATTAAATTGAGTTATTGTTATCACGGACATTAATACTCATGCAAAACTTGATAAATGTACATGAAGTTACTAAATATAACATTAGTCACGCTAGCAGTGTAGCCGATAACTTTATATCAGTGATTTATAAGTATGGTAGGTA